CATAGCCGTAGAACTCAATCCTTTAATTCTCCGTATGACTCTTTGCTATACGTTCTCTAAAGGGGGCTGGAAGCGTATCATTATTCTCCCTAGACACGGCTATACAGGACCAATACTTAAGGTTAGAGGACATTAAAAGGCAGTCAATTCCGGGGGTTGTACCTAAAGATATGCCCTCCTCCAGAACCACAACGTATCATGGCATACCTAGTATTAGACGGGGAGGGAATAAAACGACACCCCTAGTAGTGATTGAAAACACCATTCTCATATTTCTCCTTTTTCCATCGCCACCCCACCATGTGTGTCCATGACGCCCAAATACCTACCTACCCTGGTTTTCGAAAAAAAGAATTAAGCATCTAGCAGGAGGTCACCGCATCTCAGAGGGAGACCCTTTTCTTGCTCTTTAACTCACAGAACCCCGTCTTACCCTTTGCCGTTTCGTTCCACACCACACACTCAAACTTATTGTCCTCGGAGAGTCGCGTCCCAGGCATTCCTCGCGAGTAGTTTCGCCCTTCTGTCGTTCCCTTGCATCGCGTCGAACCGGCGCCTAAATGTCGGAGACGCTTCAATCAGACGAGACCCAGGCGACGTGCGTCGAGGCTCCAATGACTCGTTCCACCAGTGCTGTCGGCGCGGCCGCCGAGGAGTAACAGCGCGAGACTGATCAGAGACGCGAGATGACTGATTCTGTGATGGGCTTTGAGGCGGAGGCAACACTGAGTCGTGGTTTCTCCTCTCCCCCCTTCCTTCTCCTTTCCCTTCGTCGTAACGGGGCTCATTAGGGGCTTCCTAGACCGCTCGAATGTCCTGCAGGTGCAGATTTTTGGTCTGGCGAGGCAGCCTACGGTCTCTTTCGTAAAAGTAGCCGCAGTTGGCGCACAGAGACTGAGAAAAAGCAAAGAGTCAGTTTGGGCATTCATCAAACTCACACATTCGAATAATAAAAGGGGACTCACCTTGGGGCCGGCAGGGCCGTCTCGGACCGCCCAGACACTCGTCCCCCACGTCCGGCAGTGCGAGCATCGCCAGGTCATTCTCTCCATGTCCGTCAGGGCCCCTACTCCTCCACCGTATCCGCCAACGTCTGGCGTCAGTCGCCCCAGCGGAGTTCCGCCGCGGGCAAGGGGGCTCAGACTGCGGAACCGTCGCTTCTTCTTGGAGCGTTCGCCTCTGCCCATTCTCTCTTCCTCGGCTTCGACGGCCGTGCCCGCACCGAAAGGAGTGCCTCCCATCATGCCGGTGGTCGAGCTGAATCGCGCTGTCTCGCGCCGCAGCCGGCGAATCTGCCGCTCGCGGTCGCCCTCCCGCTTCTCCATCTCTTCTTTGCTGAGGAACTCGACCTTGGGCTCCCACTCATCGGCCAGGTGGTCGGGGTCGTACCTCCAGCCAGCCTCTTGGCCATGCGCGGCGTCGTTTGGCAGCTCCTGCTGCGCTCCGCCCCAGCCTCCCACGAGACCTCCAGCCTCGCAGGCTTCCTTCTTGAGTCTAAGGACCGCCTCGTAGATGGCATGTGTCATTGCCGGAACCCACTCGCCCGCCAATCCCAGATCGGCACAAGTCGCCTTTGCAAAGGCCTCAGCGGTGCCCGGGGGGTGCAGAAGCGACCACTCAAACTTGTCCGTATACAGCATGGAGGAGAGGTTGAGACTCAGGTTGATGATACATCGATAAGTGTCGTCGGGGTTGTAGTCGTCAGAATCAGGCAGGATGGGAGTGGCTTCGGCCGTGACGTCGGGTGCCTGCGATGTCTGCGGCTGTGGTGTTGGCGTTGCCTGGCCGCCCGTCTGTATGGGAGTCTCGGGGCGAGACACGCCCCGCGCAAACGAAGCCGGCGAGTCGTCGCGGGACTTGAATATGCTGGGCCTCGGGGTTCCGGCCGCTGTTCCGGAGCCCGCAGCAGCGGCTGTCGCGGCCCCCTGGCTAGGCGGCGGCGGTGGTGCCGCAGCAGACGGCTCCGTATGGAAGAGCGGGTGCAGGGCAACGCCGGCATACTCTTCCAGCTGCGTCCGGATCTGCTTGCTAATCTCCGCAATAACGGCCGGCCGGTTGGGCAGGTCGAGGTCCTGGGCCAGCGTCTGCGCAAACTGGTCCGTCGTGATGAGCGTCTCGTGCAGGTTCCAGCAGAAGATGTCGCGCAGCTTGTAGGGCACCGTCATCTCCTGCGGCCGGTACTGGGGCAGGGAGATGTCGACCGAGTTTGGGTTCGGGGCCGGGAAGGGCGCCGGCGGGATGAAGGAGGGTATGTCCAGGTCGATTCGGATGGGTATCAGCGTCAGCGGCAGATGTGCCTGGGCGGCGTTCTGCTGGTCGCTCCTAACGGACCGGCTCTTGCCCATCCAGTCGCGCCATATGCCCTGGACCTCGACGGGCTCCTTGATCTCCTTGCCCACCTTGTCGGCCAGGTCCTGCCTGCTGACCGAGTCCTCCTTGCGCAGGCTCCGCAGGCCCGTCGGCCGACGCCTGGTGTCGTCGCTATCGTCGTCCAGGTCATCGTAGCCGTCCTCTGCGTAGTTGATGATGGTGGTTCCTCGCTTGGTCGTTCGCGAAACGGGCCCCGTGGGCGCACTCGGCAGGACGGGCGTCAAGAGAGAGTTGTTGTAGGTGCGCAGTCGCGGCGCATACGACGACAGGAACGCCTGGGGTTTTGACCGCTCCATTTGCGAGTTGTTGTTCTAAGACGGGAGAAGAGAAGTGATTGTCGATTATCTCATGGCGCAAGGGAGGCAAAACGCGGGCGCAAAGCTGGCGAGTCCCCGCGCTTTGGGTGGGAGAATCGCAGCTGACAAGACGCAGTTCAGCCCTTGCGAGGATCCCTGTTGGAGTCGAAAGTCGAATTGCCGTGGCAGCGGGCGGTGGAGGGCGGATAAGGAACAAGACGCGGACAGACGGTGGACAGATTGAGGCCGTGATGGAGGCGACAATCGGAGCGGAAGCGGCAGGGCAGGGCAATGAGGCGGCGCAGGCTGGATGTCGCGACTCGTGGGTGTTGAACCGCGTCGTTTGTCTTGCCCCAAAATTTGGCTCTGGCCTTGTCTCTGCTTCTTTTCGTCGCCTTTGCGAGAAGATCGGAGGAATTCCGCTGATGTAAGCAGATGTGGGGCCGCACAGCTTTCTCCTGCCAGGTGGTTCTACTATAGTGCTACCTACCCTGTAACAGCAAAATGTTTTCTTTTCCTTTCACATCGAAAAGAAGCGACAACAGACACGTCACAGATTGGACAACCAATGCCGATCTCGAATCAAATCAAAATCCTTTCAATTATCACTAAGTTGGCTCTTCGGTAGAACTATTGACTGACAAGTCCCAACGTGGCAGCAAGGCATAACGATATTTGAAGGAGTGCCATGGGCTCACCCAAACATGCCAACCATCTCAAACGTGTAGGCCATGATCGAATAGCCACCTAAAAAGGCCGCTGTCCAACTCTGTCGAGCAACAATCAGCAGATACTCAGCAATCAACAGCAGATGACTTCCTTACATGTTCCCCTCTGGAAAGAAGCGGCATACGTCGTACACCTTGTACGCCTCCGAAATGCTGTAGGCTCGAGCACAGCCAACCTGCGTCGTCGTCGACCACATACACTGAGCTGTAAGCCATCAGATGGTCAGCATCAACTGGGTGCACAATAACCACTCGAGCGCCATCGTCAAACCTACACCAGTGCAGCCAGGGCTCGTGCCCGTCCGCAATAGGCGCTCCGTTGTAGAGCGACGCCTGTGCGAGCCAAGTCTGCGCGGCTTTCTGCAGAGGCGTGTCGTAGGCCGCATCGCACTGGGAAGACTGGTACTCGAACAGCGTCTCTCCCTGCTGAGGCCGGTAGGAACCCTGGGCGTGCGAAAAGGGCTGCTGGCCAGCCGCCATGATGTTGGCCCAGTACTGGGCATAAGAGGCCAGGTTGTCGTTCCAGGTGAGAGGCTGGACTCCTTGCGCCGCGCGAGCCTGGTTGATGAGGCCGAGGGCGAGGGATCGGTCATCAGCCTGGGCGAGGCCGAGGGTGATGAAGGGGATGACCCATTGGATGATGCGGATGAGGTGCATGGTGTCTTTTGGAGAGCCAAGTGCTTGCGACAAGGACAATTTGAATAGATCACAGTATCGAGAAGTTTAGGAAGAAGAAACAGACAACGGCGTTGTGAGAAACCTGGCCGCCTAGAGAGAATGTGTGTGATCAAGAAGGGAATCGAGGAAACACTTGGACTGGTGCAGGATGCAGAGAAGAAACAAGAGAGATATAGAGGGAGAAAATGATGAGCTGTATAAGAAGACGGGCGGCTCATATTGTCTTCACAATAGGCCGAGTGAGAAGGCACGCGTGGCTGGACGTGGTTGACGAGGAGATCAGAGGCGGTCAACTGACTACGGCGGGAAAGCGATGACACGGCATACAGTGAGTCGACTTGCTTTGATAGTATCCAAAGACCTGGGCCCTCACGGAAGCTGCCAGTTACCTATGATCGTCTCTCTTCTCTTGTCCCGTTGCATCGACTCACTGCTAGGTATGCAGTCACCGTCTCTCATGGCTTCTCCATGACATCTCATATCTGGTTGCATCGACCAGTCCAGAAGATAGACCTCTCCTGTTAATTAATTGGATACAAAGAATTTCAAGCATATATTTGCACGCGAGTGAAGCATTTGGGTGCCATGATCCCTTCATTTCATCCTACGAGGGCGTTGCAAGTTGTTGTTGTAAGTCGAGGGCCATGAGTAATTTAGTAGGTAGTACACCGATTACCCCATTGGGAAATTCACCTCTCTCCATCGTCCCTTGTGCGCACGGACCACTTTTCGAGGCCCTGCGGTACGTACCTCACGCATGTAATCGCAAAATGACGTCCAGCACCAAAAAGTTCCGCCATCATCAACACCATCACCAAAAAAAAAAAAAAGCTCCTTCTTCTTCTCCATTCCCAGCTTCTCTCCCCATCCTATCCTCGCCCAACGACTGCCCACTCCGACCGCTATCGGCGCCCAACAATCGAACACCATGGCCGCAAAATCAGCCTCTACACTAACACGCCTCATCCGCCCAACATCCCTCACCAGACCCGCCCTCTTCCGCCCTCATCATCTACCGTCATCCTCACCACCACCAACCTGCGCAATCCTCACTCCCATCCGCCCCCAACATCGCCGCTCCTTCGCCCACGCAATCCCCCGCCCGCCCTCGCGGAAGCTCCCCTCAAAAGAACCCTCCACCGCCGACCCCCCAACCAGCGAAAGCCATCGACCTGAACACAAGGGCCCTGCGTTCTACCAGCTCTCCTTCACCTGCCAGCCCTGCGGCCACCGCTCGCACCACAACGTCTCGAAGCAGGCGTACCACCACGGGTCCACGCTCATCACGTGTCCGGGTTGTCGCAATCGACATGTCATAAGCGATCACTTGAACATCTTTGGCGATCGGAAGATTACGGTGGAGGACCTCATGCGGGAGAAGGGACAGTTGGTGAAGAGGGGTTCGCTGGGCGAGGATGGGGATATTGAGTTTTGGCCTGAAGAGGTTGTGGAGGAGGATATGTTGGCGGATGGGGTCGAGAAGAAAGCTGGGGGTTCGTCATGAGAAGGGTCTGGTATGGGTGGTATGGGACAATGGGAGCCTGGACTGGAGTATCCGGGGGAAGATGTCGTGTGGATGATTATTGTACGATTACGAAAAAAGCTACATGTACGGCGTCAAGGATTATTTGCAGGGAAGTTCCCGATTCTCGAACAGCAGCGACGGCATATAAAAAAGGGGGGTGTTTCCACAAAGGAACCATCCTTGATCTTTATTAGCGAACAGTATATTATGTGCATATGTATCTGTAGTCTGATTGACACAACAATCACTAATAACTTTTCTATAATAAACGCCATCAAATACGCCCAACATGCCAGTCTATAAAACGCCCGCTCGCCATACGACATATGCCGCGCCATGTCCTTTCCTTCACCACGTCTTGTACGCCTGCCGCATCGACTTCTGCTCTTTGGACCTCGTCTTCTTGCGCTCCTTGTTCTTCTCAAACTTCTTCCTCTTGTCCTTGTTGTACTTCTCCGGCTGCGCCACCGCCTCAATCTTCCTCTTGCTCGACCGCTGCAGACGGCGCGCCTTGACCTCCTCCCGGATCGACATGAGCTGCTTGCTGTACTCGGCCGTGCCAAACTTCTTCTGCAGGGAATCCATCATGATCTGCGCCCGTGTCTTGATGCCCTCGTGCTTCGTCTTGAACACCTCGTCCATGCTGAACGGCGCGGGGATCGACGGGTCGGTGAGGTGGTGCAGCGGCGTCAGGATGGTGCGCAGAGAGGGCTGGAGCCGGTCGAGCGAGGAGCGGCGGCAGACAGTCTCCAGCACCTCCATGGCCACGACCTTGGGCGCGATGGCAACGGCCGTGGGCCGAATCTCCTTGCGCAGGATGTGAGACAGGCGCCAGAACAAGTACTGCAGGTCTTTGGGCTTGGCGCTGGCTTCCTCCTTGTCCTCGGCTTCCAGCTCCTCCGTCTCGGATTCGGCATCGGAAGCATCATCGGGAGACTCTCCGACGGGGAGGCGGGGGCCCAGGAAGATGAGGACTTGACCCAGCTCGTTTGCAAGGCCCTCGTCAACCTCGTGGCCGTTCAGGGCGCTGAGTGCGAGACGGACGAGCTCTTCCACGTTGCTGGCCCGGAGTGTCAGGCCATGAGACCCTTGCACATCCTCACCTGCCGAGGTGCTGGCGCCTGCCTTGGCAAAATCAGCGAGATACAGACTGATCACTTGCACGGCAGCCAGCTTGACCGACGTCTCCCTATGCCCAAGGCAGCGCGGCAGCTTGGCCCACAGCTCTTCTCTGTTGGCAGACAGTGTCCTGTCAGGGAAGACCGTGGTGAATGTGCGTACCACACCAATCGAGGCACCCACAAGCCCCCCATCGACGTCGCGGACATTGTCAGAGCCCAAGATGCTCATGACCTTGTCGAAGATGAGCTTAAAGTCCGTCTTGTTCTTGGCGGCATCTTCGTTGCACTCAAAGTAATAGCCAAACAACTGCACGGCAAGCTTGACGACCGCCGCATTGCCGTCTTTACCGAGCCATGACCGAAGTAGGTTCAGGAAGGCAAGCATTCGCTCCTTGTCGGCCTTGCGGAAGATCTCCTTGATCAGCGCCTCTGCCGCGAGGCGACACTTCTCGCTGTCGTCGTTGGCGAGGACGAGGAACAGCGGCAGGAAACAGGTGGCGGCAATCTCCTGAATGAAATCGTCGGCCGACTTCATCAGAAGCAAGTGGATCACCTCCATGACGGATAGACGACCGCCTTCGCGTTCGTACTTGAGATTGGCGACGACAAAGTTGAGCTGCTTTGTCCAGCGGGACCTCATCTGGGGGTAGTCTCGGATGAACTGGAAGAAGGCGCCTCGTGCCAGATCTCGCGTGTCCTTGTCGTCGTTGGTGATCATGACCGTGCCGACCTGGTCCAGCGTATCGTAGACCGTGGCGGTCTCGATGCGGCGATCCAGCACAGAGCGCAGGAAGTTGAAAGTAATGTGTCGGTACAGCGGCTCCGTAAAGTCGTCCTTCAGCTTGCCCAGCAGCATGTCGATGGCAGCGTCCTTGATCTCAATATCCTTGCGATCCCTCAGCACGACAGCAAGCATCTTCAACGCTGCTTGTGCCAACTCGGTCGTAGTCGACGTAGACATGGAGATGCACCTTGTAGCCTCTTTGACGGCAATCTTGTAGATGTTGATTCCATCATTCGTTCCAAGGGGCACCTTGACGATGACTGCCAAGAGTCGGAATGCCGAAATCTTGACCTCATCTTCGCCTTCGAGAATGGCATCACCAATAATAGGAATAAAACCAGCAATGTTCTCGGGGATTCGCAGGCTATCGTACTTCTTCAGCATCGACCTCAGCATCTCGAATGCGAAGCGAGTCAGCTTATACGTATGCTTGCTGGTCTGGCCTCGGTCGCCGCTCTTCTTGGCTCCTCGCTGAACCAGATACCTTCGCGTCTTCCAGTCCAGTTTGGGTTCGGCCTCTGGGTTCCGTGCATTGTACACCTCCTGAATGACCTCGTAGCAGAATACCAGAGTGTCACGGCTCTCGGCGGCCGGGTTCTGCAAGAGTCCCGCGGTGATGCGAGTCAGGAGGGCGTCAATCTTGCGAACAATCTTCAGGTCCACCTTCTGCATCAACATAGCCTGCAATGGCCGCACAAGCTCAATGAGGCGACTGACTGATGCATTCTTGGCAATCAGTTCCATCGAGTCCTGGCTCTTGCTGCTCTTAACCTCCTTCATCTGGCTGACGTAGCCCTCGGCGTCCTTCTCTTGACCGACAACTCCGAATATGTCGTCCATGATCACGTTGACAATTGCAGAAAGCGAGTGATCGAGATCGCCAGGCGCGAATTGAGGAACGGTATGGACCAGGATGGAGTGCACAGTGTATGAGAGAACGTGAAGCTGGTAGCCCTTGGTGAGGGCGCCCCGAAGCTCTTTCAAGATGAAGCCGAAAAAGGTAGGACCCAGAAGAACGGCAATCTTGACCAAGGTGTCTCGTGTCATCTCCCTCGCCTCCCACGACTTACTGCGCAAGATGTGGCAGATGTCGGTCAGGACGCCAGCCAACTTCTGGTCCATCTGGGGACCGGGAAGCAGCTTCAAGAGCTTGATGATGGTGATACCGACGGGGACACGGTAGCTGACCTCGGATTCGTCCTTTTGGTGCAAGTGCTTGGTCAGCGGCGGGAGGAAGTAGTCGTTGATCTGGGTAGACAGCTCTGCAGCCTTGGGGGCCATCAGTCGCAGGCGCCGTACTGCGGAAGAGGAGCTCTCTTCTTGGTCAACCTCCATCGTTTCGGCATCTCGACTCTCGGGCAACGACAGCAACAGGGCATCCGTGAACTTGCCCAAGAGGCGAATGGTGTGTTTCTGCTGCTCCGGCCGTGACTCGATGTAACCAATGTACCGATGGAAAGTCGTGCGGAAGTGGTTCCAGTTGAGAGACATGGCCAGGTTGCTGATTGTGCTTGCTGCTTGCGCACCAAGTCCGTGGTCATCACCGCCATCCGCTCTGCCGAAGATGAAGTGCTCCAGTAAGGGGATGAAGAATTGAGTCAGGTTCTGGCTGCCCATCTCCTTGCTTGCGTTGGCAGCTTCCAGTGTTCGTAGGGCATCCATCTGCTTCGAGGTCGCTGGACTGAGGATATCAAAGAAGAATGACGGCTCGGAAGAGTCCTCCTGACGCTCGTTCAGGAGGCCACCCAGGTCAGCCACCGGCGCCCATTCAGGCATTGTAGTGAGGAGGAAACCTAAGACGCGAAGGTACTCTCGTCGCACGGTTTCCGACTCTTCACGAGCGCCGCCGTAAATTGACGGCATCAGTATCTGCTTGAGATAATCGTCAAAGATGGCCTTTATCTCCTGAGATTGACAGTCCGACACTTCTTGAATCAGGCGTCGAATGCCATCAGCGGCGTTAGAAGACAGCACGCCAAATTCCTCATCGTTACGGATGAAGAAGATAAGGTTGTGGAGAACTGGGAGCCACTGTTTAGGAGTCCATGGAATACCGTGAATGCTCGAGATGGCGCTGAATGCGGCAAGCCGCCTGTCATAGTCCGGCTCATCAATGCGACCCTCCTTGAACTGGTTCAGCTCGTTGCATAGGCTTGCAACAGTCTCAATCTCGGCATCCTGCTTCGAAATGGCCAGTAGAACGCGGCACAACGAGGCGCGATTTTCTCGATCCTTGAAATAGCTAAAAAGAGCCGAGACGGTCTTGTACACCTCTTGCAGCAGCGCCTGATCCTTTGCAGCGTCTGGTAGCGAAGCAAAGTTCTCGATGACCAGGAGAATCCGGCCCTTGAGTTTGGGATTTACTCGGCGTGCTGGTTGCTGGAGCAAGAAGCTGGAGATTCGAATGACTGCTTGAACATTTTCCAAAGTCTGGAACATGGGAGCCAGAGCCAGGATAGTCTCGATGCCAGCTTCCAGTAATGCGTTACTGATATCACCAGTTCTTAATACCGTAGTGATATTGTCCAGGATCGCGGTTGCGTTGGGGTCCAGAAGCTCGGCCTTGATGACCTCGTTGAACTCGGATTCGCTAGCAGGAGCCAAGGCCAGCCTGGCCAGGCTGCGCAGCATCTCGAGAACATATATTTTGACGGACTCTTTCGATTTCTCAAAGGCTATGCAAGCAATGACCTTTGGTAGGACGCCATTGGGCAGCACATCGCCGTGAGGAGCGAGGAAGAGGGCTGCCTTCGGGAGGTTGGACCATGTCGACAGCAGCTGCAGCATGCCCGACACGCCTTGTGCAGTCTCGGATGGCAGATTCTCGTGCCTAGGTGCCACCACTTCCTCAAGAATGATGTCCTCATAAGCCTCCCACTGAAAGTCCTGTGCATTTTGGAAGAGAGCAATCAAGCACTTGAGACCCGTTGACCTCGTCGACCTGAGTAGCGAATGACCACTCGCCTTTTCCTCTTCTTCAGGACCATCGGGATCCGCTTCTGTAGACGTGCCGCTCAGTCGCCTGCAAGAGAAGACGAGACAGTACAGAATCGTGTTGACAAGGATGTCCATGTAGGGAGTAACATTGGTGCCCAGCTCCGAGATGAGAGATTGGGCCATGTTCAAGAAACCGAACTGCTTTCGGACTGAAATGATTTCTTGGTCGAAAAGCTTCTTCCGGTTCACCGCTGGCCCAACCACGCGCACATCCTTAAGCTTGCCCACAGCGATGTCGAGGAAGCCTCCAAGATCCTCGATAGACAGGTTCCTGAGAATGGCAAGTCTGGTGGTTTGCTGACCATGCCGGCCGCCAACTCCGCCTTTTCTCGAGATTGCACGACCATACAGAAGGTGAAGGAGAACCGGCATGAGCTCGGCTCTGTGTTCAGGCTTAATGGCGGTGTCTCCCTGGAGGAAGACGGTGATCTCGTTCTTGAAACGAGCTTCGTCGAGAAGGTACTCTAGGTTCTCCTGATACGTCTTCACGCCATCTTGCTTCCATGCTAAGATAGCCTTCAAAGCAAGCTTTTGAAGGTCCAGATCACCATTTGCCAACAGTTGCAGCAAGACCTCGTAAACTTGTTCGTGCTGGAACAAGACTCTCGGATTGATGAACTGCGCGAACACAGCGACAAGCCCCTTTCTGTCGGCCAATGACCAGAATGCTGCTTGCGATTGAGCGTCATCTTCACCTTGAGCATCGAGTGCACCGTCCTCTTCCCGAGCCCAGGCAAACAGATGGGGCACAAGCTGGCGGGACCTTCTCTCGGCGATGGAAGGCAGTGCTTTGAATACCTTCAGCGCCTGGGCCTTGGCGTTTGTTGAGAACGGCTCGACCAGTCGCTGAGTGTCATCAAACTTCTGCAGCATCAGATCATCTGAGCCGTCAGACGCTTCCTGGACGCTCTTTGCTGCCGCCTGAAGATAGTTCAGAGTGGTGCATTCAAAGTCCGAGTAGAAAGAGCGAGCAGAGCCACTGTCGGATTGCGGCGGTGTCCATCGCGGCGATGGAACTTCCAGCCATCGAAATGCGGCGGCAGCAATAGCTTCTTCGCCAGATTTACTCTCGGCAACCTGCTTCATAGCTTCTATTGAATCGTCCCAGACTGGTGACAAGTTGACCGTCAGCATGCCAAACATGAAGTTTGGTATTCCCTTCTTCAGCCAAGTCGAGTCTGTCAGCGAGCCGTATTCTTGCCCAAGCTTGCGCAGATACATGGCGATTGATCGAGTATGGTCTAGCGTCAACGGAGATTGCTCAATCTGAAGCATGATCTCGACACACTGAGACTGTTTCGGCGCGTTGGTCATCTTGCTCAACAGCTCCAAAGATGCCAACCGAATGTCATGAGATGGCGAGGTCAAGTTATCAACCAGAGACTGGATCACCGGATCATCTTCAGAATTTGGGGTATCGCTACCGGAACCATCGTTCTTGTCGACTTCGTGCCCGTTTGGCAATGTCTGCTCATAAGCCAGATAGGTCCGAAGGAAGCCCACAGATCGTGCGAATCGCGGCACGGCTGCGCGAAGCAGGGGAGCGAGTTTCGGATCAGTGGAACCTGCTGTCTTGCTCATCCCCAGGTAGGCATGGAACCCTTGGCTGACAATGAAGTTGACCTCGTCGGATGCGAGCGAGGAAGAGGGCCGAAGGGCGAGCTTCAGTTTCCGCAACAGAAGCTCGGCAATCCGTGCGTTGGTCGATGGATGAACGGAAGTCAGCTCGAGAATTCGGAGCAGAGCGGCGTATTTGGGCAGACATCTGTCTCTCCAGGTTTGGGGGTCTTTGTCGTAGGGCCCTCTTTCGGGGAAAGGTGAGATCTCCAGGCTTTCGAACTTGGAGACGATCTGATCCTGCCATGCCTGAGGGAGTCTGCAACAATCTTTCTCCCCAGCAGAGGGGAATCCTCGGTTTTCGATAATCTTTGGCAGCAACACGCACAGCATGTCTTCGTTTTGCCCCTGAGACCAATGAGTTGCAATGAATCTGGGCAAGGTTAGCACACGCCTGAAGGAGATTGATAAGGGTTTTTAACTTACTTCTGGAAGTCACTGCGGAATAGGCTTCCGAAACGACTCGGATCGAGTTCGCTAAAGTAAGAACAAAAGGGTATGAATAATCTCATGTATGGCTCTCTCGTCAGGCATTGGAGAAGACGGGTAATCTGAGGGATGAGGGAGTCCATTGGGGCGTGATGGCAGGCAATTGCCACATTGACAACAACCGACGTCCACAGCAGGTCATTCTTCCCGGTAGCTTCATCGATAGGCTGTGTGGCTGTTGAGAGGAGCTCAACAAGGAGTCGGACGAGGCGCGGCCAGTCGCTGATTCGATTTCCTTTTCGAACACCGGCGAGCACGCCGAGGATCCTGACATATGGCACCATCCACCAATGAGAACCCTCGTCATGAGGCTCCTTCAGCTCGGCATCACATCTATCAAGGATTGCCTCTGCAAATTCCTTGAACGTGTCTGCACCGGTATGATGAATGACGCTGGTCAAAACGCCACATACCAAGTCCGTCCATGTGGTGATCTCAGCCAGTGTGCGCTCCTCCTTTGGAATCGCGTTTACCAGCTCGAGGAAGATGGCGGATCCAGCCGAATGAATCGTTCGATCTGTTCCTTTGATGGCTTCGGCAAACATGGTCATGATGCCATCTTTGTACAGCATAAACTGCCTGTCTTCCGCCATCTTGCTTATATCGTCCCGCACGTACTCGACGAAAGTGACAAGAGCCGTCTCGCGCAGGGAGGGAGCCGCCGCTTTCCTGACAAGAAAGCTCATGGCCTCGGCACCGAACCGCGCAATAAACGGAGGATGTTTGGATTTGCCGAGAAGCGGCGCCATGACGGCGTATGTCGGTCGGAGGTCCGGGACTAAAAGTTTGGACAAGTACTTGAAGAGGAACGCAAGAGCACCAAAGGTCCATTCAATGACTTCCACCGGCTGAGGGCGTCCGGCAATGGCCAAGATGAGTTCCAGACTCTGTGAGAAGTACTTTTCGAATCGGATGCCCAGGTCGTGGGCAAACGCCGTCAACAAATCGAGCAGCGGTTCCAGCCCTTCTTTATCCTGCTCCGAAATGTATTTGACAAAGGAAGCCATGATTCGCTCCTCAAAGTGCAGAATCTGCGGCAAGCTGTCGCAGAGCGGGAGCACCTCCCTCTTGAACGAGGAAAAAGGCTTCGAGATGTTGAGCTCGCTCCATTTCTGCAGTCCATTCTGAAGATAGGACGTCGTCGAGGCAAGGTCTTCGGTCTCGAGGTCATGTCGGCGAACCTTGCGCAGCGGCTGCAGCGAGTTGAACTTTGCAATCTTGGTCGAAAACGACTCCCAGCGGTGATTCTTCTGGTGGGGAGTCGAGTTCTTGCTCTTCCGAGCCTTCTCGATGCGGCCGGAGGATCGGGCGGGCATCGTGGCGGCGGCTGGGGGTGAAGCTGTGGAAAATGTTTTCGACCGCAGTCTTGAAGCGTCCAAGGACGAGAGCTGGTGCATCTTGTTTCCTCCCCACTGTAAAGTTCCCGAAATTTTTTGGCCGGCAGATCATCGGCCGAACCGATAAGAGCAGCCGTGCTCCACTGCGCGCAGGATTGGCCAATCACGTGTAAGGCGCAAATCCTTATCAGCACCGAGCTTTTGACGTCGCGTGTCCGCGCATCTCACATGCACCGAGCTGCCACTTGCTATTACATACACATCACTCTGCATCTTCAACACCAACAGCTTTCTCTCTCTCTCTCTCTTCTACACTACCACATACAGTCACAGAAAAGCCTTAGATTGCAACTCCAGATCAGCCGGGCAAGATGGCTGCACCCAAGATGTATGTAATTTTCTCCCAGAGCATGCGCCGCAGCTCACCATAGGTACTGACATGAGCGTTCTGCCAGCATCGTCCTGGGTAGCTTAAACGGCCAGCTCGAGCCGGCATTCAAGAAGCTAGCTACCCTCCACTCGAAGAACCAATTTTCCCTAGCTATCCTCGCAGGCGACGTATTCACAACCGACACCGACGACGAGACGATTTCCGCCCTGTTGGCAGGGACCATTGAGATTCCCCTGCCCACCTACTTCACCGTCGGCATCCATCCCCTGCCGCCTCGAATTGCAGCCAAGATCGAAGCCGACGAGGAAATATGCCCCAACCTTCACTACCTCGGAAAGCGAAGCGTAACAAAGACGGCCGAAGGCGTAAGAATCGTAACGCTCGGCGGTGTCCTCGACCCGAACCTGGTAGCAGGCCAATCACAAGAACAGCACTTGCCCTTCCACACGGCAGGCGATGCAAAGGCCTTGCGAGGCGCCAACAGCACCGACATCCTGTTGACCGCCATGTGGCCGGCGAAGATCTGGGCGGGCTCCAAAGTCGTCCTCGAACCTGCTCATCAGGCTCTTGTCAGCAGCTCCGAAGAAATTGCCGATTTATGTGCGGCCTTAAAGCCTCGATATCACATCTCATCCTCCCCAGACGCCTTCTTCTACGAGAGAGAGCCTTTCGTCCAGCAGTCTGACAAAGACGCCAATGCCTTCTCCGCTACACGATTCATCTCCATGGCACCCTATGGCAACGAGAAAAAAGCAAAGGCAATGTACGCCTTCACCCTCAACCCAACAGACACGACCATTCCCCCTGGCGCCACCGCCTCACCCTTTGCTTCCCGAACCGCCACCGCCAAGCGCGGGAGGCAACAACAACAACAACAAGATGAAGGCTACAGCCGCTTCGGTAATCATCACGACGGCCACCAGGGCCGCCACAAGCGCCGCCGCGCCTCGCCCCCTCCCGGCCCCGACCGCTGCTACTTCTGCCTGTCCAACCCCAACATCTCCGCCCACATGTGCTGCAGCATCGGCGACGAGGCCTACATCACGACCGCAAAGGGGCCCCTGCCGACGTCCACGACGTTTGCCGACAAGGGGCTCGACTTCCCGGGCCACTTCATCATCATCCCGCTGCCGCACGCCCCGACGATAGCCAGCATGGGCAGCACCGCGGACCCGGCCAGCGAGGCCGTCAAGGCATACAACGAAATGTCCCGCTTCAAGGAATCCCTACAGGCCATGATCGCCGCCAAGAGCTCCCACAGGCTCGGCGCCGTCACGTGGGAAATCAGCCGCGACCGCAACGTCCACCTCATCTGGCAGCTCGTCGCCGTCCCCGCCGACATGATCCAAAAGGGCCTCGCCGAAGCCGCCTTCCGCGTCGAGGCGGAGAACCTCAACTACCCGGCCTTTAGCGCCACCGACATACCCCTGGAGGGCCTGTCGACCGCCGGCGACTTCTTCCGCGTCTGGCTGTGGGCGGACAACGGCGAGGACAAGATTAAGGGAAAGTCCCTCGTTATGCCGCTCGCGCGCGACGCGCGCTTCGATCTGCAGTTTGCGAGGAGGGTGCTGGCGAAGCTCCTGGGGCTCGAGAGCAGGCTGAGCTGGCAGGACTGCTCGCAGTCTGTGGAGGAGGAGACCAAGGATGTGGAGGCCTTTCGGGAGGCGTTTAAGGAATGGGATTTTACTCTTTGATGGCGCACATTACTATGCAATGGTGATTGATGGCGAACGTTGCTTTTTTTTTTATCGACAGCAGGATCGAGAGTCAACACTCTACTTCCTCTTCGTCCTCCTGGGAATATATATCCTATGGCGTTTTGGGCTCACACAGCCTCCACCATTACACACGCATCTTACACGGGGAAAATGTCCAGTTTATACACTTCCAATAGCATAGGTAAAAAAATGACAAGGCAAATCCAATGGAGATATAAAAGGCCTCCATATACGCGTCCTTATCAGAAGAGCAGTATCCCCGGCGCACTGCTCTTGGGTTGGTTAATTGCATAACATTCGCAAGGAGCGAGAGTAAATCACTGGCCATGATGATGAGATCTCCATATGTAAACTACCTACTATCATAAACTTAATCACACACTTATTCAAGCAAAGAGACAAAGATTGATACTTCAAATGCGTGTATAAGCTAGCTGGGTCCTCTATGTCCATGTCCTTCAGGGCATAATGTACAGCCATGGCTGTCGAGAGAATCGTCTCCCACTGTCTAGCTAGTCCTACAACAGTAAAACACAAGCGCCGCCCTGGGTTGCTGCGCTCCATGGCTCATTACAATGAGCAGAGGGATGGTCATCCTCCTATAGTGAAAGTATGAACATGCAAAGATCAAAGGGGGTGATACAAATTCGTCCTGGGGGGTTTTCTATCAACGCGAAACACACACGTTGAGGGGTATTCATTCCTGACAAAGGGGGGGAGGGGGGAGGAAGGGGCATGCAAATAACACAATCAGGCAGTGTGCCGCAGTAGGGTTCTGGGCACCCGATGTGAGCCCTCCATCGGCAGAGATTGTGAGGTCCAAGAGCGGCAATGCTGCAAAGGTCCTGAAAATACGAGCGGGTACATCCAACGACTGAGAAATCGGAACAAGGCTTCCGACGAGACCGTTTCGTTGGAATGAAAAGACAAAGAGAGGTTACTTCGAAAGGAAAGAAGAGGAGAAGAAGAAGAGGTTGGCAGCGGTCCGTTGGCAGCCTGAGAAGCGTGAGGAAACAAGCAATACTACCTGGGGCTTCAGGATAGCTCCAGGTACGATTCCGGTCGCGGACGCCTCGCTCTTTTCAACGTCCGAGTGCAATGCATCGCCAGAAGCCAAACGCAACACAACTTTCCATCGTGAAAACATAGCGCCCCAGCGGCAGCTCCGGACAAACCACATGCGCAACACCATAAGCGTCGTTCGGTCTGGGCTAGTACTAGTAGGACGCCATGCGGCGACTCTGTGCCCGGTCACCGCAACTGGGCGAGTCGGTGGTGGAATCAGCAGGGGGAGAAGCATTGCGGTTCCGCGAGTGAGGACGAGATGGTCCCGTGGGAGAATCGTGAAGGCTCGTGCTACGCTGACCAAAAGCAAAGGTCTGCGCGCGACCAAAGGGCTTCCGGGCCTTCAGGCGGCCCATCTCTCTCTCACAGGTCCTCTGATGCTTCTCATCTGACATCTCAACGTACTCGGGGGGGAAGCATCTCGAACGATGCTCGGCGAAGAAGCCGCTGTAGCCCCCGTCCAGAATATAAATCTCTGGATAGGTCAGGCGAGGGTAGTGCTCTGCGTTGATGGTGCGGTCGTGAGAGCGAATGTGACGCGCCATGAGGGGGGCTCTGTGGGCCGAGTATTCGCAGTGGAAGATTAGTAGAGTCAAGCCGTCCATCGGGGTTTCGAAAAGCTGGTTAGCCAACAGCTCCTTGTTGTTGTGATTGACAGCGCTATCGATGTGGCCGCCTTCATACTCGTACTCGAATCGACAGTCGATGACCATGCGTTGAGCAAACTTGTCGCTGTACTTGCCGTCCAAGATGGCCAGCATCGTCTCCTTGGTGATTCGAGGGATGGTATCCGTGGGATCATCTGCGAGGAAATGAGGGATGATGGGCTCGTGGGCCTCTTCAATATCAGCCACGGAGGACTTGAGGACGGGCGAAGCGGCAAGCGCTCCCTCGGGCTTCGGCTTCATGACGTCCGAAGGGCTTTCAAACATGCTCAGAGAGCGACGGAATTGCTTTCGGGTTCTCAAAAACGGGTTCGACTGTCTCCTAGTATGAAGGCCACCCGGCGAGCCATGGCGACTGTTCCCTGCGACGACACTTGCGAATTGAGACCTCGCACGGAGACCAATGGGAATAGATGGGCATGGGCTGTTGGACAATGATGGCCTGCTGCTGCTGCTGCTGCTGCGGTCTTGTTCGGGAGAAGCGGACTCGAAGCACTCATCGAGCGAAAGGGTCGAGGTATCGGCTCCAAACTGAAGTGATGAGGTTTGAGGGCTAGAAAGACCACTGCCGGAAAGTGCCTTCAACCGGCCAGAAGTCATCCGCCTCGGGGCTGCTATCCTACGGCTTGCCACGCTGTCGGTGTGTCCTCGGCTGCGTCTAACAAGCGTCTGGACTGGCGAGGCAGCGATGGGCTTCAGCGGCTCCAGGGACGCCTGGCGTACGCGCCTCACCGACTCCGGAGAGGACTGGCGAGAAATCGGGGCCGGAGAGTCAAGCATGGTGGCATCGTTGAACACTAAAGAAGCTGGCGTGGGCGACGCAATCTCCACGATGTTGCTGAACTTCACCTTGTGGGGGAGAGGGGACGATTCGATGTGATCGGGAGCCGGGATGGGCGAGGATGCTACCTGAGGAGTAGTAGCCACAAAGTCTGCGGTGCGTCAGCCAAACCATAGTCGTGCCCGGCTACTGAAGCTCGCGAGAGAGGATCCTACCTGTGCTGCTCACGCCGTCGACAACCTTTGCCGTGAAGAGTGCTCGTCGTGGCGTCAGGAGCTTGGGACTGTGCATCTGTTAGCATCGTGATTTCAACCCCCACTGTGATCCAAGGTGGACGACAAACCTGGCCTCATGATCAATCTCCAAGTTCTGGGACAAATCAGCCGCCAGGCTCGCAGCAGGAGACGATCCCCGGACGCCCTTGATGTCGAAGAGGTCTCCCGTGCCCTTATGCAGCTGCTCGCGAAGGCTCAGAGAGCCCGAAGCAGATTTGTTCTTGTAGTGAGAACGGAAGATGTCTCTGCCTCCCCATGCAGGAGCAGGCATTGGGCGGTGCAGAGCCGCCACAGGCGATGAAGCTTCCATTTCCAAGGACGTGTCGCCGATACCTCGCTCTGTCCGAGGTACCTTACCTACTCGACAGCTCCCGACAGCAGCGCTGCTACTTGATATACGGAGCGTCGAGGGATTGGAAAGAGGAAAGGACCAAAGAAGGGCAATCAAGAGCTTCGACGTTCTAGCTCGGCCCAAACAATGGCTCCTCACAATCACCACACGAGCCCGAGCTCCCCTCCTGTTCTTTGTGTCGCGCCTCTTTATTCAGGGCCAGCGTATGCAAGCGGACGGTTCGGCAATTGGGGTTCTCTGCGCCTTTCTTTGTTTGCTCACGTCCAACTTGCTGCGAGTTCTAATAAGAGGCATGAATCGAAGCCTGCGGTGGGGCGGCAGGGCTTTTTCTTTATCGTCGTTACAGTCGTACTATTACCAGATGCTTGTAAGATTGGGCATGGAGTTGATCGTAACGTCGTGTCGTCAAAGGGCGTCTGCTCTCGTTCTCCGTCTCGAGGGGACAAAGGTGGACGCGGACGCGGACGTGGATGTGGACGTGGACGTGCAACTATCGTGTGTCTCTTCCCGGACCAGCATGCGGTAATAGGTACTGAGTGCAGCCCAAGCCCTGCAAGGCCCGGAGTAGCTGTAGCAGCTCAGTGCCTTTTGCAGCTACACAGCAAGCGAGGCCGTCCGTTCGCTTGTCCGCACAAGACGCAGCGCGATTGGCGAGCAGGGAGCCTGTTCTGTCTGGCTGTCGGGTCCTTGGGAGTCGTGACGGGCGGGTGAGGGTGAGAGAAATGAGGAACAGATGAGGAGGCCGCGCCTTTTCAATGGTCGTTGCACCAAAACGAGGGCCAGGGTCAGGGCCAGCAACCGGGCTTGGGATGGAGTTGGACGTTGTTAGGGGTGATTGGGGGGGGGTTTTTTAGGGACGATGGGCGCTGCTGTGCAGAGAGACGAAGCCCGGGTCTGGTAAGGCCTGGGCTGGTACTCGTCAATGTACCGATACCGTCCGTGCCTCTGGCGCCGCAGAGGTACCCGCTACCCGTAGCAATTGAGTACATACTCGTATAGCGGCCACAGGGCACCTTAACACTTACCTAGTAGGTTCAGAGGGAGCTGCAGCGGGCCATCCCAGTCCAGGGTCAGCATCAATAGCTGCCCTCAACGGACCGTGCAATTGTGGGCAGTTGCCCCAGCAGGTACCTACCTACATGTAACGAGTACTTGACCTCGTACCAAGGTAATTGAGCGCGTTGCCATACAATCAACCTACCAGTAGTACTACGATCCGTTCGTTGATCCAGCGCCCTCTTCGTGGCCATCTCAGCGGTTGCTCAGTGAGCGGTGGAGCGTTTTGGTGCTCGGTGGGCGCTTAAGCAGGCGGGAGCTGGCAAGAATCGCGGGTACCCGCTACTTCCGACCCTCCTAGGGCCTCCCGTTTGCTGAGTCTTCAGTTGTCGAGAGCTCGTGCCTTTACATGCCCGTACTACAGGAAATGGTCACCATCGCAGCTTGCCGGAGCTTCTAAACTCGACCTGCGAATGTACCGGTACCTGGGGATGGGTCAAGCGGCGGTGAGAAGTGGGAAGACCGTGATAACATTGAATGCTCCGTCCAGATGGATTTCAAGTCAGGTCATTCAATAACAGCACAGCCTGCAGGCTTCAGAACCTGTTACTATCCTAGCGAGCCAGCTAGCTACCTTAGGTAGGGACAGAAGAGGCCGTCGCTGCCATGAGCATTGAGGCCTGCAGGGCAGAAACGCGAGGTTCAATGATTGATGGCTCTCATAATGCCTGAACCGGCCATCGAGCCCAGTACAAGCACAGCTTTGCCGTGTACACTCGAGTGTAAGCACATGAAGGATCAACATTGCTATCAGAGGGAGCTTCGAGTTCTCGTGAACCTTGAAAGGGCAGCTCAAGGTTCGAAGCTCACCCGTGCGTGTCTTGCCAGACAAGGCGCGTGCCCTGCTTTGTTCCAGCCGTTGGCTCGCTGTCAGTAACGCGATGACTAGACGCAGGCCTCTGCTCCGCTTGTCGTCCAGGCTGCCTCGCCCTAGAAACGGACGTGGATACATACGAGCTGCATGACATTGGACCTCGAGGCTCGCTCAGCTGGTGATGCTGAAAGCAGGTGCTACTAGTAGTATGAGTATGGATCTATAAGTGAGGCTTGAAACCCCGGATGTGAACGCGTGAGCTTTCAGTGTCTGATCTGTGATGTCGCTCAGATTTCTTCATACTACTACCAGCTTATGACAACCCGCATTGACCCCAACGCTTTGAACGGCTTCAATGACAATGATGCTTGCACCTTTTCTTTGAGCGTCAAAGCCGCAGCAATGCCTTCATTCTGCACTTGGCCGCTCAATTGACCCATTTGTTCATTGACTCAAGCTGCCTCTTTGACCCAAACAACTGCCAGCTTCAGGAGCGATGCTGACTGGCTCGCACGTCACAGCCCGGCTGCACCAATCCGGCCATTTCCTTCATTCACCTCGTTTGCTCCTCGCACAAAACCTCCTTGGTACCTGTACGGAATATCCAGAAACAGAAACAGGAAAGGAGAGAGACATTGGTTCCGTTGTCGCCCTGCCGGCGCTTGTCCGAGTCCGGTTGAGCCGGTGATCCTGTCTCGCCCCCGTGAATCAAACAATTTGCAGCGGGTGTTCAGTTTCCCTGGCGATGGCCTCGACTGGCGGGCCTTTTTTTGTGCCCTCTTGCAACGGTCAATCCCTGCCCTCCATGCTCATCCACTCTGACGAGAGACATGCATGCTGATTGATACGAGGAACGGAACGCCTTCTTGCTAACCTGAGCTAGCGCTTTGGCTTGGAAGAGCTGGCTGTCGCCCTCGGATCCTCGTTCGTTAATACACGCAAACGCGTCTATGGCTGGTTCGGACCACGGACCACGATCCTCTCGCAGCTCCCTGGAGGAAGGTGCTCAGATGGCTCAACTAAATCTTGTTTCTGGCATCTTCTCTCTCATCCACTTATTATGCCTCATAATACGGGATGAAGCAAATCGCAATCAAAATCTAGAGCATCTCTTGCATACGCCATGCAATGCTAATCCCACTTCGCGCCCTGGCTCCGCTTGAGCACCATCCTCGGCGAATAATGTCGATACTGATGAGCATGGCCAGGGTATTTTACGCTTCTGTAAATCGGACAACGGACTTTATGCCCTCCAGGTTAGGATCAACACTGGCAGACTGGAAGGACAGCTTGGACAGCTAAACCTTGAAGCCCCGAGGCGTCAATTACGAGCCATTCCAGTGTCGTCGGATCGGTCGATTCCAAGCCAACGGATTCCGTCACTGAGGACCATTGCGATATTAACCGCGCTCCTGAGACGTCATACTTGGATAATCCATAAGGTCTAGTATCATCCCGCCTGCTCCGGTGATGATTGAAAGGCACACAGATTCCGAGCTCATCTTGTGAAAGTGCCCGTCAGCTCACACGACAGACAGGGCTTGTCTCTTCGCTAACTTCTAGCGCGACAGCTCGGTGTCTTAGGTATGAACGGCCTCGTCACGGGAGAATCTCTGGAACTGATTCGCGGATGAGCAGATGGACCACACGACCATCCTGCAGGTGTCATGCCCAATGTGCTGTGCGTACTTGCAACCGCCAATGGCGCCTCTGTTTCCACTTCGTCCCGTCTCTACACCCCGTTTCCTCGTCCGTTCGACTGACATGCTGTAGCAACGGTGGGCACCTGCACACTCACATGCAGCCCGTAAGAAAAACCATGGATGCACGGTAATCGGTCCACTGCCGACAGTGCCGGGGGCTGTTGATCTCTGGCTTTGCTTTGGCTCACAGGGCTTCACAGGGCTGATGGATGATGACGAGCATCCGTCGGCTGCCATAAGAAGCTCCTTAGCTCCCGTTACCATTTCAAAGCCCAACCCAACGGCAGACACAGACACCTTAGCTTTGCCAACTTCTAGTAGAACAAATTCAGCTAACTGCGATGCTCTCACGCATGGAGCCCTCGACGTTTCCTGAAGCGGCAAAGTCCCGAGCAGCCGTGCCTCCGCCTTGCAAGGGATGAGCAGAGCTATTCAATTCTTGCGAGAGCTTCTCGTCCTGTCGTTTTGCGTCAAAGGACCCGATGGCGTCGCAGTGGATGCGACGTGATACGAGCTGTCTCCTCCGTAATTCATGCGGAAGAAAAAAAAAGCCGTTTCAGAGGCCGCATTGACCCGGGGCTCCATCGTGCAGAGGGGAGAGTGAAAGGATCTGTCCATTGCCAGGGCACATGCAGAAGATGGAGGGCGCGGATAATAAAACAACACGCGACAGTGTTTGTGCCCGAGTAAACAGACTGACGCGTCTCGATCCTTTTACCCCGCAGCTTGCCCGGCAACAAGAGCTGCTGAGCCGCGAAATCACGTGGCTTGGCCGCTTCAGGGTCAGCTTTTTCCTTGTGCCAATTATCGAAGCTGCCTGGTCGTTGCCTCATTCAGCTCCAGCTGTAATATCGAATGCATAGGTATGAATCTGCTGTAATACTCACAACACTCTTTCTATTGGGCGCCATGGACGTGTATGTACCACTAGGTATCAAGCAGCGCTGTTGTGACGATGCATGAAGTTCTTGCGTCAGATATACAAGCGGCAGCAGAACCGGAGTCGATACGCAAACGTTCGGCAGTATGAGTGAGATTCTTACCAAGTTCCCCAACTATTTTGCAAACACAAGGTAGCTTCTATATCACAAAATCTATGGCCACAACACGCAAACTCCACCGATGACAATACTTTGTACTCAGCAATTGTGACTCTTCATCGCTCTTGCGTGTACCTACTGTACTCGTCAAAGAGCATCCCAGCAACTGTCCCAAAAGAGAAACATGTGAATGTTCATAGACGGATAAGTGTGGGGCCAAAGTGGTGGGGCACCAGAGCGGTGTCTCGCGGCAGAATCTTTTTATCGTGGAATTTTCTAATCAATCTTGAATGATAATGGCACTGCAGCGTCGCATATAGGACGACATCATTGCCATTGCATTTTCCAAGTGCCTATCAAACAACCCTTGAAAATGGGCAGCAAGCGAAAGCGCGGAGGCAAGGACGCCTCCAATGTCACCCCAAACTCACAGAAAAAGGCAAAGAATGCCGCCTCGGTCCCCGTTCCAGTCGCCGCAACCGCAACCGCAGCACCAACCACAACCGCAAAGCCAACCCTGGACAAGACTCCCTTTGTCGAATCTCCAACACTCGAAGACCGGAAACGCGAGGGCCTCCTATACGAGCTTCTCGGCAGCGAGGACGAAAATGACAGAATAGAGGCTGCCGATTGCATCATCTCCGGGCTCCTCGGCGGCGAGGGCGTTGCCGAACCAGTCCTGCAGAGGCATCTCGACCGACGGCTCTTCCGAGGACTCTCCAGCGGCCGCAATGCTTCGCGCATCGGCTTCAGTCTGGTCATTACTGAGATTCTCAGCCAGCTGTTTGGAGATAAGGCGCTGAGCCTGGAAGACAAGTACAGCGGACTGACCTTTGACAAGGTGCTGGGTTTCCTGTTGGAAAAGGCCAAGATTGTGGGCAACATCCCCGGCCAGGAAGAGCGAGACATCTTCTTGGGCCAACTGTTCGGCATTGAGTGCTTTGTTAAGAGTCGCACTCTTTTCTCGGACCCCTCGAGATGGAACACTATACTGGAGGAGCTGTTGAAGTTGAGCAACAAGAAGGTCTGGCTCAAGTCGCAATGCGGATGGGTTCTCGTCCAGGCATTGCAGCAGATGGACAAGGCGCAGACCAAGGCCACACTTGAGAGGCTTTCAAATGCCGGTGTGGCCAAGACTGCCGAAGGAGTTGCTGTCTGGTTGGTTGCGCTTAGCCGGTTCCCCGATCTTCAAGTCAAGCCCTGGCAGCATCCTCTCGCGAGAAAGACTCTCGGCGAGCTGGCTGCCATCTTGAAGGAAAGCTTCAATGAGACGAGCAAGGACTCTTCCAGCAATTCAAGGAACAACCAGCAGGCAACCTGGACGGCCCAATTGCATTTCGTTTGGGACCTTATCCTCAACCACTATCTCAAGAACGGAGAATCAGAGGTCGAAGAGTTTGCTCACTTCTGGGGCCGAGTTGTCGACGGTGAGTTCATCTCGCAAGCATTATATAGGCAAAGCTAACTTTTGATGCAGATGGTTTGTTCTCCAAGCAGGCCACTGACGGCCAGAAGTTCAAGGGCTTCATCGTCTTCCAAAAGTTTCTCGAAGGCTGCATCGAGCACCACACGTTATTACAGATCCTGTTCAGCAAGAACCTTATGACGTCTCTCATGAACCAAGCTGCAAAGGAGGACCGCTACCTGCATCGAGCCGCCATCAAGGCACTCAAGGCCATTGAGGGCGCTGTCTCTGCTCACCCCACTGCCCTGGTTCCCGTCCTCGAAAGCCTCTTGAGCAGGAATGGCGTCTACAACTTTGATCAGCGCACCAGCACAAAGACGATTGACAAGCTGCTGCAGAATTTCAACTCGGAGAATGACAAGGCGACGTTGAAGATTATTATGGCTCCTATCGCGAGTCTTTCACAACAGGAAGTCAGCGAGGCTCAGACCATACTCAGAGTACACATTGACTACCTCTCCAAGGTTCTCGCTGCATGTGCTTCGCTCAGCGCAAAGGAGTCTCAGTCCGACAAGTTGAAGGGCACCTCTCTGAGCGCGACACTGCAGCAGCTATCGCGACTTGCCTACTCTCAGCCAGAGGATATACCCAAAGACGTCTTGACGGAGCAGATCCAAGAGCTGGCCCGATCTCGCTTGGAGTCTGCGCTGGCGAAACTGACCCGACAGACTGCTGACTTTGTCACATTCTGTCAGGCAGTTGCCTCCATCGACTCAAGTGCAGTGACCATGTCCGAGGAGATCAAAGAGGCTGTTCAAGGCGCACTGTCGAGAATGCAGAAGCTGCTGAAGCAAAAGACAAAGACGGACAACGACAAGACCTTGACGCAAGGATTGGCGATGCTCCACGCCATCTCCGTTTTCCAGCTATACAACCAAGACCCAGATGCCATGGAAGTCCTTGACGATCTGGCACAGTTCCACGACAGGCTTCAGGAGGGCAAGCTCGGCGACGACACTGGCAGCTCAGAATTCCTGGTCGAGATATTGCTGTCCATGGTGGCTCGCCCTTCGTCATTGATGCGGCAGGTTTCACAGCAGGTCTTTGAAGCTTTCACTTCTCAGATCTCCGCTGGCGGCTTGGAACTGCTGACTGACCCCCTGTCGGCAAACGAGAGCGCCAAGGGTCAGAAGGAGCTCTTCGACACGGAAGAGGACGGCATGGACGTTGACGAAGGCTCCTCAGATGGCGAGGACGACGATGATGTAGAGGAGGTTTCCAATCTCGAGGTTGACTCTGACGTCGAGTTTGTCGACCTCGAAGACGCCGATGGAGAAGACGGCGATGACGACGCAGAGGATGAAGATGAAGAAGACGAAGAATCCGACGACGACGACGACGAAGAAGGTGACGACAAAGACAAGACCAAGAAACAAAAGCCAATCCAAGTAGACCTCGACGACCTCATGGGCCAAATCCTCAAAAGCCACCGGCTCGACAAGGACGCCGAAGCGGAATCCTCCGCCGACGAGGGCGACATGTCCGACTCGCAAATGTTCGCCCTCGAGGACAAGCTGGCCGAGGTCTTCAAGCAGCGCGCAAAGGCCCGCCCGGACAGCAAGAAGCAGAAAAAGGACGCCAGGCAGTCCGTCGTCAACTTCAAGCACCGTATCCTCGACCTGCTCGACATCTTTGTGCGCAACGAGGTCCTCAGCCCGCTCGGCTTCGGCCTGCTGATTCCGCTGCTGCACCTCGTGCGGACGACGACGACCAAGACGCTCGCTAGCCGCGCGTGCGAGATTATCCTCAATTACCAGCGCGGCATGAAGAAGGCGAGGAGCGGCGCCATCAAGGACAAGGATGGCAGCAGCGCTACTACGGAGGCGACGGCGCTGCCGGCTTACGACGCGGACCAGCTGCTCTCCGTGCTCGTCGAGATCCACGAGGAGGCAGGCAAGGACAATGCGCACGCCTTTGCAAAGGCCGCCAGCGCCGCCAGCTTGATCGTCGCGTCGGCCATGTTCGCCTCGGACAAGGAGCTGGTCAAGAGGGTGGCGGCGGTGTACGCAAAGACGCAGTCGGACTGGGTCCTGGGCCAGGCCAAGCTGCAGAGCTCGTTCTTTGCGGACTGGAATAATTGGTGCCAGAACCACGCTTCTCAGGGGCGGTAATTGTGATACCCGTGTAGGTTAGACTTTTTCAGGTAAAATATAATAGAATAGAGCAGCGTATCAAGACACACATGAGAACTGAAAACACGCATGACGGAGATCAAGGCTTTGTGCCACAAGGGACAAATTCATCCAGAGGAAAGCATTTCTCTATGAGCCTTCTCGTTGGTGAAGAACACACGTGTTTGCCCCAGACACCTGAAAGATTGTAGAAGAACACAGCGTAAAACTCCATTATTTAGTCTTCCATCTTGTCCTCGTCCTTCTTTTCTTCCTCTTCCTCGTCGTCAGACTCGTCCTCGGCCCTCGCTAACCTCTCGGCCTCCTCCCTCAGCTCCTTGGGCACCTCCACATGCCGTCCCTTGGTCGGGCCGTCGGCTGTGCTGATCCAGGTCATCTCCAGCTCAAATTCCTTGTCCTTGTTGTCCTTGTGGGCAATGTAGATGATCCGCGCGGCCTGCTTCACGGCCTCGAGCAGCGTGATGTTGCCGGCCGGCAGATCCAGCTTCTCCAACTCCGCCTTGGCAGCCTGCCTGCCCTTGCCCGTTGCCGCGCCGTAGTAACCCCAGTACAGACCGCTGGGCTCAATCATGTAGAGGAAAGGGCCGCCGTGCTTGCCGGGGACCTTGCCGCCGGCGCCCACCGAGGGCCCTGAGCCGACCTCGCCGTCTACGGGGGTCTCTTCTGAGGTGTCGACGCCGCCAATGATGGCCGTGATGCCAAACGGGCGCACGGAGCCGTACATGGTGTATGCCTGGAGATAGCCGCCCATGCGGGAGGCGAGGTCGGCTGTGGGGATCGGGGTCTTGAAGTTCTGGCGCCAGCTCTGGGCCTCGTCTCGAGCACGGTCGACGAAGTGGCGGCCGTCGGGGATCATGCCTGAGTATACCTACAAGGGAGAACAACGGTGAGCATCAGACACGAGTAAGAGCTGCTAGCCGGCAGGAGTAAGGAAGTGGTAGCATACTGCTCCGATATGGCTGTCCACGCTGCCGATTCTCTTGTTGGCATTGGGCTTCTGCAGCTTGGATGCGACAATCTTCTCGACGGCCAGGACGACGCCGTCCTTGCACCGGATGCCGATCGAGGTGCCGCCATTCTCTACCGCCTTGACGGCATATTCGACCTGGAAGTTGCGGCCATCAGGCGAGAAGATGGAGTTGAGGAGATCGTAGCCCGTGCCGATCGACGTCTGTTGAGATGCATGGCATCAGATGGCCCTCGAGTTAGCTATGCACTCCCCAGCTCAGATATGAACCAAGAAAGGGTAGCTTTGCTGTAAGTGAACTGGCACTTGCAGCAATGCTCGGTGAGTGGGAGGCTTTACCATGATTGGCTCTGTGATGTGTGTGGTTTCTGCTGCGTGAAGAGGAGAAGAGGGAGAATCACAGAGGAATGGCGGATGGTCGTGGGAGGTTCAATCGGCGTTGGAGGGGCTGCAGTTGAGATTCGTCTGGCTTGGAGCTCCAGCCAGGCAGCCTGAGAGCTGCGTAGTTGCGCTCCAGCCGCCCGCACAAGGCTGGACGCAGCGGTGCCTGAGGCGCAAAGAAACGCTGAGCCACAGGCTGAGAACGTTCGTCAAGCCACAGCTCGAGAAGTGCTTGAGCCACGGTGAGTTTGATTACATAATGGGATGCGGACACCTGCTTAGCTAAGGCGGGATCTGTGGCGATGACGGGAGTGGCTTGCGTGCATCCCGCAGTTGGCACCGCCACAGCTTTGCTCCGTCCGTCTGGCTGGGACGATCCCTGCATACATGTAAGGTATTGAAAGGCGTGGAGGGTGGGAGAACTGTGGATGAGGGTGAATGACGCTATCGCGCTACCATCACGAGCATTGCTTGAACCAAGTTGTTGATGCTGTTGCGATAAACTGCCCTGTTGTGTTCTTGTACTGTGCTCAAACCATTAATGTATACATGGCATACAGAAGTCCCCGTGAAAACCTCTTAGTCTGTTGGGAGCCAGTCCTGCTCGATGTCAAAGTGATTGTATCGTCTTGTCACATATCGCATTGCGACTCGCAGAGCGCGGGATGAGCGTGGGCGCTGACACCTGTGCGACGCTCTAGACTTGGAACAAAGGATGCAACCTGCTTGTCAAAGTGCTACTGGCCCCTTTGCTGTGACACATGTTCCATCAAGTGTGATGAGCGATAAAATAGGGGCCATTTGCTCCGACTTTTGCCACGCAAGACCGTCATCATCCCAAGCGCATTGCTAGAGGCAACTGCTTCATATCCTTAGTCAATTATTTACCTAGTCTCGGTCTGCTAGATTACCTCTCCCGTCGTATTGACGAATGCTAGCTCTAGAACAATGCAAGCCACCTACTCGTTTAGTTCACCTCCCGACTCCTGATAATCCAGTCGTAATACCATCACCGGCGCATCAGATATCTGTCCTCGAGCAGCCGCTGTGATGTCGCTACCGCCCAACCCGGTACCCGATACTCGCCTCCTCACCACAACTGTTGGGCTCCCATCCCCATACCAAGTCCATCCACCTGCCGCTCTGGTACCTCCGATACCTCAGTCCAGTTGCGTCACAGCCACTCAACATGCCCGTCTGCACCTTCCTCATGACCTGATGCCCCTCTCCTCCCTCTCTCCTTCCCGCTGAGTAGAAGATGGCGCTCCCCACGTGTCAGGTATTAGTGACACCATTCTTCGACTCATCGCCGCTTATTCGATGCCCTCCCATATAAAAACACCATCTCGAGCTTCTGCCTAACAGAAGCGCCTCCCTTTTTGCGCTCCCTTTTTGTTCTCTTTCTTTCAATCTTCACTTCTTGCTCTCTTCACCTCTGCCGCGGCGATTCCCTCTGCATCTCGCATCTCACTGCTCCTGCGTCTTCTCCCGCATCTACCCCGCCGGTTCCAACCAGCTTCTCGTGCTTCTCGCTTCTGCCTCGACCTGCACCGGCTTCGACTGGCCTCCACTTCTCCAACTTGAAACGATCACCGCTGCTCGCTGGCATCCCGCCCGATAGTTGCCGCTAGACGCACCCGTGCTGTGCTGAGCTGTCGGTCGACCCCCCTCGTCTGTCTTGCGACCCTGCAGCCCAATCTCCCTAGCACGCTGCAGTATCCGCTTCTAGGCACGAACGAACCTGAACCTGCAGCCGCCCGGAGAGGAATTTAACGAAAAGGATTCCTTCTTTGCTGCTTCCTCACTTTGTCTTGACCATTTGCTTTGCTTTGGCTTTTGCTTTCTCCTCAAACGCCTCACCTCGTCTCGACCTTACTCTTTAGTGTAGTGCAATAGAACAAGCCAACTTTCTCCTTCTATACAGCCTCCTGCTTGCTGCCACAGCCCAGGCGCACTTCACCCAAAGATATCTCCCCTCTCCTGCCTCCTTGATACCCAACTGAGCTGTCGCTTTCTGATCGGAAGTGTTACACGCCTCTGAACCAAGCACATCCGAGCAATATCACACTGCAACATTTCGTCGGATACATTTGCCTTAATAGGTAGGAACAGCCATCAGGTATACTCAAGTCGCTTTTGTTGTACTGCTGCCTTCTTCATTCAGACGTCGTCGAGACAGTCACCAAGTATCTCTTGACCAAGTCTCACTCTTCTGAAGCTTCACCCTTCATAAACTCGACTCCCTAGTTGGCATATACCCTCGATCTTCTAGAAATACAACTAACTCGTCCATCTTGCAGCACAATGGTATCAGTGCAGACCAACATGCAGATCCACGATGAGCTTGCAGCGCTCTTCTCGCGGAACATGACATTCAATCCGGAGGCGGTTCCTAAGGAGATGCCCCAGGAAATGGTTGTCACCGAGCAGGCCAATCAACCCATCATCTACTCCATATCACAGCACTACAACCACTCTGCACACATCGCCAAGCCGCAATTCCCGGCTCAAGACGCTCATAGGCGCTCCTCGGAACCCCCACAGAGCGAGGTTGTTTCCTCAGAGACGATCTTGCGAACACATGGCGTTAATCCTGCCGCACTGACGCCTTCTCAACTGCAACTTTTCCGCATAGCCGATGCCGGCCAGAAGAGACGCCTGGTCGAGCTATGGAGCATTTGCCCTCCGGATAATGGCGGAAACGTCCCAGCTCTTGCATGGAGCAGCACAACGATGGAGCAGGAGGAGCAACTGGCTCAACTCCGCTACCAGCAACAGCAGCACAACCACGCCATGAGCTTGGATGGCACGACGGTGCAGACATCAAACGGCACATGGGTTCACCAAGCAAGCCAGGAGAGCGAGCCTTACATGATGTCCGGATACGAGGAGATTATGCGACGAGAGCGAGAGCGTGAGGAGGCCAACGCTCGCCCTAAGGATGCCTACAGCACCTTTGGCACCTCCATCGGCGGCCCAAGCTACACACCCGCGACAGATCCCGTCTATCTTGGCGCTGACTATGCTCGACATCAACTGCAGATGGCATTGGCTGAGCAATACGGCTCGTTTGAACAACACCGGAGTCAGGCAGTGGACGTTATGGATATGTAATTATAGCGGCTGCAATATAGCAAAAGCGTCGTCATGGCCTGTTGGCGGCCGAAGGCGCGGCTTGGTTGTCGCGAGACTAGCTTCTGGAGGGTGAATTTTATTGTCGGTCATGGATGGTTGAGTCAAGGTTTTTATATGTCGTTCTTTGCAGAGAGGTCAGGGGAGGGTTGTTTTGGAAGGGTGGCTGTATTGGAATCATCCTTGGAGTTCATGTTGTTCTTCAGACTTTGTCATTCCCCCCTCTAAACTCTTTTCTTTTTGTTTCAACTTTCTTTACGAGGAACCCCTTGCCCGCCTTATTTCCCCCCTTTCTCCGTGATGATATCAGTGAGAGCTAACGGCTTTTTCTGCAGAGGCTTCCAGTGAATGCTGTGGTGTGATATGCAAGGTATGTATTCCTGTTTCCTCTCTTCACCCCCTTTTCTCCATATGTCGCCCATATGTAATGTACGGTCCACGGCGCACTTCAAATGTAGAATATGTGACTCCAAACTTACCAATATACCGATTTCTGCTTGTAGCAGCTTCATACGTGACCTGCGCGTCTGGTCTGTCTTCCCATGTGTGGCCTTGCGTCTAATTCTACATTCAGGGCGCGAAGCATAATACGCTTTGAGATGAATTGAAATGAATGTGGAAAGTGCAATTCAAGGAGGTAAACAATCATTTTTGACAAGACTACTTTACATTTATTTGTATGATACACAAGACATAAGACGTGACAACTACCAACTTCTAAAGGGGGGGTATCGTATTTTTTTTCCTTTCTTCTTTTCAACATGAGTGTAAGTGTAAGGGAAGCGCAAGCAATGTGCATGGGAAATGTCTAATAAGTCAATTCGGGATCGAAAACAGTCAAAGGAACCAATAGCAAAGAGAAAAAAGAAGAAGGGAGTATTCGCCTGGCAATCAGAGCTGAGTGCTTTCCAACTTCTTGGCCAGGTCGTCCACTTCCGCATCCTTACGCTGGGGAACGGGCTCCTCCTGAGCCACCTCGGCATCCTTGATGAGCTTGTCGGCCTTTTCCTCGACTTCCTCCTCCTTCTCCTTCTCCTCCTCTTCTTCCTCGCTCTCCTCCTCCTCCTCCTCGCTCTCTTCCTCCTCGAGGTCGCTGAGGCTGTCGACGCCCCACTCGTCCTCGATGATGATGTCGCCGGCAAACTGCTCCTTTCGCTCCTCGAGGAGCTCCTGCAGCTTGAGGATGGCGTCGTCGTCCTCGGTGAACTTGTTGCCGTTGAGCTCGATGCGCTTCAGCGCGGGCAGGGCGACTTTGGCGGCGTTGGCAAGGGCTCGGACGCCCTCGGACTTGATGTCGTTGTACTGCAGGCGCAGCGTCTCCAGCTTCTTGTTCTTCTCGAGGGCCAGCGCCGCGGCCAGCAGCAAGCTGCCCTTTGCGCTCAGCAGAGAGTCGCCGACGCCGAGTTCCTGCAGTTCCGCCCACGTGGGCACGACCTTGGCGAGGGCTCTAGCGCCCATGATGGTGAAGGTGTTGTCCTGCAGGTCGAGGATGCGGAGCTGGCTGGCGTGGTTGAGACCCTCGCTGAGCAGGCGGGAGATGCCCTCCTGTCGGATGCCGTTCTGCACCATCTTGATCTCCTTGATGTTCTTGTGGAGGCTGTAGGCCCTGGCCCAGGCGGCCATGCTGCCGTTCTCGAGTCGATTCCGGCCGCAGATGACAGTCTCGAGGTCGGGCACCTCCTTGCCCTCCTTGCGCGCGGCCTCCTTCTTGGCGTGGAGTTCTGAGAGCGCATCGGCGACCAGGATGCCAGCGTGAGGGCCGAGACCGTTGTTGTTGAGGTAGAGGTGCTGCAGGGGCACGTGGGAGGACAGGAAGGCCACGAGCGGGGCCTGGGTGTTGAGGCCGAAGGCGTTGTCGTTGAGGTTGATGGTGGTGAGCTTGGGGTGGTTCAGGACAGAGGTGAGGATGTGGGAGATGCCGGCAGGGATCTCGTTGAGCAATCGGCCGGTGAAGAGGTCGGCGAAGTTTGCGGACTGGCAGCAGAGCCTTTGTTAGCCCCCTATGCGACATCTCGAAAAAAAAAAAAAAAGACAAACTCCTTGTTCCACCAGCGCCCGCCGCTCTTTCGGGAGACTGCATTCGTCCGGGGCTTACCTTGAGAGTCTTCTTGGTGGCCAGCACTTCACCAAGGCGCTCGCAGGCGCCAACGCCCAGCGTGTTGCCCAGGAAGCGAACCTCCTCGACGTCGTCCATCGCGATCAGCGGGGCAATGTGAGGCTCGATGTCCTGGGCGGTGTCGAGCTTGAGCCCCTTGCCCTCGAGGGAGAAGACCTTGGAATCGGCCATTTTGCAGGCGGGAAAGAAGTGTGAAGGTTTTTTTTCGAGTCGGAAGCGAAAAATAGTTATGATTATGTTCTAAGAAGCTACAAGAGAGATAGAGGCGGGAAGCGCGAGAGAGAAGGAGAGAAGACGGGAGAAGGCGAATCGGGGGAGGCTGCGAGTCCTGGGTGGATGATTTTTTGGTGAGGCGCTGCGAGAGGTGAAAATGATTTGACGGGCTTTGTTTTGAATGGTGGGGGCGGGGCATGAGGCGGGCATTTGGTTGGTTTGCCTGGCAACCTGCAGAGGACGAGGCTGAGGCTTGGTCTGGTGGGCGAGTGATTAGATACCTAGTTTGTAAGCTGCGCGCTGTGTGAAAGGTGCAGTTGCAGCTGGAGGTGCTGTAATGGGTGCTGGCGAGGCCTGAGGCCGGCTCGATGCAGCGGGCGGTTTCAGCGGGTTTTGGGGGTGCTGGTGTGCTGCTGAGGGACCTGAGGGATTGAGCCGCACCGCTGTGTTACAGGCGCTATGGATTTGATGTCAAGTGCCTCCATACTACTAGGTGTACTGTGGCCACAGCACCCACAGGCGGGCAGTCGAGTGCTGACGTCCACCATTTCCAGTACATAGGTACTGCCAGCATCATCGAGGCCCCACTTTCCTGGCAGCAACCAGAACATCCCACGAGCACGTGACCCGAGCCAATCAGCGTCGGCCCATTTCGGAACGATGGATTTTCTCGAAGTTATCACCTTCTCCCGCTGAGCCCTTTTGGATCCCGAGATCGACTCCATACCTACGCCCTCATCCTGTGATTGCGGCTCCCCCCCCTGCGGCTTCGGTACAGCTTTGCCAATCATGCTGGCAAGGTCGACTCTGCGCCCGGCGCGCGCCCTCAATGGGCTCCGAAACGCCGCCGTCAACGTCTCCAAGGTGGGTGCAAAGCAAGGAAAACGGGCCACGAGCTACTCTGGGGGAGGGAAAAATGGCATTGCCGAGGACTGGAGCTGCTGGCCGCACGCAGCGAGGCTGCAGGCATTGCCTCCCCGAGACGCTCCCGTTGCATCACGGACATGCCCAGATTTACGTCTACATGAGTCCCGGAGCTGACATGTCTCTATACAGCGTGCTGCCTCGACCAGCTCGGGTGCTGCCGAAGCTTCTCCCGCGCGCCTCAACCTCGCCGCTATTGCTTCCACCACCCTCGCCGCCGGCTCCATGGCCTGGTACTACCATCTCTACGGACCTGTGGCTTTTGCTTCGTCCCCTGCAGAGGAGGGGTATGTTTCTTTAATTCCCGCCGCCGAGACAAGAAGCCCTTTGACCCGCATCATGACCATCCGTGCCTGATGCGGCATAAAATTGCTTCCTCGGCTGGTTCCCTCCTAGACGGCCAATTGCTAACGGATTCGGTGGCAGTCTTCACCCTACGCAATACCCTTGGGTTCACCAGCAGTTCTTCAAGTCTTTTGATCACCAGGCGTAAGATGAGACCCTGTTTCTTCCATCCGACAATACCCTCGTGGAAGAGCTCGAATGCTTACTTCCGGCTTTTTTACACCTTTAGTCTTCGACGTGGCTTCCAGGTCTACCGCGAAGTCTGCGCCAGCTGCCACTCCCTCAGCCGAGTTCCCTACCGAGCCCTTGTCGGCACCATCCTGACTGTCGATGAGGCCAAGGCCCTGGCCGAGGAGAACGAGTACCCCGACGAGCCCGATGAGCAGGGCGAGATCCCCATGCGCCCCGGAAAGCTGGCCGACTACATTCCTCCCCCGTACAAGAACGACGAGGCCGCTCGCTTTGCCAACAACGGTGCTCTTCCCCCGGATCTGAGCTTGATCGTCAAGGCCCGCCACGGTGGCTGCGACTACATCTTCAGCCTGCTGACGGGCTACCCCGAGGAGCCCCCGGCGGGCGTCAAGCTGGCCCCCGGCATGAACTTCAACCCCTACTTCCCCGGCACCGGTATTGGTATGGCTCGTGTCCTGTACGACGGCCTTGTTGAGTACGAGGACGGCACCCCCGCCAGCACCTCGCAGATGGCCAAGGACGTTGTCGAGTTCCTCAACTGGGCCGCCGAGCCCGAGATGGACGACCGCAAGAAGATGGGCATGAAGGTTCTGGTTGCCACGACTGCTCTGTGGGCCATCAGCGTCTACGTGAAGCGATACAAGTGGGCTTGGCTCAAGTCCCGGAAGCTCGTCTATGACCCTCCTGCGGAGACCAAGGTCCGCCGATGAGGGACGACGTAATCAAAAAAATTCCCTGTTGTGTGTATTGTGTATACTACTAGTCTCCTCGTTTTAGAAGTAAAAAACAAAACAAAAAAGCTCTTTTGTCGGTGGAGGCGGGTAAAATGGGTTGGTTGTTTTCAGACACGAAGTGGTGCATGTATCTTGGGCGACGCGCTGAGTTAGAGCTTGAGAAGAGAAGTTTCAAATGCCATTTTTATTCTTCATCTTGCTTGTCAGGTGTGGCTTTGGGCTGTGAAGTGGTGTTGTTGAGGGACATGCTTCAACACTGAAGGACGAGAACTGTGCTGCTTGTGAGCAGATAAGACCAGCACGGAGCTCACTGTTGAGGGCTGATACGGAAGACCAAGAGCTGAATGATGATTAAGAGAGATCATATACGTACGAAAGAGTCACAGCCTTTTCTCGTGTGAATAAAAATCAGGGAACAAAATGTCTTTATAACATAGCATATTACTAACGAGAGCATACGATAATACTCAGCTCAGACCATCTGCAGTCAGAAAATCACCCCCCAAGACAACCTGAACCCGCACCCGCAAAAAATAAGCACGGCACAAGCAAACCTCCAATAGAATCGCCCCAGCTCGTCACAACGCAGCTCAACCACACTTCACCCGGTGATTAAGCCGAGTGCAACAGCCAAACTTCCCTCTCTTTACCTTCTCTCTCTTTCTCTCCCTCCAACCAGGATTCGAGTCTTGAAAATCCTACCCGACGCTCTTTTTTTTCTTCTTACGTTTTTGTCCTGGAGTTTTCCTTGTACTCTCCTGATACTGTTCATCTTAGCGGGAAGGCGAAAAACAGAGCGGCTTCTTCTATCCTCCAGTCTCTCGTTTTTGTTCTTCTGCATTTGCTTCACGAGCCCGTTCCATCTTCTTGCGAACCCCAGGAAATCGCGTGCTACATCCTCCAACCCGCCAATTATCAACCCCCTTCTGGCATCAATCCCGTCAAGCGAGCAATTGTCTCATCTCTGGACCACTGCATCACCATTGACAAGAAAAAAAAAAAAAAAAGAACGAAAATCACGCCCCTTCAAGGAGGCAAAAACAACTCTTCAACGATGCCCTACGTCGACAACGACATCCCTCTCGCCACAAAGCGCAAATGGAACCACGACGACGAGCCCTACAATAGATCCCCCTCACACCCAAGCCCACGCGAAGCCTCAGAGCCCTTCCACGCGTCCACCATCTCACCCATGCCAAAAACGCGCAAGACACTACATCCAACGAAACGCCTCAGAGCACACCACCACCACCACCAAGACACCGATCACGACGTCCACTCTTCCCACCACCGACTACTATCCCCACGCGAACCCTCAACAGTGGGAACCCCCGGCAAAGTCACCAGCACAACTCTCCTACCATGCCACGTCTGCCATCGCCGCCCAACCAAGAAGTCAGATCTCGATTCCTTCGCCAGGTGTCAGTCGTGTCGCGAACAGACGTGCTTTATATGCATGCGCGAATGCCAGCAGCAAAGGACTCTATATTCCAATCCAGCAGCAGCGGCAGCGATAATAAGGAAAGAGGATGGAGGGGATGAAGACGCTCTTTCACGATCCTTTCGCATGGACGATGCGGACGCGACACCTTCAATACCACACATTGATTACAACAACGATGATGTCGACGTCGATATCAGGGACGATGACGACGACGATGCCCACGAACGGAAAACACAGAGATACACACACCACAGCATGATTTGCAGCAAATGCTGCGTCGAAAAGGGTGCCGAAGGCGAAGTCATTTGTCTCGGGTGCTTATCCGACCCATACGCCAACACCCCTTGACAACTACGACACAAACAAGAAGATTGACATTTCACTACACGAACCCTCGTTCTCTAGAAGGACGAACATAATGCTAGCAGAATGGATTCCAAGAAGGCGAATACTTTCATCTTCCTTTCTCACGAATAACGACGACGTCTTTTCCAAGTAGTATAGCGCAATGTTTCTGGTTTCTCTTCTTCTAGCACACTTTTTTTCTAGCACTTTTGGGGATTTGGGATTCGGAAAGGCATTACTGAGGAAGCCATCAGGCGTATATATAGAGTATAAGATAGGAGGATGTCCCATGGGCTTTTTTATTCATTAAATTTTCTTTTGGTACATTATGGCTGTACCGCGTCATCAGCTCTGTTTGCTTCATTCTTTGGTTTTGTCTTGGTCAGGATATTAGGTATCATCGCACCTGGGGCGACCGTCTATATGGATAGGTAGCCGCATCAAGTCCGCTTCATCATAAGGATTAGAGACATTGATGCGTCTTACGAGCTCCCTGCACGGACACAGTTCATCATACATGATTTTGTAGTTTGGGGTCAACGTGGCAGCTGTTCATAATGCCACTTCTATTTCCCTTTAGGCGAGGCCTCAATGGCACATCCACATGCCCGACGATTCGCCCCTATGATACACCGAAACACTTGGAAAGAAACAAAAAAGAAAGCTGCTTAGTTGTATTGCATGTACGTTGCTGTAGAGTTGAACTTGAGGTTGCCCTTGATGACCTTGTCCACCGCGTCCAAGAAATCCTTCTCCGACGCCACCTTTCTCCGCGCTCGGATGGCAAACATGCCGGCCTCGGTGCACACGCTCCTCAGCTCGGCACCGGTCGCGTTCGGGCAGAGACGGGAAATGAGCTCCCATCGGATGTCGCGCTCGACGGACATGCTCTTGGCGTGAATTCGGAGAATGTTGGCGCGGCCCTCGAGGTCGGGCAGCGAAAACTCAATCTTGCGGTCGATACGTCCGGGTCGCATCAGGGCAGGGTCCAGCGTAGACGGCCTGTTGGTGGCGAACATGACCTTGATGTTGCCTCGGGCGTTGAAGCCGTCCAGCTGCGTGATCAGCTCCAGCATGGTTCGCTGGACTTCATTGTCACCGCCGGCACCGTCGTCGAATCGCGCACCGCCGACGGCATCGATTTCGTCAAAGAAGATGATGCAGGCCTTCTTTGTCCGCGCCATCTCAAACAGCTCCCGAACCATTCTGGCGCCCTCGCCAACGTACTTTTGTACAAGCTCACTGCCAATGACTCGGATGAAAGTGGCGTCTGTTCGGTTGGCAACAGCTCTGGCGCACAGCGTCTTTCCTGTTCCGGGAGGGCCGTAGAGCAGTGCGCCCTTCGGGGGATCGATGCCGAGGTTCGAGAACCTCTCTGGTGAGAGCAGGGGCATCTCGACGACTTCTCGGAGCTTCTCCACCTGCTCTTTGCAGCCGCCAACGTCACCGTACGTGACGTCTGGCTTCTCCTCAACCGTCATCATGGTAACGCTGGCATCAATCTTCGGCGGCAGCGGCAGCATGATCTGATACTTGTTTCGGTCCACACCAACTCGCATGCCCTCTTCGATATCCGTGGGGCTGACCCGGTCCCCGAGCTGGACGACGAACTTGGCGATTTGCTTGACGTTGATAACATACTTGCTCTTCGACTCGTCGCCCTTTTCGTCCGCAATGATCTTCGTGCAGCGTGCTACCTGGAAAGGCTGCTCTTCAGACATTCGTTGTCGGTCGGCTGCGACATCCCATAGATGCGGCGGTGCGAGACCAGTATCCGACTCCTGTGTTCAACAAGTATGATTAGCCAAGTGTGTAAGTGCATAGACGATAGCAGCAGATATCGTACCTTGATGCCAATCTTCTCGTCTACGCTCTGTTGCTTCTCTTTGATCTGCTTCTCAAGCTTCGAGATGGCCGATGCATAAGGCGCAGCGCCGTATGTCTTGAGGACTTGGATATCCCTAGCTCCCAGTTAGCACTCTCTCTCCCCCCAGCGCCACAGCACGTTTCCAACACGAGGCCGTCCATACTCATCGGTGAGGGGTGTGATCTTCTTCTCTTCTACTTCATCGTCGGCGTATCGCTTCGAGTACTTTTCCCAGTTTTGACCGGTTGCAGAAGGCTTCGACAGTCAGTAACGGGCCAGTCCTTTCCGAGCCTTTGGGGGCGAGGCGCCTTACCATGGTGGGATGTGCAAACCGGACGGTGTGTCCGAGGCGCTGTGAGGGCTTCGAGGGGTAGTAGATGAGGTATCCTGGAGATTAGGTGCTAGCCCAGGATCGTCGTGGTGCGGGAATGATAGGAAACAGCTCGCCGCCGGTGTGATGCGCGTGTGGTGGTTTGTATGGTGGTGTTTATGACGGTGATGAGATGAAGGCTATCGAAGCATTCCGTAATCTGAGTTGCCTTGAGCTCACCTCAACACGGGACCCTGCTGTGCGCTAGGCTGCTTTGGGCGGACACAGCAGCGCTGGCAGGGGGGAAGGTACCGCCGGAGCGTGGATTATCTGTCGCGCCGACTCCAAAATTTCCGTTACCAATACGGCGGAGTAGGGCAGGCACTGGAAGGTGGGATGTCAACCAGGCTCCAGGAACCCGCGAACTTCCAGTTGCTTCTCTGCCCAAAGCTCGCCGCGATCGAGGCTTTCCGGAGGTTGCGTCTGCATTTCACGAACCAGAACCAAACAGATTCAGCATGTCTGCACCGGCCGTTTCGGGCGGCGAGTCCAAGAATGTCGCCTTCAAGGTGGGAAAAGCTGCCGCTGCTGTCCGGAGCTCCTGAGCTGCCCCGCTAACATGGACGCAGGACAAGGAGAAGCCCATGGCGGTGCGCTCGTCCAACATTGTCGCTGCCAGAGGTTTGTTTGACGATCCGGGCTACGGGAAGTCAGTTTGCTAATGGGAAATGCAGCCGTCGCCGATGCAATCCGGACGTCTCTCGGCCCTCGAGGAATGGACAAGATGATCCGCAGCGGAAAGGGGGAAACCATCATCACCAACGACGGAAACACGATGCTCAAGAGCATGTCCGTGATGCACCCGACAGCAAAGATGCTGGTCAACCTGTCAGGAGCTCAGGACGTTGAAGCCGGTGACGGCACGACCTCCGTCGTCGTCATCTGCGGCAGCCTCCTCGGTGCTGCTGACCGACTGCTGTCCAAGGGCATCCACCCCTCCGTCATCTCAGAGTCCTTCCAGAGGGCGTCCGCCGCCGCCGTCGAAGTCCTGCACGAAATGTCCCAACCCATCTCCCTGACCGACAATGCCTCCCTTCTCCAAGCCGCCAACACATCCCTGTCATCCAAGATTGTGTCTCAGTACTCGAACCTCCTCGGCCCCATGGCTGTCAACGCCATTACCAAGACGATCGATGTCAAGACTGCGGAGAACGTTGATCTCAAAAACATTCGCATCATCAAGAGGGTGGGCGGAACAATCGAGGACAGTGAGCTGGTGGATGGCCTGGTCCTCACACAGCCCGTCCTGAAGAACGCTGGTGGCCCCTTCAGAATGGAGAAGGCCCGCATTGGCCTCATCCAGTTCCAGCTCAGTCCTCCCAAGCCTGATGTGAGTTTGGATGCTACCGGTTCGTGACTTTGGTATGTTTGGTTGAGCTAACTGCTGCAAAGATGGAAAACACGATCCAAGTCAATGACTACCGCCAGATGGACAAGATTGTCAAGGAGGAGCGACTATATCTTTTGAACATGGCCAAGAAGATCAAGAAGGCTAAGTGCAACGTGCTCTTGATTCAAAAGTCCATCCTTCGCGATGCCGTCAACGACCTTTCCCTACACTTCCTGGCCAAGCTCGGCATCATGGCCATCAAGGACATTGAGCGAGACGAAGTCGAGTTCATCTGCAAGTCCACCGGCTGCAAGCCTATTGCGGACATTGACTCGTTCACCGAGGACAAGCTGGGCTCGGCAGACCTGGTGGAGGAGGTGCAGTCATCGGGCTCACGCATGGTCAAGGTCACCGGAGCCAAGGCCACGGGCAAGACCGTGTCCGTGGTTGTGCGCGGTGCCAACTCTCTCATCCTGGAGGAAGCCGAGCGAAGTCTGCACGACGCTCTCTGCGTTCTCCGATGTCTCGTCAAGAAGAAGGCCCTGATTGCCGGAGGTGGCGCCCCTGAAATCGAGATTGCGGCTCAGCTGTCCAAGCAAGCGCGCAGCCTGACGGGCACCGAGGCCATCTGCTGGAAGGCCTTTGCCGACGCCATGGAGGTGATTCCCACAACGCTTGCCGAGAACGCCGGTCTCAACAGCATCAAGGTCGTCACCGACCTGAGACACCGTCACGAGATGGGAGAGAAGAACGCCGGAGTCAGCATCAAGTCGGGAGGAGTCAACACCAACATTTCCAAGGAGAATGTTCTGCAGCCCCTTTTGGTCAGCACCAGCGCCATTGAGCTGGCGGCCGAGACTGTCAAGATGATTTTGAGGATAGACGACATTGCCTTGTCAAGGTAGAGGAAGGCTGCAGCTGGGGGTGGGATTGCTGTGCTTGTAATTATCCAATGTTAAAAGAGCATACCTCTGTTGGCCTAACTTGCCTCTTCTGTCTTTGTACCTCAAATTCCAATTTGGTGAAGCAAGTGCATGTACTGGGTCAATTCCTACCTACTACCTAGGTATACAGTAGGTATACCAGGATCGGTGGTTATTGAGGCGCCTCCTGCTCTTGGAAGGGGCAGGCATTCGCGCCTACCTAACTCATTAGTCTCAGAGCTCAGATGCTCCTGGCTAAACAGTCCAACGTCCCTTCCCTGCAAACTGAACCCTACGAGTCACCTGCTCTGATCCTCAACTATAAAACCTGCATGCCTCATCCATTAATCGAGAGAAGCTTCACACCTGTCCGTCCCTTCGTTGTTCTCGGTAGCGAGTCTTGCTTCATTCTGTCAACTGCTATACAACAAGGGAGAAGTTGCAGCAATGCCTGGAAGAATCACTCGATCCCGCTCTGTCGACTCTCCGGATCCAGCGAATACTATGCTGGAAGCAGACAAGATGATTCGCAAGGTTTGTCCAGTCATCCATTCTCATCCAGGTCCATGGAGGAAGTAGGATGAGACTTAAGTCAAAGCAGCTCAAGAAGGACCGTGAGGACAATATCAGAGTAGTCATGACTGCCACCCAGGCGGCTCTGGCGGAATTTAACGAGAGGCTCGCGTCTCGGCAGCGCGAATTTCAACAACAACGGTATGGACACCGCGATTCTTAAGCGTGACTTGGGCTGACTGCTTGATGTACAGGGAGAAGAGGCGGTTGGACTGTCTTACAGAACTTCTTGAAATTGCAGATCGAAAGGCTGCGATTGAGGACAAGATGGGAAGCATTAGTGCCAAGGCGCATGCAGAAGCTCAAGAATTGGAAGCAATGATGATGGCAGGATATGAGGGCAGAGCAAAGGATGCCACTCTCGCCCTGGACAAGATGACGGGAAAGCCGATGGAAGAGAAACAAGAATGAAAAACGCCGCACTTTTTGAGGGGAATCTATATGTGGTTATTGTACACAGTCCTGACACCAAGACCAAGATAGAAAGAGCCGCTGCTCTGTTGTGTTGTTGTTTGTTACACGCTGAACCCGAAACCCTGCATGCAGCTCTTGTACTGATCGACGAGGGACCTGCAGTCGGCGGCGGGATCCTTGGCCGTGGAGAAGAGCATGCACTCGTCACGCCTCGACTTTTCCTCTTTGCATACGCAGCACGGCTGGGGGGGCCAAAAGTTAGCACATTGATCGATGACCCTTTGCATTTGGTGTTTTTCTTTCGACGGGATATTCGGGAGACGGACCTTGGGCTTGGAAGCGGCGGCTGTGGTGGTGGAAGCTGTGGGAGAGGTGACGGGCGCAGAGGCCAATGCTGTTTGATCCGACGAGTTAGCTGGTGTATCTTTAGAAGATTGGAAGCGTAAGGGAAAGGGGGGAGGAAACGATGGGACATACAGAAAGTCGCAGGCTTGGCGTCCATGATGGCTGGTATGTGACTCTTTGACGATGAATTCGGGTAGATTTGGTGTGGTAGACAGACACAATTGGCGTTTGATGCTTGTGTCTTTGTTGTTGTCTGGGTTCGTTGGCGCAATTCCTCTTGGAACAATGCTTCTTCCTCTCAATCTGTGATATCCGTTTGGTTTCCTTTCTTTGTTCTTCTTCTCTTTTTTTCTAACCGGGATCGTTGGACGGATCGGAATGGCGATGATATCGACTTTGGTCACGCCAGAATCGCCGGTGCATTTCTAAGCAGCTGGACAGACCAATCAGATGGGGCGAATCTCACGTGCAGGCGTGGGATGTTCGCGCTTTACCGGGACATGGTTCGCTGACGTCATCAAGAAGCTAACACAGGTAAGAGCTTTCTTTTGAAGCTTCGGGTTCTCGTCTGGTGAGGTGGTTTATCATTCCAGAGGTGTATGTGGTAGGGCTATAAGGTAGGTCGATTGTTACTTTGTTATATTGTAGAAGAGGTGAGGAATTTGCTGATTTACTTGCCTTGCGGGAGCAAACTTGTGTGTATTATTTGCTGGTCCATGGAAAGTTATGCTGCGGTACTACATTTTGAGCCCCTTGCATTGATGGACCGAATGTTCGTTCGGCTTATCTCGTAGTATTGGGGAGAATGGCTGATTCTGTCAGTCTTGCGGATGCAAGGGGCTGCTGACTGCAGCGAACGAGGATTCAGGTTGATAGGATCATGTAAGACGACAATGAATTAGTACCTACATACCTAGGTGATCAAGATGCTTTCAGTCGAAGAGGCTCAAGCGCTTGTTAGTGAAGCCCATGCTGAGATATGCCACCGGTGAGCTTTCCACTCTCCAGTGTCTTCTTTCTATACAGGTACTGTTGGAATACTAAGGTATGTGGTGAGAAATGACGTGAAAATAACTCTACCTCGACCTCTCTACTAGATTATCCTCATCTCAGGCTCCTCCATCCTAGCATTATGGACTTCAAAGACCAACATCCCACCAAGCATCCGCACAACACGTATTGCGAAATCTGCGGATCGGATCCCATGAGGAATTGCCGGGACGACAACCTGTGAGGACTCTTTTACACCACGTCTACGGTATTATTAACACGCACACGAGCAAGACACGCATACCGCGATAGCCAATTCATTTCATTCTCTTCTGCTCTGTTCCACACGTCTCTCTCTCTCTCTCTCTCTCTCTCTCCTATCTACCACCTATGCGTACCCACGGCTATATCGAAAAATCCCAACCAACTCTGCGCCTGCGCCTGCGCTTCGCGCCTAACTCAAGGGGGGGTATATATGTATATGGTGACATATAGTTTTATGTTTGGGGCGCGTCGCACTTTGTTCAATTTCCATCCACCCATCCATCCATCCATCCCAATGTACATCAATCTGTGTTTGTACTTTGTTGTTGTTGTTGTTGTTGTTGCAATTCTTTCCTCCTCCATCCCGAGATTCAAAAACAAAACAGGAAAAGGGACTTGGTGACTGGAGAACACAGGGGAAAGGGGTAACGGGTAAGGGAAAACATGTGCTGGGCTAAGGAAAACAAAGACAAATGTGGATAGATACTAACGACAATGACGCTTTGTCGATGCTATTACAAGCACGACAGCGCGAAGAGAACATCGAAGATTTGGGGGGTAAATGGTGTTGGGGTTATTAGGGCGAAAGGAGAAAAAAGAAAAGGTTGCTGTTCCTTGGTTGTGATGCGGCGTCAATCTTTGTCTCGGTAAGAGCAGGAGATCCGGTCCCTCCTCTGCCTCGATGTGCGTGGGTGTATATGTGTATGTCCTGAAAGAATCAAGGTAGATCCAAAAGAAAGGGGGGAGAAATGCATGGCCGGAATAAATAAAGGGTGGGTTATGGAAACAAGAACTCCAGGCCAGCAATTGCCGTCTTGGTCCGAAGAAAAGGTATTAAGAAAAAGAAGAGAAAGAAAAACTCCGATTATCGCAGCGTGAATTCGTCAGCGAGCGAAAAGGCCTTCTTTCTGCTGTAGTAATAGTATGCGTATGAGCAGAGGCACGTATTAAAAGCAGTTATTAAAACAAAGTTAATGAACGGAAGAAGAGAACACAAAGATCAAGAGGGGGTGAAGGGAGAAAAATAGACCAAAGCAAGTACAAGGGTCTTAGACCAACTCGTTTGTTATCTCCTCCCTCACATGGGCACACCACTTGAGAATGGCCGCTTCAAAGTCGAGCCAGACTTGGGGCCCGCTGTTGTAGACGATGCCCAGGGCGTCAATGGAAATCATGCACTCGAAGCGCAGCTCGGCAGCCTTGGCCCAGTACCGCAGGTTGTCGGCGCTGCGGTAGGGCTTCTGCGTGTTGACGTGGAATGTCGGGATCGCTCCAAATCGCCTCCTCGACTTCTTGACCGCGGCGTTGTGCAGTCTCACCAGCCTCAGGCCGTTCTGCATGGCCTCCAGGAAGGGTGTCGGCAGCTCGGCGCTGCTGGACGCGGGCGTCCACTCGGGCAGCGGCTCGTCGTCGGGGTCCATGGACATGAGAAACTGTCGCTCGCGCTCCAACTCCTTGCCCGTCCAGTCGCCCCTCATCCACGCCCAGCCCTGGCGCTCGGCCTGCTCCGTCGCCTCAATCTCGGCCTCCTTCTTGAGGATGTCAAAGACGCTGTCGATCCACGACGTCATCGTCGCAATCTCCTCGTCCCTCACGCCGCCCTTGAAGTTCCTCGTCGCCATCTGCTTCAGCACCTCCATGACGCCCAGGAGATCCGTCCGAATCTGCTTCTCTGACTTGATGGCGTCCAGCCGGTCGGGCAGCTCGTGGGCCGTGTAGTAGTTCTTGGCGGCGCGGATGGCCAGCGTCACAAAGTCGAGGATGTTCATGCCCTGCAGCTCGAACCAGCTCTGCGTGTTTTCCTCGGGCATGTTGGGGTACTGGGGCGCATCGCTGGGTGCCTTGTAGGAACCCTCTTTCCGCTCCTTGGCCTCCTTGAGCACCTTGAGAGCATCCCGCAGCGCGCCCTCCAGCTCCGTCTTCAGCTCCGCTACCGTGGGCGGCTTGGGTATGACCTTTTCTCGGTGGTTGTAGGTGCTGGCCGTGGGCGGCAGCATGTCCGGGTCCTCCTCGAGGAAGCCATCGTAGAAGTCGTCCATGTCGTCGATGCCGGTGGGGGAGCCTGTGATGTAACCCTGTCCCGACAAATCTGGGCTGCTGCCCATGGAGACGAATGAGGGATCCATGTCGAAGCCCGCGGTCGAGGGTGTCGGGACGGTCATGGGCGACGTGCCCTCGAGGGCTGCCAGGTCCAGTGTCGCTCGAGGCTGCTTCTTACGAGCCAGCTGTCCGCCCTTGCCATCGAGAAGGCCAGTTCGGGCAAAGTAGTACTGAAGATGCGCAATGCTGCCCAAGCTCATGACGCTCTCGCGGGACTTGGCGCTGGCCGCGAAATCAGTGCCCTGGGGACGCATGTAGCCTCGGCGCCGGGTCCTAGAGGACGATCTCCCAGAGACGTCGGACCGGTAGGACATGGTGGACATGGTGGACATGCGAGACGACATGCGAGACGACAGCTCGCTGCCCAACGAGTCCCGCGAGGCGGCATCGGTGCTCGAGCCCTGTGAGGTGGTGGAGGCGGCCGAGAGGCAGCGAGCGGGCTCGGGCTTTGCGCCAATGGCCTTTGACGGGGCCGCATCAGGCGAGTGCGGGCGGTTTTCGATTTCGGCAGACATTGTGTGGACGAAGCAGGACGAGGCAGGACGAGGCAGAGTTGACAGAGAAGAGGCGCAGAGGAGAACAGCAGCGATCTTTCGAGGGTCGATCCAAGCTCAAGGTCCGGTCTGGCCGCAGTCCCTCGTGTGACGTCTCTGGAGAGGGGAAGCGGATCTGGCCTCTGTTGCGGCTGTCGTTGGGTTCGCTGGCAGAGTCGGGTCCCTTTTGATGCCAGGGCCTGCTGTTCGCTGGGTCAAGTCGCCGCGTGCGCAACAGACAGACGAGCGGAGGATATAACAGGATTGACAAAGAGGCTTGGGGGAAAGGCAGCAATAGTGGCGAGCTGCCGGACACACGAATCAAACAAACAGAACGAACAGTCGGGGAATGGCGCGGTGGATACTTTGAATGTCCTCTGGATTGACTGACAAAAAGAAGTAGCACACGCACGGAAAGAAGGAAGACAAGAGGCAGAACAGACAAGAGACGGGAAGCAAAAGAGTCAAGGCCGCGGTAGGGCTGCTCGGGGCTCGTTGGTGCTGACGATCCAAGAATCCAACAGAAAGAAAGGGCACGCGGGCTCAGGCTCAGAATCAGGCCCAGGCTCGGGCTCAGGTTCAGGGGGTTCCGGCTGGCTGAGGGTCGCCAAACATAGTTGGTGGGAGGCGTGGAGATGGGAAATTGCGCTTCGTGCTCTGGTGTTGTCCGGGGGGGCAGCAACTTGAAACGCACCTAGATTTTCTTTTCTGCTTGGGCCGCAATACGATACAGTACTTTGGCGTGCATCGGTTCACGCATGTCTTGTCAACCGGCGATCAGGACGCAAGGGATTGATGGTCTATGTACTGTATTGCTCCGTGCTTGTACTATTAATTAGGTAGTGCATCCTTACCTCAAGGCGGGAGGGTCGCATGATGCCATGAGGAGCTCCGTCCATCTCCGCCCGAGAGAGGGCGAGGACTGCAATTGGCCTCGCCCAGCCCGAGTCTGCGTCCAGTCTCCGGCTCTCGATTCCCCTGTCAAGTGCGTTGCGAGGAACATGAAAGTGATTAATAGGTACGCATCGAGACCTGGCTGTGGGTGACAAGAGCACATGCGCACTCGCACGAGTAATAAGGCATGTCTGGAGGTCTATATTTGGGACTGAGGTTATTCGTGCTTCGTACTCGTAGGCCGCTCGATTCGACCACGGGCCATGATGAACGATAGTACTCGTATCGTACATTTACAGGCAGCGGCCAGGCCCTGCTAGCTCGCATGCAAACGCTTTCGACAGGCTGTCGGGCAAATTCGACCAGGCCACGGCCCCTGCGCAACCCCCGGGCCAAGGTGACGAATCATTTCTCTCGCGATTTCCAGGGTCCTGGCCGGTTGGTGTCATATCCCAGGGGGGGGGGGGGGGGGGGGACCAGAGGTGCGCAATTTCCTCTCCACAGAGCCCGACCCGCGATTCGCAGGCACCTGTACCAGTATGTATTATAGATCGGTACAAGTGGAAGAGAGGCAGTCGTTTGCAATGCGTGAGAAGCAGGAGGAGAAGTTGGAGGAAGAAGCAGCAGCAGCAGCAGCAGATGTGAGGTTGTTCTGGATAGATTGGGAAGAGGAGTTGAAGCTTGGTTTCAGATGAGGTAATGCGGCGTTGAGCGTTGGTGCTGACAGGAGGAACGGCGACAGCCACGAAACTTACAGATTGGATGGAACACCTGTAGGTAAGGTACTACTAGGTAAGTATGTACCTTGCCTCGGCAGATTGCTTGGGACTGTCAGGTACCCGATCACCCAGAAACAAGGTAGCATTCTGCTTCATGCTGCTGCTGTGATTGCATCATAAGACATGGATCTGAAGCATGCATGCATGTACAGTGATACAGTACATACAAATACGTCTCCTGTGACAAAGGTGGAAGGCCTCTCATGCAGGTACATACCCATCACTGTACATTCACTGCGTGACAATACCTGTAGAAGTGCCGCGATATGACACCAAGGTCGACTCCTTGATGGGCACCACTTCTCGGAGGAGGAGCAATAGAAGGTATCGAGGCCCGATCATGGAAGGGAATGGAATGGAATGTTCATGACGCGGGCCGTCGCGTCGCCTTGATTAACGACGGCGTGCTCCGTAGGTACTCGAGCTGATCTGGGACCTCCAACCAATTCTCTGGACCAAGGCAGCGCTGCTGGGATTGAGATTACCAACCATCCATCCATTCTGCATCTCGAGAACGAGGAGGAACTGCTGGAGCTCGACGAAGAGAATGGAGGCTGAGCTGGGCTGTTGGACGACAGCTCCCAAGCTCCCCGTGCATTCAAGTCTCCATCACTACGAACACCGTCCATAGGTACAGGTACTAGTAGTAAGTACTCCTTTGTCCGCGCCCTCGAGACCTGACGGCAGACAGAGAGAAACACAGGACAAAAGCTCTTCAAAAAAAGGTCCCCAGTTCTCAGCACGGACAGGCACAGGCATCAGACGGTAGCTAATGTCGCCAGGTTGCCAATATGCAGAAAATGGCTGCAGGATTGCCCTGGTGGAGGCGGGCCGGCGCTGGTGGAGATGGCCTCAATGTCGCCGCGTTTCACCTTGAATGTTTGAGGCGTGGGCTGCCAGAAGCCGGTTCCATCCAATCCATCCCATCAGTGCTGCGTCGAGGTGTGGAAGCGCTGTGGAAGCTCCCGTCAAGCCCCGTGTCAGCGGTGGGGATGCGCTAATTAGCCCGCGGCATGGCTCTACTAGTAACGCCTCCAGCTGGCGCTCTCCCGCTGCTGCAGCCTGCTGCGAACTGCCTGTGTTGGGTGAGAGCCCATGTTGAGTGCATCCATGCACGGCAGTGGCTTGAGCATTACTAGGTACCTACCTACATGTACTAGGTAGGTAGTATACTGTAAGGTAGTGCGCCGTGTTTCCCCCCTCCAGGTCCTCCAGCTCCCCAATGCGTCGACCGGCCCCGAACCTGGATTTCCCTGATCCATCCATCACAAGTTGAGGCCATCTCGCGCCATACATAGAGGCCTGGCCCCCAATTCCAGCAATGCGACTCGTTCTTATCATCACATCAAACCCATCCCCCCCCCATGTCTCCTTGTTTCCTTTGCTTTGCTTCACATCCCATCCCATGCCTCGTCTCGGCCAATGCCATGCGTTAGCCGCGCGTAAGGGCTGCGTCTGACGAGGCTCGACCGGCGCACTGGACAGTCTTGCGTCTTCATGTTCCCGCACATGCCAAAGGTGGCAGTTCTACCGCGATATGCAAGTACCTACCTACGTGATACTACGTGAAAATATATCCCCGACGCTGCGAATCAAGCCGACTTCGACACGTGTAAACAAGCATTGGCGGCGCACGCAGACAGGCGGATAAGGGACGTCTTTCTCGGTGCGAGCCGCAGTTTCAGATGCAACGTTCTAGGCTTGAAGCTGGTTCGGGCTGCTTCTGCTTGAAGCTGGTTCGGGCTGCTTCTGCTTGAAGCTGGTTCGGACTGCTTCTGCTTGAAGCAAAGGAAACAAAAACATCTTCGGTTGGTGCTTGTATGTAATACCCTCGACATGGAGGTAGTAACAGCAGTACATAGCACCTTTTGCTGGTCCGTCCACTCGTATTAGGGCGTACCTACTAGTAGGTATATTACAGAGAGTGTCCGAGTCTCTGGCCGGGATCCAGTCCGTCTATCAAGCCCTCGTGCTCGTCATCTCTCGGCTTCCCTCTCCTCTTTGCTTTTTTTTCGCAAATGTCCAATTTTGATAGACGCTCTGCCCCATGTCTAGCCCTTGATTTCATCGACAAATGTGCAAGCTCGGTTGGCGGATCACGACTAAAACAACATTAAGCTCAGACTCCAGCACAAAAGTGCCGACGGCTTCAAGGAGCACTGATTGAGGTGCTTCGCAAGTATGGACCTAACTTCATACAATGATGCGTGCTTGGGCCGTGAGGGAAGCCGTTCTATGCCTCCTTCTTAGCTCAGGAACGAGCAGCTCTCGTAATTAATTAATGTGACGTTTCTACGCTTCTTCCTCTTTTGCTCGCACTTGACACTTGCACCCCTCCTAATCCGTACTATACTTGTACTCGTTCCAGACTGGACGCTGCCTCCCATCTCCCTCAACCCCCTTTTTTTCTGATTCACCACGGCGAACCATTCCAGCGACCTGTCCTTGTATTGTTTTGTTTTGTCCAATCTCCCGTCTCTCGCCTTCGTGTTCGCCGCCACGGCCTCTCTCTTACACCCGCGGGCTTTCAACACTGCTGCCTCGTCGCTTTTTGTGCGCCTTTTGCGCTGGATACTACTCCATCCCTTGCCCAGACTCTCAGCCAGACCCGAACGACTCCAACGACCCCGGCAGACAGGCCTTACTTGATTCAGCCAGCTGATGCCCGAGGCCCATCGCGAGCACTCTCCCAGGAGATTACCAGTGCGACCAGAAGTCGATACGCCGTTGGCCACCAGACCCAGACCCAGGCCCAGACCCAGAGCATACTCGTAGGCACCCGGGCACCGAGTCGTCGCTGTTCCTCCTGCTCAGGTCTCTGGATCGCCTCCCAGGCAGACGCATTTCCAGCTCAACTGAAGTATTGCTGCCGCCCGTCCGCCTGCTGCAAACCGCTGCAGCTTCGTTGCGCGCTGCAGGGCCCGGGACGCACTCCACCAGCACCGCATCGCCTACGCAGAGAACCCATAGCGATCCCCTCTCTCGGCCAGTCACCAGGGCAGCCACCCGACGCCCAGCCCAGCGAATGAGCCAGGCCTCCAGCATCTAGCGAGCCCTACCTACTGCGCATCCATCGCATCCAAACCAAATCCGCCCACACCCCTCGCTCTGCCTGCTGCCAAAGGGGAGCAGCGGCAGCGGCGGGAGTCTTCAACGCTGCGTGACTTGTCTTGATTGGACCGCTGCGAGGGAGCAACAGCCCCCAAAGGCCAGAATCGGGAGCGATACAACACGACACGACGACAGGCAGCGTATCATCACTCGACGATCTCGCAGTGGCGGCGTCGGTATCCAGTCTGCATCCGGCCCCCCCTGCTGTTGTCCGCGACAAACCGCTGCACGTCGAGACGGGGAACACAACAAAATCCTGCATTCCTGGCGTCGCTTTCTTTTTCGACCAGCAACCCTCCTGACGAGTGTACTTTCGATCAAATCAATACCTAACCTTAACCTCCTCGACTCTCTCCACCCACCTGCGCCGCTGCTCCGCCAGCTCGGCCTCAGGGCCCTCGTCCACTAAAGCTTCATCCACTGAAGGGGCCACCTGGCGCGGTCCACCATCTCAACGGGCTACCTATCCATAGCACCTACTTACCCGCACCTTAGCGCATCACCTGCACGGCCGCAGCTGCACTGCACTGCACTGCACTGCACTGAACGCCTCCAGCAAGCCACTGCCGACCATTCTCCAACCTTCTCTGGGGGGCCTCTCGCCGTGAAGCCCCAGCCATCACCTGCGGCCTATGACCACCAGCCACTCCGCTGCCGTCGTCGAGCCGGCCTCGCAGCCAGACCGCGACTCGCTCCCAGCCAACGAGAGCTCGACAGACTCCGCCGTGGGCCAGAGTCCAAAGCGCGACCGTGAGCGGCATACCGGCGACCACGATGCAGGCCGTGAGCGTGTAGATCTTGGAACCTTCACTGACGAAGCCACTCAGTCGCCCGCCACTCCTCACCACCATACTGACAAGGCAGCTCCCGCTCCCGCTCCCGCTCCAGCTCCAGCTTCAGCGCCGAACTCGTCAGCTCCAACATTAGCATCAGCATCAGCATCTGCATCTGCATCTGCTCCGACAGCAGCGCCAGCGCCAGCGCCAGCTTCGGCCTCGGCTGCAGCTACTCCCACTGCTGCTGCTGCTGCTGCTGCTGCGTCTGTCGCGGCCACTCCCGCAGACGTCAGAAGATCTGCAAACCTGACGCCGAGAACGAGCCGCAGCACCGGTAGCAGAAACGTCAACTCCGCCGCCACCTCCTTCACCGCAGGAAACACCACCAGGAGCAACAACAGCAAAATCGGCAGCACCTACAACGACGCGCTCGCGCACGGCTCTCCCGACTCGGCTCTGAGTCCGACCACTGGCAGGCAACGCAGCAGCACCCTCCTCGAACCCGATCCGTCGCATGACCTCCTCGTCGCTGCTTTTCGAAAGACATCGCCAGGTCTTGCTGCTCGCTTGAAGGCTCTGGGCCTCGGAGCGGCAAGCAAGAGAGCTACCATCAGCTCCCAGCCCGTTGACATCGGTCGCCTTGACGAAGAACACCTCCGCCAGCTCGACGAGAAACACCAGGCGGGTTCCGTCAGCGCCGTCATCTCTCGGCGCGGTCGCCCCTGGAAAGGCGCCGGTGCCCCCCCTCCCAACCACTACAGATCAACCAGCCAGTCGGACGTCTCCATGTCCCCCGGATCCACGGATATTGACCAACTGCCCGAGCTTCAGGTGTCGCAATCACCGCCAAACATGGATACGCAAAAGTACCGCCTGCCCGACCACATCAACGGCAATGGGACCAAGGTCACTCTGGATACTCGACGCGAACATCTGGAGCGCATCACGCGTCCGCCGTCGCCCAAGGAGTATCCGCCTTTGCCCTCCTCTCCTCCCGAAGCCTCACTCTCGAATTCGCCTATGCAGTCCCTGTCCTATTCTCCTTCCTACTCCCCATCCCCGCCAACTCCCCCTCCGAAGGAATCACCACCCGTCGAGATCACACCACCTGTCGACGTCACGCCGCCTGAGGTCATCACTTTCAACCACTTTGAGCCAGAGATGAGCTCCTACTTCACCCAGGGCCACAATCGGCCCGGGTCCATCTATACGCTTTCCCGGGCGTCGTTTGCTAACCAGCTTGCTCAACTCAACATGCTCGGCATTCCCGATGCCGAAGCTCTCTCCAGCAAAGTGTCGGCCATCCCTACAGCTCCGGTGGCCTCCAAAGCCCTCATCAATGCCGCCGAGCAGATCCGGAGCTGGATTTCAAAGGCCCTGGATGTCGTCACTGGGTTGGACAGCGAGGACGACGTCGAGTGGGCTGCTGCCGGTGGCCGTGAAGGCCTGGAGGAGGTCGAGAACGCCATCGCCCGCTTCGAGCATCTCATCAACGCCTATGTTAACGCCATCGACGAGCTGCAGAACCGACCTGATATCGCGACCGTCTCAACTGATGACCTCAACCGCGCCGTTGCCCAGATGGAGGCCATAGCCGAAGAATGGGGTCGCATCAAGCACACTCTGCAAAATGTGCGCAACCAGGTCGAACTTGCCATGGAGTGGGAGGAGCTGTGGAACAGCGTATTGGGCGACATACAGACCGAGTTGGACGAGCTCGGCAGGCTTGTTTTTGAGATGGAAGAGCGCCGCCACAAGAGCCTCGCTGTCGCTGCAAGCGGCGACAACGTCGACATTGGAGACCTGGAGACTATTGTCGAAGACAACCCTCTGTCGGCTGCGCGGCTGCAACCCTCGAACCGCTTCAGCCTGGCGCTGCCAATGAGCCCCAACTCGGGAGGAACATCGACCTTGTCCCAGGACGACTCGAGCTTACTCGCCCTCTTCGCGAGGATGCAGCCTCTACGGGCTTCGCTGGACTTTTTGCCCATGAGATTGTCCAGCTTTGAAGCGAGGGCCAAGGACGCATTCCCCACCGCCTGTGATGAGTTGGAAATGCGCCACGAGGCCCTAGACGGGAGCTACCACAAGCTGGAGAAGGACGCCGAGTCTCTGCGTAAGGAGCTTGGAGAGGACAGATGGGTCATTGTGTTCCGTGGCGCCGGACGCCAGGCTCAGAAGATGCACGAGTCCGTCGAGCGGTCTCTCATGAAGTTGAGAGAGGCCATTGACGCCGGCATGCATCTGACGAACCAGCCCGCCATTGCCAAGAAGATTGAGAGCTACGAGGCCAAAAAGACGCACTACGGCCCTGCCATCGAACGCGTCCTCGCCATCATCGACAAGGGCGTCAAGGATCGCTTGACCGTCAACGGCGAGATCTTGCGTCTGCACGCGGAGATGCAGACACGGTGGGAAACGCTCAAGGCTGACATGGCAGAGATGGACCTTGTTCTCGAGGACATTTACGCGGAACGAAAGAGCCAGCAACTGCGCGACTCCATTTCCAGCATGCTCTCCAACGATAGGTCGACCAGTGGCAGCGGCATGGAAACCCCGGGCAGCTCTCCGCCCTCATCAGTCATCATGTCGTCGTTTGGCCGCGATCCGCGCACGCCCGCGCGGAAACACACCAACCAGCTGCGATCCCCCAACGCAAGCTCCTCCAGCGTCCGGTCGACTTCGACCAACCGGCGGGACTCGTCTCTCCCTGCTCCTGTCTCGAGGCTTTCCAAGAAGCCCGGAAACAGGCAGTCTTACTACCCCCCTTCTGCCTCGTCCTCGACCCTTCGCCCTGCCTCGACCATGGGGCAGCGCCCTCGATGGAACTCGTCGTCCCACGCCCTGGACGCTGAGCAAGGCCGCAGCCCACATCGAACGCCTGTGCCCCAGAGGTCGACGACTTCCGTCACGCCCAGCTCGACATCAAAGCTCCCCACCCCTCGAAGCTCCCTCACTCGCACCGGTGCAGAATCCCCCATGAGCGACGCGTTTCCCAGGTCGTGGTCTAGGAACGGGCACTCGCGGCTCTCGTTCCGTGAGCGCCTCACATCCCCTGGGCCTTACTCTCAGACCAACCTGGCAAAGCAACAGCCAGCTCGCCGTTCCAACGTACTTCCAACTTCTTCAAACTTGACCCTTGACAACCTAAACACTCGTCCCAACAGCTCTATGGCGACGTCTCGCCGCAGCAGCTTGTTGCCCACGCCAAGGGGCAGGCCAGAATCAGCAGCCCGTGGAACGAGCCCCCTTCCCATCTTCAGCCGGTTTAGTTCCCGCAAGTACAGTGACAACTCTCCCGAACCAAAGGATCTCAAGCCCAGGTGGCGATTCTGAAATGGCGGTATCTGATGGCACGCCCCAAGCGAATAATATGGTATCGGACCCAGAAGTGTCTTTGGAATCGGATTGTGTGTTTTATCTATCCCCTTTTTGTAACCTCTCGAGTCGATGCTTGCTTGATATGAAGCCTCTCATTTCAGAAAAAAAATATCCCTGCTTCTTCAGCCTCAGCTCACAATTCGCATGGCATGCCAACTCCCGTGCTTTTCTCAAAGTAATCTGTTTCTGTGTTTTTTTTTTTTTTCCTTCTTCTTCTTTCATAGCGTGGCGTAAAAGGTTGCAATCACACGAGGAGGAGCGAGGCGAGAGGTCAGCTGGCGGTGGTGGGAGTTGGATGGAAAATGACGCGACACCCAAAGAGATGATTTTTCTTTACTCTTTCCAGATCTTCATCTGCCTTTTCGGCCGGCATGTTCTGCCACTACTCTCTTCCTCTTCTGCTTCCTCTTCCTCTTCCTCTTCTTCTACATCTGTTTCTCCCCTTTTACTCTCGGGTATCTCTTTTTAACAATTAATTCGATTCTTCTCACCTTTTTTACTCGTCTCTTTGAGTGTCTGTGTCCGCTCCTTTTCTTGTGCTTTCTTTCTTTTTTTTGTTTGTCAGTTCTTTTCTTTTGTGTGCTTGTCTGTCTACAATAGATAGTTGAGATTCCCAGAGCTGTGCTAGTAATACCCAGTGAGCTCTACAACTTTGTATCTGTACTAGAAGACAAAGAGTTGTGCAGTTCAATCAAGATAAGAATGATTTATTTGAATCATGGTTTCGATTGAGCGTGCTGATGGTCCTGGTATGGTGGCTATCAATGGGCGATTCTTTGTCTATGTATAGGTATCTAATGACTGATAGATGATGGCAGTCGCATAGACTAGGAATAGAACTCGATTGCCGGTGAACACTCCCAAACTACTGCTGTAAAACATGGATTCATGCTTCTCGAGAGAAGTCCTGTAGACCTAAGGTATCTACTAATCTATAGCACGGGGAGTATATATGCATACAACATGCAGATATTTTCCATGAAATCTACCTACCCCATATTCCCCTCTACCACCACACAAGACCTCCATCAGGTTCTTCCTCATCTATTCTCCACGTCTCGCTTGCTCCTCTCTTCTTGATCCGCTTGCTAGAAAACATGGATGATGGTTTAATGTAAATGCTTGAAACGCTCAAACGTCAAAAAGGTCGCCTTTGTTAATGTGCCGTGACATGAACTTCCCACCCCAAACACCGTGAGCATGAAAAGGGGGAGGCCGTCAAAACATCCCCCATACTCGATCCGCGCACAAACAAGGAAACACGCAGATAATGGGATCAAAACAAACAAATACCCGAAGGGAAGATAGCAGAGCCGCTCGTCAATGGTCAATTCATCATAAAGGCATCAAACCAATCCCTCCTCCACTCTTCTTGACGATCTTGCCGTCGCGCTTGAACCCGCCGCTGCTCCCTCCGCCTGATCGAGATGACGAACCACCGCCGCCGCCCCCGGAGCCGCCGCCTCTCGCGCCAGAACCACTACCTCGGCGCTGGGAGCCTCCACCAGAGGCCCCTTTCCTGGACCATTTTTTCCCACCAGAGTATCTCCTTCGCCCGCCACCACCACCTCCTCCTCCTCCCCGGCTGTATGATCTGCCCCTGGATTGGCTCGGCTGGCTATTCAAGCTCTGCAGCCTGTCGTGAAATGCTTGCACATTCGCGGGTGGTTTTGGCGCAAAGTAGTGAGAGTCCTCTTCCATCCCCATGGCCTCCTCTTCATCCTCATCAGCCTCGAGATCCGAACTGATCAGGTCCACTATTTCTTGATTCAAGTTGGAAGCTGATGCGCCGGCACCACCAGACTCCGCCGCAGCAATCTCGCGATATAACTTATGGTATTCCTCCAAGATTGATATCAGCTTCTTGCCAACCTTGTCAACTTTGTCGACGTCAATGCCAGGGATGCGTTTCATGCTGTCGAGTGAGGTAGTCCAGTTAATGGCCATTTCTTGCAACTGAGAGTCCGTAAACATCGGTCGTCTCACGTCAAGCCTGTTACGAATGCGCTCCTCCAGTTGGCGTGCCTCTTGAACGAAATTATCCACCATATCCTGATGAATCTCTGGCAAATCCTCCAGCTTCAGTCTGCCTGGATGAGGTTCGGCCAGTGGTGTTTGTTTGGAGCTGGAGCGCGAGTTGGTTGGTTTTGCTGGTCGGTGCTGAGGGAGTGGCTCAAAGGCTTCGTCCTCATCGGCCAAGTCCTCTTCGCCTTCATCTTCCATCTCTTCGTCCGAGACGACAAAGCCATCATTCACATAGCCGTGCGCGGTGGTGGGTAGGTTGGACTCGTCGTCACTGTCAACCACTGTCGCTCTTCTTCTGCGTGCGTTGACTGGAGACGAGACATATGTGGATTGCACGTTATTAGCCGGCTCTTTCTGCTTCCTGCTGGCTTTTGGTCTCTTGGCCTTCGACTGGTCTCCATCGCCACTGTCAGAAACCTGGACCGTCAGCATAAGCTTTCGTCTCCCCGTCAAAAACTGGTTGGCGGCAGGCCCGATTTGGAGATATTGAATAGCAACTCCATGATTGCCAACAACGTTGTCCTCATGGAAGCCCTTCTCAGCCGAGAGGCGGTCGATAACGCGGACCATCTCGTGCTTCTTCATCCCCTTGGCCATGCCGTGATAGTCGTCCGAATTCTGCATTTCATTGTCCGGGTACTTTCTCCCAATCAGAATATCCGCACACTGGTTTGCGGTCAGCCTGTGCTGCTGCTGGACAATTCGGATGGCGGCTATGGCGTATTCGGAAAAGTCCTGCTGCTCGAATACAAGCCCAGCCTGGCAATTGTCGCAAGTCTTGTTGCACTGTGACGGACTAAAGTCCTCTCCAAAGTAGCGAAGGACCTCGGTTCGTCGACAATCCGCCTTGTTGTCACAGAATGCTGTCACGCGGTTCAGCATCACCATCTGTCTTTCCTTTTGCTCGTTGTTGCCCTCTCCGTCTAGAATCAGCTTCTTAAGGACTCTTATGTCCCCTTTTCCGTAGAACAAGATACAGTCGGAGGGTTTCCCGTCTCGCCCCGCACGCCCAGTTTCCTGATAATAGCCTTCTAAGCTCTTTGGGATGCCATGGTGGATCACATATCTCACGTCTGGCTTATCAATCCCCATCCCGAAAGCAATCGTAGCCACGACGACTTTGATTTGGCCCTTTTGCCACGCAGTTTGTACTTCCACCTTCTCCGAGGGCGTGATTTGAGCATGGTAGTGACGCGCCGTTATGCCGTGCTCACAGAGCTTCTGGGCAACATCCTCGGCCTGCTTCCGCGAAATCGTGTAGATGATTCCAGTAACGTTGGGGTATTTGGCTTTGATCAAGGCAGCAATCTGCTGCGTCACCACCGGGTTGGAGCCTTTGGGCCGGACCTCGTAGTACAGGTTCGGGCGGTTGAAGCTTTGCGAAAAGACCTGGCAGTTCTTCATACGAAGATTGTGTTTGATGTCGACAATGACGTTTTGTGTGGCAGTGGCCGTCAATGCCATGACAGGGACCTGAGGGAACTTGGCTCGAAGCTGTCCCAGAGTCTTGTAGTCAGGACGAAAGTCATGCCCCCACTGGCTAACGCAGTGAGCCTCATCGATGACAATGCGGGCAAATTTCTTGTTCCGGTACAGATTTTGCAGGGCGTTCATGAACTGAGGGCTTTTGCTAGCCATTTCGGGGGTGACATAGAGAAGCTCTATGAAGTGCTCTGGATTCCGCTCATCGAAAGCAGACATGACTTGCCGCTTGTACTCTGGCGAGCACTCGCTGTTGAACGCAACGGCCTGTATCCCCAAAGCTTTCATGTGATCTACTTGATCTTGCATCAAGCTCAGCAGAGGGGATACGACGATTGTGACACCTCTTGTTTTGCCGGACTTTACCACAGCCGGAAGCTGATAGCAGAGGGACTTTCCACCACCCGTTGGCATTAGCACAAAGGCATCGTCTCCTGCGAGGGTGGCGTTGATCGCTTCCAGTTGGTTTTGCCGGAACCCCTTCATCCGGAACCGATCTTTCAACGTTTTCTGTACGTCTGCAGACCAAGGATGCCTCATGAGCTCCGCCGGTATCCTTGTCTGGGATGGATCGGGAGGCGGTTGTCTTTTAGGAACCTGCTTCTGCTTCGGCGCCGGCACAGCATTTCCAGATGTTTCGGAAAATGCTCGTCGGGAGTCCGAGGGCGGTTCGCGAGCAGACTGTCGTAGATCGTAGTCTTGAGCAAATGCAAGCATATCAGCATCGTCACTGAAGTCGCTAAACTCATTTGCTGCGCGCTGAGTGCGACTCCTCTGAGGTGCCTTGCGTGTGTCGGCTAGAGTGGCCTTCTTCGCCGGTTTAGGCAGCAGCTGCATATCCATGTCATCAATGTCAGAGAAGAAATCTTCCTCGGCGTCCACATCATGATCCAGTGTCGGCACTGATCTTGGACCAGATGTCGAGGCGTAATTCGGCAACTGAGTAGTCCGGGATGACTGTCGTGGAAATGGCTCAGATCGTGAGTTCTGGTCATCTGGGGATAGAACCCCACTTCCACCTGTCAACCTCTGAGCCGAATTGGCCTCGTTCCAGAGCTGTGACCGAACGGGCTCCGGGAGCTGGGTCTGGTGAACGACCTGAGTCCCTCCAAGAGGCAATGGAACGTCTCTTGAACTCCGCGACATGTTGACCATGCCTCCATGACCAGCCTGGGTGCCGAGCACAACGATATGGTCATCGGCCCGGCTCGTGGCAGGATACTCCAGAGTCTCTAGTAGGTTGGCTTCATTGATGCCTGCTGCGGCCAGCATCTGGGAGAGCTCTCGCTCTTTCGTCTCGACGTGCTCGGTAAGCTCATCCAGTCGGGCTTCTTGTTCATCTGTGTTTGCGCCTTCGGCGTATGATCGGGCTACCTGCTGGGCCACTGCTTCTCGCTGCTGGTGTAAGCTTCTGTAGTGCTTCACTGATTGATCGAGCTCCTGAGTCGCCTTCTGTTGTCTGACGAGCGCTTCTTTCTCCGCTTTGATCTCGTCCCTCTTGTCCTTCGGCAATCTGTCATTGATGGCTTTCATGAAGTCCCGGTCATTCTGCTGGATCTGCTTATCCAAAGAATCGCATCGTTTCGCTAGAAGCTGCGGATTCGACAATATTCTGGACAATAGTCTTGATGTCTGACTGGATGGCGTGAATGACTGCTGCGGATGGCTGGTTTCGCTTCCATTGTCGACAGTGGCTGTACTCTGAGTTTCGGATATGCTTTGGTGAGATAGCTCCAGGTCTCTGGCCTGTGCTCGCCGAGGAGCCAGTGGTGAACCTTTTCTCCTGGGTTCTGGAATCGTAGGTAGGTCTTCAACATCCATGATGAAGTCATCTTCCTCCGGGTTGGCTACTGGCTTCACCTGGTCCTTCCTCGCAGCAGCTGGAACTGACGGCGGGGTCACAAATTCGTCGTCAGAATCAGGAATGCAATACTCGTCGGATTGGCGATGCTCAGTCTGATGGACGTGCTTGTCAAAAGTTAGAGGCTCTGGAGACGCAGAACGCTGACCAGAAACTTTCGCCTTCTTCCGTCTCTCGGAGCTCGTGATGGCATAGTCTTTCTCTGGAGTTCGCTTGATAGGAGACGGTGATCTTCGATTGGCAACACGCCCCAAGGGAGATGACGACCCTACCAAAGGTAATTTGGAAGACGGTGCTTTGACACTCTGTGGTCGATTAATAACAATGGGCTTCCGTGGAACTTGAGGTTTTGGCACAGCAGAACTGACCTTTTTTGCGGACTGTCGACCGGGAGTCGGGGCAGGAGGAGAGGTTCCCAGAATCTGATAGACATCAGGAAACTGAGTATCGGCACCAGCGACAGCATCACCAGCGTCGGCACTCTTCCTCTTCTTTGACTTGGGCAACGGTGCCTCCCAGGATGCGTCCTTTTCGGTCCAGACTTTGACATCCTCGCCAAACTCATCAGATTCATCAGAGGCGCCAGTTGTTCTCGTGAGGTCCATGTACTCGAGATCGTCAACATCGAAGTCCGCAAAATCAGCGTCGAATCCTGGAGATGGGCTGCGGCGTGACGGGCCAGGCTTTGCGGGTGAAAGAACAAATTGCTTTGGTTTCCCAGATCCCGGGGTTGCAATCGGCCCATTGGATCTGGCAATATCACAAACGAATTCTTCTGTTCGGGCACCACTCGTCTTGAGAGTCTCATTCAAGCGCTGTTTGTACTGGCTTTCTGATGACGGCGTTGCCAGTCTGCCATTTTGTGACAAAAGCGAAGGCTTTTTTGACCCGGCAGACAAGTTTAGCCGGCCCATGTCGTCGTCCTCTACTGCCACCACTTCTGTACCCAGGGAACCCTCTTCTCTCTTCGGCGGGCCATTTGAGCTCCAGGAGTCCTGCACCTGGTGTGTCCGTCTGTCTCCTCCAGCTGATACAGTGGTAGCCTGACTTGGTTCTGCCGTACGACCGCTTGCAGACTGGGATTGCGAAAATCGAAAGGATGCTGAATCGCTGGCTTGGGGAAGCTCTCGAGCGGCGGGCTTTGATAAGGCGGCGTTCTTCAACAACCAGGTGAGGTGGCCTGACAGGTTATTTCGAGTCATGAAGCCGGCTTCAGGATGCCAGACGGGTCCGCATTTGCAACTCTGGCGAGCATTGAAGCCGGTCTCTCGTATCGCTGGTGTTTTGATGCCTGTCAACAGCTGTTGCTCGGTTTATGCGGCGTGAAACAATAGTGGCAGAAGGCGCGTACCGCGTTGGTTAGTCAGCAGATGCGACAGCACGTGATCCATTAAACGCGCTCAGCGGTAGTCGGGGAATGTGCGATCAGGGTCGTGCATTATGTAATGCTACCAACTTCAACATCGGAGCTGCAATAGACACGAGCAGTCGAATATCGAGCGGTCAAGTCCATGGACAAGAGAGACATGACTGTCTTGGGGTACAGAAAGCGAATAATGATGTGTGTAATGAAGACAAGATTTGCACTCGGCTTAACTTGTGGATAGGCAGCAACACGAATCCTATCACCCATTGGAGCATCCACGATTGCACGCGATTAACGAACATCAGAGGAATGGTGCTCGACGCTGAGAGGAGATATTGATGGTCTTTTCCAAGGTGAACTACTAATCTGCATCGAATCAATTTATACTGGCGGGAGTCACATAGCGGCTGCTCTGCTTCATGGGTAGAGCGCAATGCGGGTGCTGGCCACCCGCGCTTCCAGCCACATAGCATAGATTTGTCCATCATATCTAATATATTCTTCGCTGCACTCACTTTTTCAAGGTAATTCTGCGATGAGGCTGGATCTACAAGTCAACACCCTCTCTCCAAAATCAACTGAAATGTAGTGGTCAAGATGTCTAAGCATGTCAGCCTTAAAATGCTTGCAACCCGTACCCACAACCATACCAGCAAGACACATGGCAAGTCCACATCCTCCAACCAAGATCTACCTCAGTGAACTTCCGAGTCATTCAAGCCCACGTTCCTACATGGGTCAAAACCAAAGCCTATTCTAACTCTAATTTTCTCCCTTTCACAATCACCGCCTAAAGCAGCATTTCCATGCAAAACCGCACCAAGAGCAGCAGCGGTTGTCGGCGGCATCGGTGGAGTCGCGATCAGATCGTCTCCCGGCCCGCACGGCTGGCTCAACGGCAGCCGGCCGGGGCCCACTCCGGATGCGGTGCATGAGGGCCTCGCTATTGGCTGCAGGTGTCCATGCAACGGCTTTCGCAGCCACGCCGCTTTAAGCCGAAGATGTCTTTTCTTTCTTCTCACATTACCGATGGCGTCCCAGGGGGTCAGATACGTAAGTATTATCTAAGAGCTGGTCTTACAGTCGGTGACACTGGGCCTGGAACTCGGGTGGTTGCTTTACGCGGAAGCTCCAAGTTCACCAGAACAGGGGTGGTTCCAGTGCAGCGTCTGTAGGAGCGATGCCACTTGTTCAACGCTGGCAACGTGCATCATCTTACAAATTTGCTCTTTGCCTTTCTCTGTGACGGCATGGTGGAGATTGCATTCCGAGTGTTACGCATTGAATCATGATGCAGACACTTTGTCTGTGGAAGGTGTCAGACAATCTTGCATCTCGATCCTGGTGCATGGCCAAGCTTCCTTTTTCAATGCGGAGCAACGAACAGGACAAATCTCGATCTAGTACGCATGCCGTAAATCTGGTTTTAAAAGCAGCGATGGCCATGTTGTAGTATGCGCTTCTCTAATCGTGGTTGGCCGGAAGAGTCCGTTGTTTGCTTCCCCCTTTCGAGACCTGGTCTGGATCCTGGCTTCGGCGTGGGGCCGGCAGATGTCCATTTTTTTTTCAACCGTGCCTCAGACGGATCTCGGTCCCGACGCCTGGAATAAATCAAGACGAGATCCCTACTTCCTCGTCTCTCTCACACTCTTCCTGATGCGCTGCCCTCTTTTGGAGAGTAGTTGTTTCTCAAGAGACAGCCGTAATACAGACCCTGCGTAACGCCTAGCTATTCTCTCAAAGTGTCTGTGTCACAACACCTTAAGCACCAAGACTCCGATGGCCGAGACAGAAGAAAAGGTCACGACGACCCCTCTAGACACTAGTCGAGAAGGGTCTCTTTATGCCGGGCAGCAAACGCCACAAGCAGCCAAGGCATCGGAGAAGAACCATGACCTCGTCGACTACTTTTCGCAAGACGTTCGAACAACACTGTTCGTTGAGCTCCAACTCCTCCTGATTACATTCTGTACAGGCATCCAAGGTAAGCGGGTGCTTAATTCCGATACGGTCTCTCTGTGTATTGTGAAGCTGACACAGATCGAATCGCAGATGCAACGACGTTCCCCGACTACCACTGCTTCGCCTCAAACCAGACCGGCAACACCATCTTTCTCTGTCTGGCTTTGATCATACCTCAATTCAACGGCGACATGTTCTACACTGCAAATATCGGCACTGGATTGGGCGTCTTCCTCGTCGCAGGGTGGTTGACTGGCCAAGTGGGCCACATTGTCGGGCCTCGCAAGCGATGGTGGCTTATTCTCTGCAACTTGATTCAAACCGGCCTTGTCTTTGCTGCAACCGGCATCCAATATCGGCACGGAGTCCATGATCATGGGTGGAGCGCAGTCGTTGTCGTCGCTCTGTTGGCGTTTGCTGCCGGTAGCCAGGTGGTGCAGTCTCGAAGCTTGGCCGCAACTGAGATCAGCACTGCGATGGCGACGGCAGCGTGGGTGGACTTGATGATTGACCAGAAGCTCTTTGTTCTGGACAACCGGCCGCGGACGAGGCGAGTTGCTTTTCTTCTGGCGCTTGTCGTAGGAGGCTTGGTCGGTGCCCTGATCTATCGGACTGCCGGATCAGGGGCTGCGCTTGCTGTGTCTGGGGCGGGCAAGGGACTAGCGGGTCTGCTGTACATCTTCTCAGGGGCTGAGGAAAAGAAGAAAAAGGTCAACACATCAGAGGTGTAAGGGGGTCCATTGGCGTTGTGTTATTCAAGGCGTTTCTGGTTATAGGTTCTTTGGTTGGGAAAAAAGCAAGCGCACTCTGATTTGCAGCCAGCGTACAGGGTAATAGACAGCGGGCATTTTGTTTTTTGGCATTAGAATAGATCAAACTGACGTTGTAGACAAATAGTTCTGTCGACTAATTGTTTGCTGGACATCACAACGATCGGTAGAGAAAATATGATGCTCACCTAGGTACCTGTTGATGTTCGGTGGGCGATCGTGACTTTGAAGAAGCGCGTTGACTCTACATCACCCCAGTGCCCGTCACAAGGCTCACAGAGTGAAACATATTTGAGATCTGCTATCAAGACGAATATATCCAACGACGACATAACCGTAGTGCCTTTTCTAAGTATTCATAGAAGAGTCAGCTGATATTGGGTGGCCAAACAAGCTGGACTCGATACCAGGCCCGTGCAATACTTAAGATTGTGCCTAGTAAGTGAAGAGCAATTCCATCTATTTGAAGCAAAGCCCATATACAGCAATTGCCGAGATCAGGCTTCAATGGAGATAAATTCTCAAATTCTTCCAATCAAAGTACTCAATTCCCCCATTCAAGACGGTCCGCAGGATATTTCGGAGAACTCACATGCAATGCAATCCGTCTCAATCCTTCGACAGGCGATGGGACATGCGGTAAAGGTACAATCTGCAACTGAAGGAGTTAATCCCTGCCATTTGCTCGTTCTCCACCGCCTTCTGCCTGATCTGGCAATCTTTTTACTTGCTCGGCCATCGCAATTCTCCGCTCCGGCCAGGCTGCCATAGTGGGGCCGGCAGCTCGACCGAGCTCCCAAGCGAAGCTCCAACAGGCACCAGCGGCCCTCTTTGGCGATGCCCTCGTCTTGTGTCTCCATGCAACATGCCGGTCACGGGACTTCGCGATGCAGTCGCTCCCGCTTCTCCAGGCAGCAGACACCCTGGCCGACAGGGAAGCGCGTTCTCGCGTCGCGGTTCCGAGCCATTGTCAGCTCCAAGCGCTACCAAGATGCCACCGTCGTTAGCGGCTGTTCCACAGCTCTACGAGTACTAGTGCTTGAGAGACCGAGGATGGATCGTTTTGTGGGTTGAGGGAATCGTCTCAGGGTCTCTCTAGCTGGCAGCTCCCGGTGGGCTGGGAGATGTATAAAGCATGTCGTTGTCCCGTCCGTTTCCTGGCCTGATCCCCAAGCCAACTTGCATCTCACGAGTCTTCTTTATATAGCTGAACTCGACTCGACGTGGTGTACATCGTCCATCTTACTTGTTACGAACTCCTGTTCTCCTCAACCCACCGTCGACATCCCCATCAGTTGCCTCGCTGTGCGAGATATCCTTCTTCGTCCAACTCCAGCACGTCCCCCTTCCACCCGGACTCACACACAGCAATGGCTCTCTCAGACTTCCCCGAGCTGCCTGCTCCCCAGGCGGACCTGGTCAACTACATTGCCCAGAACCCGGCCAAGCCCATGGTCGAGATCATGGAGCCCTACCGCAGATATGAAGCCCACCTGCGCTCTGTCTTTGCCCAGGACAGGGAGAACCCCATTCTCAAGGATCCCTACCTCAATGTCGTTCCCCTGTTTACTGATGCTACCAAGAGCATCACCACTCGAGCTCGAGATCTAGCTTCTGAAACGGAAGAGGAAAAGTCCAAGTACATCATGGCACTGCCGGACGACAAGCGCCGCCCACACGGGTCCCCAGCAACTGTTGCCAACCTCGCCGAGTTTCAAAAGAACTTTGGCATCTTCTCGGAGTCTTCCCTCGCCGAGCTCGACTGGAACAACGTTGTGGCAGCTGGCTCCTCCGTTGTCAACACGTTGCTGCCAGTTCCCAATGAGTTCAAAGCGAACAAGAGGAAGCTCCGCGAGTATTATCACGAAAAGTTCTGCCCTGCGTCCGATGTTGACCTTTTCCTGTATGGCCTGACTCATGACGAGGCCATTGAAAAGATCAAGCAGATCGAGCAGTCGATCAGGGACTCGATTCTGAGCGAAGTCACTGTCGTCCGCACCAAATATGCTATCACTATTGCCAGTCAATATCCCGTTCGGCATGTGCAGGTAAGGATACATCATCTCCACGTACGGGCTTGATTAGGCCACTTGCAGAGACTGAACCCTTTACAGGTCGTTCTCCGTGTGTACAAGTCAGTCAGCGAGATTCTCACTGGATTCGACATTGATGCCGCCGGAGCCGCCTACGATGGTAAGCAAGTCTACGTGGCTCCCAGGACCCTCGGCAGCATCATTACGCAGATCAACCACATCGATCTTTCCAGACGCAGTCCGTCTTATGAAAACCGCTTGTCCAAATACTCTCATCGGAACTTCGAGGTGTACTGGCCCGAGCTCGACAGAGCCCGTGTTGACCCAACAATCTTCGAGAGGAGCTTCCAACGAACTTTGGGACTTGCCCGTCTACTGGTTCTGGAACGACTTCCAACCACGCATGCTCGCGATGCGTACCTCAACAAGAGGCGTCAGGAGCGTGGCCGGCCGGCGTTGCAGCGCAGCCACTTCAACCTCAAAGGAAACCTCAAGTCCTACCACGAGGACGAGGTTGCCGATTGGCTCTCAGAGGAAGACGTCAGCAATTACCACACCTTCACTGTTCCATATGGCGAAAAATTCAACGCGAAGCGGATTGAGAAGCTCTGCTACACCCGAGACTTGCTTCTGAACGCTGAATGGAACCAGCCAAAGGAGCGCGAGGTCTATCTGCATCGCCACCCTGCATTCTTTGGCAGAGTGGAGGACGTCATTGAAGACTGCTGCGGCTCCTGCCCCAAGCCAGTGACCCCTGAAGAGATCGAAGTTGCCGAGAAGGAGGCTGAGATTTACATCTCGGGCAAGGTCACGTTTCTCATTGACGACCCCGGCAGGCAGCAGATTGGATCGTTCAACCCTTTGACGGAACAGGACTGGACCGACATGGCTTATGTCGGCAACACAGCTAGGTTGTTCCAGTCCATTGTCGACAACGATGCCGAGGATGTCTTGAATTGGCTTTCGCAAGAAGGCGCAGACCCAAATCAGAGGGATTACACCGGACGAGCACCGCTCCATCTCGCTGCCATGGTATCCAGTCCAGAGGTTGTTCGTTGTCTCGTTGACCACGGTGCTCGCCTAACCGCTCGTCTTGCGGACGGCAGAACGGCTCTTCATCTCGCCGCCGCCAGAGGCCATGCAGAGATCATCAAGATCCTGATGGACAAGAGTGATGAGAATGAAGAAGCTGAAGAAGACAGGAAGGACAAGCGACGCAAGGCTGCTAGGGCTCAGGGGAGTGGCAACAACGAAGACACTCAAAAGACATCCGAGAGATCCGAGGATGCAGAAGAAGATTCAGATGTGGAGATTGTTGACAACGCGGAGACAGAGACAGACGCACACTCCATCGTTACTGGATCGTTCGTCAAGGTGGAAAAGAGTAAGGAGGATACAAACACGGAAGAGCCGACACTCGACGAGCCCGAGGAAGGACCAGACTTCTACCAGATTAACGTACTTGCGTGGGATGTCCCATGCTCTCCTCTTCATCTTGCCATTACAGGAGGGCATGAAGAGGCTGTGAAAGCCCTTTGCGATGTGAGTTTTCATAACCCCCTCTCGATTTCTAGCTTAGGCTATTGATTTTGTTGGAATGCTAACATCAAAAAGTATGGGGCCGATGCTATCCTTCCCGTCAAGTTCCTGAATCTTCATCAACACTCGAACCAAGCTGCTGCCATCCTTACCTTGACGCTTGCACTCTCGCTGCCGACAGACAAGGCCAAGTCTATGGCGCTGCTGCTTCTCCAGCTCGGCGCCACCTGTTCCCAGGCCGACTCCGACGGGTGCACCGCCTTCCACCGTTATGTCGAGCGAGGCAGCGTTGACATGGTGGGAACACTTATTGAAAGTGACCCCAGAGGTACTCAGGCAGCCATCAACCACTTGTTCTTCTCAGGACATACATGGAGCCCTGAGGTTGTCTCGCCCCTTCAGTCTGCTCTCGGTCGATGCGATCCGATACTTGTTCTCAAACTTTTGAATGCTGGAGCCTCGACTGAGATCGACTTTGACGCATGGCTCAAATCGGCCAAGGTGACTCCCTCACAGGCCAACCACGTCTCAAATCCCGTCTTGACCAAGTCGAGATATGCGCAGTCAGTCGAGCAGCCTTTGATCACGGCGATCCGGGCAGGCGATGTCGATTCGGCGATTCTTCTCTTGGACCACGGGGCAAACCCAAACGCGCTCACCCGTGAGACGGAGAATGCAATGGCGAATGAGTCGCAGCGCCATTACACACTCGGAGCCACGGCCTTGGACATGGTTCGACGTCTGATCAAGAAGCTGCGCGAGTACGATGGAGAAAAGCCGAGGACAAGATACACAGAACCCGAGAAACTGCCGGACTTTGATCCTTTACTCAAGGATCTCGAGCCCGGCACCTATGAGCACTGCGTAGTTACTCACAGGATCAAGGCGGCTCGAGAACGATACCAGCGCGATAGCGAGAACTTCGAGAAAGAGTTGCAGAAGGTGACTAAGATCAAGGGCATCGCCGAGAAAGCAAACGCAATCAAGGAGAAGATCGAAGAGCTCGTCAAGCTGGAAGGTGCTCTTGTCGCCAAAGGCGGTCTGGTCTTCACTGAGCTTCATCCGGACATCAAGATGACTGGCCGGACCAACAACTTTTACGGCGGCGGCGGCTATCTGCCTTTCTTCACTCCTCAGAAAGATGAGCCCAAGATCCTGTTCCATGGGGATGAGTTCATGACTGATGCGAGAAGAGCGGGATATCTGCGATTGTAAGTCCATGTTCCTGTGACGCAATATCAAGCCACACTACTAATGCTACTGGTCTTTTTTTAGGATGGAAGCAGCCTGGACTGGGGACGTGGAAACGATCAAGTCCCTGACTCTCCAGGCTTGGGGTCCCAACAAGGAAGAGCCGCCATGTAAGATGGCAATCTACGACAACAGCCAGAACTCCCCGTTCTCGGTTGCTTTCCTTCGCGGCCACCACACAACGGCCAAGGCTATCCTGGAAATCATCAGGGCTCAGTGGTCAGCGCCTGAAAAGGAAAAGGTCCGGTACAAGATGCAGTCGCGAGATGAAGATGATGACAGTGGAGACAATAACGATGATAGCGATGAGGCGGAGTCGGACGACGAGCTTCGCATTGTCTCGGAGACGATCGACAAGGCCTTCACCATTGATGATGTTGGGCACGTCTCTATGCAGGTCAAGTCTCATGTCAGGCCCGTGGATGTGATCACAGGCAATGCAAACCGTCTCATCATGAAGGATGGCGCACCGCCTGAACTCGGCGGGACGGCCAGTCTCTTGCTGCAAGCCATCGAGGCAGACGACACAACGAACCTGAAATTGCTTCTGGGATGGATCAAAGAGTACGAAGATTCGGAGTTGACTGGTGACGAAGAAGGAAGCAGCAAGAGATTCAACCTGAACTCGAACGATTTTATCTTCGCCGTCCAGAGCGGGAACACGGAAGCGCTCAGTCTCTTGATCAAGCGAACCGGCGCAGGAATCCCTCTGGATCACCTCGTCAAGAAGAGCGGCGCCGAGCTGAAGCAGAAGCCCCGTTACTATCAAGGGCTGACGGTTTATGGAAAGAAGAGGTATGGACATGCCAGCAGAGACATGGCGGGAGGACCTCTTTTGACTAACATCTCTATTAGGAAGGACTGGGCACAGGCCGGCCGTAACATGGTCGTCAGAACCACCGGGATCCAGACGCCGCCTCTTCTTCACGCAGCCCTCGGTGGCCGCATCGAAGCAGTCGAGTTCTTTCTGAGCGACAAGCCTCATCGTCTGTACGCCGAGTTTGCAAAGTCCAAGGCCGCTCTTGAGGATCCTCGGCTCAAGCACCTCATTCAGAGCCCAATCGGCTTTGACCGGGTCATTTCCAAATGGCTTGGTGCAGACAGTAAGCTCTCTCATCTTCCTACGAAAGGCCAGGATATATGCTGACAAAGGAATCCATTGCAGACGACTTTGTGCTGCACACGGCCATCTTGGCGTCGCCCTCTGAGCATTCAGTTCAGTTGGTCAAGTACTTGATCGATTCCTACCCCGATTCGATTGAGAGGAAGACGTCCGATGGCGACACGCCGTTGATGATGGCTTGTCGTCTCGGATACGTCCAATTTGCCAAGATGCTCATTGACGCAAATGCCAACCAGTGCACTCGCAACCACCAGGGAGAAAACATCTTGCACGCGGCCGTAGCTGGAAACCCGATGGCCCGCAGCCTCCGCCGCCTCCTCGACATTCTCGACCCCAGTCTCCGCAGTCATCTGTTTACGGAGAGCAAGAGTCTGCAGGCAAACGGCCTGACACCGCTCCACGCCTGGATCTCGCAGGTCTCCGGTGTGCCCCAGCACGACAGTCCCACCTATTACACGAGACGTACGAGGCGCTGGCGATACCATCACCATCCTACGCCGGCGGCCTATACCCGCACTGTGAACGTTGTGGACATGCTGAAGCTGATGCTGGAGTACTCGAATGGCGAGGAGCTGGACATGCTCAACGGCGCCGGAGACACTTGCCTGCACACGGCCATCATGCAGAAGGCCATCTCCATCGTCAAGGTGCTCGTCGACTTCAAGCCGCAGCTGCTACACAGAGAAAACGCCGTCGGCCGCACCCCAGCCGAGGTGGCTCAGGACAATGTGACAGCCGACCAGTTCGCCCACCAGACCAAGGTGTACCGGCAGAAGGACGACCAGCTCGATGCCTGGCCCACCAAGGCCCCCCACGAATTCGCAAAGTGCCCGACCGTGGAGGGTCTCAGCCGCGAGCAGCTCCGCGAAAAGGTGGCCGAGCTCGGCCTCAGCGGCGAGTACAAGCGCCGCCAGGTGGCCGCCATCATCGGCGCCGTCGGCCTCGCGCAGAGCCAGGAGGCGCTCAATCCCGCGACCCGCAACAAGGTCATCTGGGACCTCTGCAAGACCGCCATGGAACGGAACCCCGGGAAGCGCCGCCTCGTCAGCCTCAACGAGGCCAACGACGTCGCCAAGAGGCTCGGCGAGAAGCACGCCGCCTCGCGCTACTTTTCCGTCCAGGGCCGGGCCGATGACGATGACGAGGAGAATGAGGATGACGAGGACGAGGGGGACGACAAGGACAACACGAGGGATTTCGCTGCCAAGCAGCTATCGTCGAAGCTGGGCCAAGCTTGGAGCATCAACAGCTATATCGCCGAGCAGTATGGCATTGAAAAATGCGGTGCGTGCGGGTCGTACCATGAGGGGATTTGCAATCTCAGCCTCCCATGAGTTTGAGGAGTGTTTTCATAGGTCGACTTTGGCTCTACGCGGCTTCAGTTGCACGGTAATCAAGTTCATGACGGATAGAATGAGATGAATATATATGATATATGTTGTTTGCAAAATAGTGAAAATATTTGAACAGGGTGATTTCGTTCTTGTTTTTTTATTTCGGCATGACACAATAATAAGGATAAGAGAGTGTGGTGACAACAAACTGCCTCGCTCTCCCAGGCATATACCAACTTTCCAACATGTTACACATTTCCAATCCAGCGACTGGCGAAGCCCCAATGATCGAACCTGCAACCGACGCACATCTTACAAGTTACACCAGCCAGCTCAAGGCTCAGTAGTAGCGGATAGTCCGAGGAGCACCATCGCCCCAGAGGCCAACGACGGACAGCACAAACGCGGCGGCAGCGAAGCCGGTCCTGACGAGATAAGCCCTCGCAGCACCCTCAACGCTGGCCCTGACCTCCTCGCCATTGGCATCCTCCAGTTCTGACTCGCTGGGCAAGTCGCCCTCGCTGTGCGAATCGCCAAGGACCTCGTAGCTAGCCTCCATGCGGGCCCTGGACGACGCAGCCTTGCGGGCGCCGGCAGGCCTCGAAGAAGCCGGGGAGGCCGGCTGGGGGAGGTATGCCGGGACGGCGACGGACAGCGCGGCGAGGAGAGAGGTGTAGAAGAGGTACGGGTGGCGAGCGTAGCGCGGGGAGAAGACGAAGGAGAGGAAGAGCGGGGCGGCGGCCAGGGAGGAGAGCGCGAGGACGGGGAGGCGCAGGGAGGACTGCAGCGAGGCGAGGCCGTGGGCGGCGGAGGAGGAGGAGGGGAGGGCGAGGAGGGTTGGCAGGGTGAGTGTCGAGACGGTGTATGAGACGCCCTGTTTGGGGGGGGGTGCTTCGAGTTAGCATATCATGCATCTTCCCTCTGTGGTGTTTTCTCGATGCGCCTGATGCCGCTCTCGGAGCTCTTCGGCTACAGCAATGACATTTGCGTTGAAGCCCCGGATGTGCTTCCCTCGATCTCCCCGATTCTGCAAGACTCAATCGACATGTCGCTGGCGGCTGGCATGCGATGAGGTGACGCAGTGCAACGAAACATGCGACTCTCAGAGAGAGAGGGAGGGGGGAGGGGCAACTTGGGCATCTGCTGCTCTGCTACCACTCATGATACTCCTCCTCCTCCTCCTCAATGCGCGCAACATCCAATTGTGCATGAGAAAAACATACCGTCAGCAGGCCGAGGGACACGGTGCCCACGAATTTGAGGACCGAGATCCCCTTTGCCATTGCGATGGATTTTGATTGAAGCCGTGTGATGCTGCTGTGTTGGTCGGGATGTCGTCCGTTGTTCGGTTATGTAAGAATCCAAGAGAAGGAAGCGAAAGAAGGCGTTGGATTGCGGATCGGATCACAGGGAAGCGGAAACTGTATTACTACGTACCTACTGCAAGGTCAAAGCGGCAAGACGAAAATCCGGGGCGGTTCGTTCGCGGAAGACCGTGCTTTCCCTTGTTCGAACGGATAACGAACGTACGAGTAGCTGTGCAGATAAAAAGGCAACCGGCACTGGCTTGGGCGTCACGTCATGCCTTCCGACTTTCTAGTACTACAGCTAACAAGCGATAGCCAAGTCCCGATTGCTTCCCATTGCTTCCATCCCACTTGCCCGCTTGGCTCTTGCTGCTGCTGCAAATACCAACCTGATTGAGCTAAGCCTAATATGACTTGAGGGCATGTGGGGCAATTGCTGAGATACCCGCTTAAATGCGGGTGATTCACGTGCCTGAGCAAAAAGAGCTTTGCCGTGCCACAGCTTTCCAATTTTTCTTGTTCTTGAACTTCTTCTCTCTTCTTACAATGTAGACTTTGAGCTCGAATCACGGCCGGCTACCTTCGCATGTTGGACCATGGCTACCAAGATTCGCGCTTCTCTTTTCTTTCCTCTATCTTGTTTTTTTTTTCTAACGAACAGCTATTCTAGCAGCTGTAAATGTACGTTCTCCCTCCAAATCCACCCAATAACGAAAACACCCCAACCACACAAAAACCAACCATTCGTTTGCCCCCCCTCCCCTCCTCAAATGATGAGCAACATCGTACCCAAATACACTTATTAGGAAGAGCCGTCTGAGACTGCCTCCGATCGACGGGGAAGGAGAATCAAGACACAAACCCAAGCCGGACCTGATCCTTTTGTGTTTGGGAAAAAGCTTGCTTTGCGGTTTTGTCTCCTTTTTTGTCCGTCGGTCCCTCGGCCGCTTCCAGCAGACAAGAGTGGGAAAATACACGTCTGAATCTTTTGCATCGTCATATGCGCATTCGGGCGTTTTCCTGCGACGGTCCGTTGGCGGTGGTGGGGGCCGTTGTGCTTATAACTGGGTTTCTGAAAGAGAAGAGAAGAGGATGAAGATTTTTGCGGACATCTTGCATTGGTTTTCTTCGTGGACGAGTGCTAACCTGTCCGTTATAGTTTCATCATAGACCGAACGAAAGAGTGTCGAACATTTGATTGATCAGTTTGATGTGGTCATCAATTCGTCGTCTTGTTGTTCGCTTCATGCAGATAGTCTGTATATACGATATGCCATAATATAACAATAGTTTCATACTGCACAGTTGCCTTCTTCCATTGCTTTGCCATTCCTCAACGCCTGTGACCCTCGTAGCAAACATTCACACATCACTATCGTCGCTGTCCAACAACGCGGCTCTCCCACGTCGCCTCCTCGTTGCGGGAGCCGCCTCTTCAGACCCTCCATTCGCCCATTCCTCAAACGCCGACTTCCCCGTAAGCGTGTCGAGTTCGGGAACATCTTCGCTCTCTTGCGTTGCCGTAAACTGTGTCGGCACAAAGTACGGCTTGCTTGCCCCGGCCCGCGGCGTCCGTTCATTTCGCCGTATAGGAGACGTCGCTTCGGAATCAAGCATGCTGGACGTTGCTTGATCGTCCCCAATGACGAAATCTGCCAGGTCTGCTCCGTCGTCCGAGTCACTCTCGTCGAGCAGATCGCTGTCTCTTTCGCAATCGTCCCCTATCTCGTCGCTGCCGATGGCTGCTTTCCGAGAATACTTGCCCTTTGACTTGGCATTCAGCTTCTTGCGCCGTTTCGCCTCGCTGAGTCGGGGCGGCAATCCAGGTTCTTCGTCCGGAGCAACAATGTCGAGTTCAGAGTCGAACAAGTCTTGGTCTTCTGCATCCAACACAGCAGACTTGGGCCGATTTTTGGATCGAGACTTTTGTGGCTGGGCCTTTGTGGCCGCGACCTTTCTCTTCTTCGGCTGCTGAGCCTCAATGATTGTGGCGTCATCATCCGATTCGAGGTCCACGAATGCTCGCTTTTTCCCTTCTCCTTCGGACTGGTCATCGCTCGCATCTGTCTCGCCATTATCAGAATACACAAAAGGCCTTACTGGAATCTCCAGGAAATCGCTCGTGTCCTCGTCTCGACAGGGTCTCACGAGGCTATCGGGATCTGCCTCCATCTTGTGCAGCAGCTTGACGCAACGTTTCGTATATGGCCCATGCCCAAAGAGAACAGTTGGCCGTAGCTGTCGTTGCAATGTTGAGTGAGCCGTCATGTCCGGCAGGTTTGTGTCTTCCACGTCACGGCTGAAAGGCAGGTTCCGGTATGTTCGCTCGAGCTGGTGAAGCTCCTCTGGACCAAGGATAACACGTTCCAACTCGGGAATTGACGCTATGTCATCCAGCTCGGGGTTTCGCATCGGCTTTGAGCTGGGATTTGAAGCTGCCCGGCTCGTGCCTGTCGAGGGCTTCATGAAGTCACTGACTTTTTGAAAGCCAGTCTGTACGCCATCCGGCATGTGGAACTTCTTGGGTGGCTTCTTTTTGCCCCGGGGGGCTTGTCGCTTCTTGGGCTCTGGTAGCGATGTGTTTTGAGTATTCTCAATGGGAATCTCGACATGTCGCATGTCAATCTCCGGTCGTATGTCCCGGGGTACAATCCTCGTAGAAAGATCGAACCGGAAGTTGAACCGGCTACCTTCGCAGATGAGCCTCTGCATCTTTTCATAGTTGTCCTTGGACTTGGCAAACTGCTCCTCCTCTTTCCCTCTCATCAGCAGCAGCGCAATGTTGCCTGCTCGCTTTCGCCCCGTTCGACCCATGCGCTGCAACATGCGAATTGGTGATGCTGAGGAATCGTAGCACACGATAAGATCAACCTGGCCAATGTCCAAACCCTCTTCTCCGATGGACGTAGCAACAAGGACGTTGTAGGCGCCGGTCTTGAATCTCTCAATCGTCTCTATTTGCTGCTTCTGCTTCATACCCTCGCCGCGCTTGCCGTCTGCCTGCCCAACAAAGACGGTAGCTTTGATGAGTGGCCTGTGGGCATTGAACATGCGCACAATCTCTTCCGCTGAATCACGGTACTCACTGAACACAATCACCCGAGTACTCTCCCCATTGTCCATGAAATGGTTCAGCACGCAATCCGCCAACGCAGTCAGCTTTGGGTGTCCCACAAAGCCGTCCATCTTGAGCCATCCGGCAATCTTGTCCATCATTTCTTGGAAGCTAGGGCTGTCAAGGATCTGGCGTTTGTATTTCGATCCCTTCTCGCCCTTGTCTTCTTGTTCACTGCGGAAGTCGAGCATGTTGTCGTAAAAGGGTTTGATGCCATGGAACTGCAACAGCTTGATCGAATGAGCAAGGCTTGTCAAGACGCTGAAAATTGCCCGCATCATGAACTGGACGCCCTGGTTGGCGCGATTTCCACGCGTGGCAAACCATTCCTTCTGCGCCTGGATCAACCCGTACGTTGTGAGAGCCATCGGATTCCTCCCATACCATATATTTTGGGAAGACAGCTTCTCAGTCAACGGCTTGAGGGCCTCGGTAAACAGCTCGCTAATAAGATTCATCTCGTCCGAGGGTTCGAGAATGATCTGGTCTATGTTGCGCTGATGCACATACTGGCGGATGTCCAGGGACTCCTCTGTCCGGATCTCGCAATGCGAGATTCCCAAGTTGTCAATGACCTCTTGGACTGTCTCGACCTTGGAGCCTGGCGTGGCCGTCAAAGCCAGCACCCGAAAACTATTGGAAAAGCGTCGAATGAGTTTGGTAGCCTTGGCATAAGCATATTCGCCCACGGCGCGATGCGCCTCGTCAATGACCATGAGGCAGATACTCTTGGGGTCCGCATATCCGTGTGAAAGATCGTTGAGCAACGTTTGTGGCGTCATGAAGAAGACCCGTCGCTTTTCCCACTCGTCACTGCGCAGAGCAGGGGGTATGTCGCCGGTGAGGAGCGTGGTCTCTGATCGAGGTATTCCGGCAATGTGGTAGCAAGCATCAATTTGCTGCGTCACAAGCGGCTTTGTTGGCGCGACAAAGACAATCTTCGCAGACCTTGTCCAGCGATAAAAGTTGAGCATCACAGTCGCTGCAATGAATGTCTTTCCCAGACCAGTCGGCAGGGCGACTAGCGTGTTATTGAACAGGCTGTTTTTGACAATGCTGAACTGATAGTCTCGAGTTGGTCCTAGATTTGTCGGATACACCCAAGTCTTCATCGCCTCTCGATCAAGTTCATGCGGGCTGGGCGGCTCAGGTGGCAGATCAGCGCGAAAAACCCTGGCCGCTGTGGGCTGCGATGGGCGAGGAGCCTCTTCGGTTGCTGCTTGTCCACCCCATAAAGTCGTTTGTCGCAGGGTTCCAGAGTTTGTACGGCTGAGGCCTGTGCGAGCAGCTGCTACAGGCCTTGGTGGTGCGCGGACATTTTCCCTCACGGGCTCTGGCGAAGAGAAGGCATCCGAAGGCAAGTCGTTGAGCTCCTGTGCTGCTTGTTGCCGTTGATCCAGTCCTCGGGTGTTGCCGCTTTTGGCTCCATTGGAAGAAGAGGTAGAACCAAGATGCCCTACATTAGAGGAAGATACTTGATCCAAGGCAGCGAGAATGTCCTCATCGGCGATGTCGTCATCAAACTCATCGGAGTCCATGGCTGCGAGGTGCCATATGGCAGCACCATGCGATGGTGGTGGTAGATTTATTGAGCCTCCGGTCTCATATCTGGAGAATAGCTTCAAGTCATGGACAATTTTCGTGTCGGGTTTTGACGAATTGGCAATGATGAACGTCAAGATGCTTAGTGGTAGGATGCTCATTCACTGCTTAACGCAGCATGTCAGCCGTGACGCGCCACACAGAGCAAGACGCGAAACCGATACCACATCACGTGACTCGAGAGCTCTGGGTTTAATGGTATGCGACCGGAAAAACCTTTGGAGTACCAAACAATGTTGAGGCATGAGATTCCGCTAAAAGAATAATACAAGCACTTACTTACCTACATCGTGTAGGAAACTTTTGGATCCTCGCAAATCTTTGAACATACCTAACGTCAAAGCTTAAACAATAAATACCCAGTGAGCCATGAACAACATCCCCAGGCTGAGAGCCATTCACTCAATCAAAGGCCTTTATCTATGGGCAATTGCATGGCCTCTTGCGTTTGGAGGTCAAAGGCTTTCGGAACAACTCCTACCCAGGGAGGCTAGATAGTAGCCACCGCTAAGCCACTCTAGGCAGTAGTGCATACCCAAGAGAAAATCCGGCTGGCAGCCTACGCTAAACCTCACCGGCTTAGCACCGAACTTTCCTCAGCAGCCCCAGAAACAAACATCAAATCCGCATCAACACACCAGCCAACTCTCTTGCTCACCTTCCCCCATACATCTTCCACAGCGGCGCCGTACGACAAATCTCTTTGGAGCGCCCCAAGGCTGTTCTCGTGTTTGCCGCTCCAGACAGATTCCTGGTCTCTCTCAGCGACGCTGGACGGTCCACCTTCTAACAGCGAGACTCTTCCGGTTGCGACAGGATCAACTGAAGCAGCTGTTCAAAGCCTTGCGATTTCGAGCGAACACCCTGAGCCTCTTGCGCTCTCCCATCGCAGGGCTATCACGTACTTGTCCAACTTCAGACATCAAAACCACTCGGCGATTCTCGACTCAACCAGACCAGCGCCACTGCGACAGCAGGCAAGCCGATCCGGGGGTTGGCCCGACAGACATCATCTACGGCGCTGCGCGGGCACAACAGCCCCCTTTCGCAGCTGTCTCCCCATACCACACACCACCCGCCGACTCTAACAATTCTTCCGTGGACTATCCGCAACTATGGCTCCACGCGGGAAGGCCACATCGACTCGAGAGGCCCGCAATCCCCTTGGCGCAAAATCCAGCTCTAGGGGCGGCATTCAAAAGCGAAGAGGTCCGACGAGAGTCGACACCGATGGAGACCTCGATATGGACGGCCCTTCCAAGCGACCAAACAGAGGCCCTGCGAATGAAGCAGCGGGCAGCAGAGGCAGGCCCTCAGGCAGAGGTCCCGCGCCATCGAGAGGTGCTGCCAAGGTTGCTCAAATCGTCATGAAGCAGCTGGGCAATGGTAGCTCCGACTTGGCTTCGCGAGTATCAAGACCAACAAGAGGCAGGGGCGGCTACACCGAAGGGCTCACTTGGCTAAGGGTCCGTGGGCTCAAACAAAGCAAGGCGGCGTCTAACGCAGACGGGGGTCTCTCCGACCTGCTGAGCTTCATGGAGAGGAAAGCCTCGTCTCTTCAATCCGGACGGAAACGACAGGTTACGATTCGAAAGGTAAGCATATCATTGACGAGATAGCAGGGGTGCCGAAGCCAACCATCGTCTCAGCTGCTTCTTTTGGCGACTTAAAGACACACATCTCAGGAGAGACTCTTTTGACGTCGACTGAAGTTTTACTTCGCCCCAGCGCTCGAGGTTGACAAATATTCTCTTCTTTTTCCTGGTAGCTAACCCGCCATAGTCACACAAAGCTGGAGAATACGTTTTCGTTGGAGCGAACAAGGAGGACGCGGAGGAACTAGTCAAGCTCAACACTTTTACATTCGCCGGCATTCAGTTGGAAGTGGTGGAGTCGGATGCAGATTTTGAGCCGCCAAACAAGGCGACAGAGTCCCCGGAGACGGCAGAGCTACGCGCGAAGCTGCAGGCAATCCTGAGTCAGCGCTACAACGGCGAAAGCAAACTGCTCAAGCTTGATGCTCTAGCCACCGATGCCGAGCTGGTCACACTCGGCATGTTTGAAACCCGAGAGAGGGCCCTCAAAACCTTCAAGGGCCTCATGGCAATCTGCGACGGCCTCTTCAAAACCCTCCAAGAGAAGAAAGATGCGATTGAGAGCATTAGCCTGGCCAATAACAGCATCGACAATGTCATTCAGGTTGAGTCTGTGGCAACAACATTCCCGCAGCTCAAGAACCTCGACATGAGCGGCAATCTGATCAGCAACATGGAGGGACTTCAACGATGGAAGGGCAAGTTCAAGGAGCTCGATGCCATCTACATGACTGGCAATCCGATTGAGGGGACAGATCCCAACTACACGGCGACTTTCCTGGAGTGGTTCCCCAAGCTACGGAGCATCAACGGGATTGAGCTCCGCACTGCGCAGCAAATCGCCGAGCAGGAAGCGGCCCGTCTGCCCAAGCCGATCCCACAGAGCGGACCCGACTTTCGAGACGTCAACGGCATCGGCGAGCAATTCCTGCTCGAGTTCTTCACGGCATATGACACCAACCGCGAGGCACTAATCTCCAGGCTGTACGACGCCAGCAGTCAGTTCTCCCTTGCTGTAGATGCCCAATCTGTGAGGGATCCGAACGGGCCGCCGCCGCTGCCCTGGGGCGCTTACATCAAGTCTTCTCGCAACCTACTGAAGATCAACACACACCACGCCAGATCACAGCGCCTTTTCAAGGGGGCCCCGGCTATCAACGACCTGTGGAAGGAACTCCCTATGACGAAGCATCCCAACATGAAGGATGAGCTGAGCAAGTACATTATGGACTGCCATCCGCTGCCGGGGTTGGCAGACCCCACCGGGCAAAGCCAGTTTGGAGTCGACGGCTTGATTCTTGCTGTTCACGGCGAGTTCGAGGAATACGACCCGAAATCGGGCACCACCGGCAAGCGAAGTTTCTCTCGCACGTTTGTGCTCGCGCCCGGCCTATCCGGGACCGCTCAGATCAGGGTCGTCAGCGACATGCTCTCTCTGCGAGCATACAGCGCCCTGCCGAATGTGTTCGTTGCACCTTCACCAGCCCCCGCGGATACGGCCAGCCAGCATCAGGCTATGGTTGCCGAACTGTCAAAGCAAACGGGCATGGTGCCGCAATACTCGGAGATGTGCTTGTCGCAAGTCGAATGGGACTTTGCCAGAGCCTTGGTCATCTTCAATGAGAAGAAGGTATGTTTGTCCAGCGTGAGTCTTGCATTGCGCTACGGCGGGAGGCTAACATTTATTACAGGCAGAGCTACCACCAGAGGCATTCGTGTCGGCCCCTTAGCAGACGGGCCGTATCGTCGAATGTCCACAGTACAAAGACCGCATGAGCTGTTAGATAGGATGGACAGGAGAAACGGGATAATCCCTGTATGGAGCCCTGTGTTGGTATAACATATGGTCGTTTATTTATAGAGACGGGAATCTTGGAGGTGGGGATCCTCGTGTACAGTGTAGTATTTCATGCTTGGGTTGAAAGGGGGGAGGAGAGATGAGGAAACAAGGACGATAAATTGCGGCTGCAGACACAAAAAACGCGCTGCATCGGGATGGAAAGTTGAGATTGGAAGAAATTCGGGAATAATAGACCTCATGGGTTCGCAACATCTTGTACGGGTGTATCGTCGGGATTGATAATGTGTTGCTGCTGAGTGTTTGCAAGGACTACCTAATACCGCTATGTGCCTCTTTTTGAGATCTCTAGAATGCAGAAAGGTATTAACAAAGCAAGTAATCCGGATTGAAGAAAACAAACTAGGAAAATACTATACATACATATGAGTACTGTATTACGCAGTCGAAGAAAAAGAAAAACATCCGCCCACCGCAGATCTGCCAGAGAATTCCCCCCTTTTTTCTTACTCCCCGTCCCGTGCCGCGCATTACGTATGTAGAAGAGAGATGAGGAGCAGGAAATCAAGAGAACAAGAGGTGACGCAAGCTGTTGACCGCAGCAGCAGCACGGGTGTTTTTTTCTTTTTCCTTTTTTTTTTTTTCTTTCCTTGATAATGGAGCTGCCACAGGTGAAAGAGTTGTCTGAATCTCCTGTTCACAATTGTGCATTCTCGTGTCTTTTTTGTGCCTTCTTTTCATACCTTATGCATACCAGTACCTAGTAATCGGCTATTGGCTGGTGTTGAGAACAGTATTCGTACGAAGCACCTTGGAAGTGGATTTCTAAAATGGATGATACCTATTCTAGGGATATATGAAGTGCTGATCCTGTAAGCGAGTGTGAGGTACTAGGTATGTAGTGCGGTATTATGGGACTCATGGCAGTGCTGCTCCATACTTGTAGGCAAAATAGAAGCAAAGGCTTCGAGTAAGGTAGTAGTAGGTACAAGTACAGGACTTCATGATAGAAAGCGTTGGCATAGCCCAAGCGCCAAGAGTCTATACGCCATGAAAAACACTGGCGAGTACGAAGTACGAGTGAGGACCATGGCAGAGACTGGTATTGACGTGTCATGGTCAGTTGAAGCTTTTGTGGCTCACGTAGAAGCCTACCCTGTATACTTAAACAATAGTCTTGGGATTTCTTCTGGGCGAGTTCCACCAACTTTCATCCGAGTGACTCGAAGACGAGGCAACCTCACGGCCGAGAATACTGAGCCACCAGTTCGCGAGATTAGACTGCGCAAATCGCGAGGCTGAACTGACCACTCCCCACGACAAGTATGTATGCCCAGCCTCCTCGATGGAATGGGCCAAATATCGCGCCCTCGCATGAGCAGCACCCCATGAATTCCCTGCCTCTGTGTCTGCGTTTCACCCATGGTCCATAGCCAATCCGTGTCTTCCTCTCTTGCATGCAGTGCACCCAATAGATCGCAGATGCTCCGATCACCAGATTCGACCTGCATGCTAACCTGGTGTCCATATGCTGTAGTACCGATCGTCACATTCCTCAACTCGCATATCGGACAGCAATCGTCACACTCCTCGTAGGCGTAGCACAACTCGATAGGACAGTAACATCAGTTTTCCCGCGTCCTTTGCCATCCCCACTTGAGTTGTTGTGGTCAGTCGTCCCTCAACAGGCGTGACTCGACGCGAAGACGAGTTCATGCTCAATACTCGTACAGGTGGAGCGATGACCGAAGATGGCCGGATGCTGTTAGGGGCTCTGAACAATGCAGATGCAGGGCCAACCCCTGCTGGTGCGTTTCACAGTGAGTTGAGCCGGCGGGGATCAGGGGCCAGGAGCTGCAAGCGATCACCAAGGGTTCACAGTTCCCGGCTAGGAACCGATGCCATGCCCATGGCGCTGTCGACAGAGGGTACCCGGTACGAAGCACGATGACGCTGGGCGGCAGCACTGCAATCTGCTGCGCGACCGGGGCGCAGAGAAGAGAGGAGATGGCGATGCCCGCCCAGCATTATTGCGCAGTGTGTCTCAGCGCCGTCAACAGCTCTGTACCAGTATGAGCAGGTGTCTAGAGCTATGAGGTATGTAGCACCGCGTAGAGCGTCATGTTTGGCCTTTTGTTTGGTATTGATTCTTGCTCTTGGTGTGGGTGTTGGGCTGCAGTCTGTGCGGTCCGAGCGGTGCGGTCTTCGAGGGCTCGTCTTTTGCGAGTCGAGCTTGAAGCTGTCTGTTTGCTCGAGGAGCTTCGGCGGGTCGGATCGGGGTCGACCGGTTGGTGATTGAAACTCCCTAGCAGTCACCCTCTGCCAAACGGCTCATGGATCAGTATGGATGCGACTCTGCGCAAGGGCTGGCAAATTGCACCAGGCATCCAGATTCACCCGGGCTCAATGCCCTCGTATGAGCTCGTCTCTCGTAGAGTGCGGATAGGCCGTTGCGAGGGCTTGGCGAGCGGAGAGTACTCGCGATACTGGTCCCGAATTGGCTGGCACCCTAGTAGTAGAAACCACGAAGTACAGTAATGGCATCGAAGCATGAATCCGTACGAAAAAAAAGCGCCTCCCGCCTTCAAGCAGGTCCGGTGCGAAAGCCTTGATGGTGCCAACCGCGACGAGTGCGACTTTGTTCGGAGAGCAGAAGCCGCAGCATCACGGCCAGCGGTGGCGCGCAGGCCATCGGATCCAAGCGAGAGCAGACGAGAGCCACGAGCGTTAGAGGCTGTTGATGTCACTTACCTGCTGGCCGGATCGAAACGAAATGCCATCGCGACCAGGCAAGGATTCTGGCGAAAGCAGACTTTTGATGAAGTTCTAGGTACGGATTATAGGACTCGTGGAGCTCCGCCTGGATGTGAAATTGAAGCCCATGTCTGATCTTCAATACCTCCAGTATTACCTAGCACTGCGCCTTCACCGAGGCCACAGCCAGTTCTCCTCAACGTTGCCATGTTTCAGGCAGCCTACAGCAACAGAATTTGGAGTTAGGTAGTACCTAGTAGAGGGCTAAAACGGTCCAGGTCACTCGCATCAATAGCCCCAAAAGACGAGGCAGCTCCAAACGCTGGCCATGCGGGCTCACGGCGCTATACCGGGACGAACATGAGGGCAATGCCTGGGTAAAACCAGAGGCATGACACGAGCTTGATGAGCAGAAATGCTGCCAAGCACAAAGTACCTCTACCAGCATCCAAAGGCGCTTCCATGCAGCAGCAAAGTGGCTTGATTGGCGGCTACCCCTTTTCCACTTAAAAAAAGGTGTCACTTCAGGAACGAGTCTTGGCGCAAGGCCGGGGTGGTCCTCTTCTCTCTCCAGGTATTCCCGGGTCCCCGAGTACTTTGTGTTGGTGGCTCGCCTCGACGGGAGCTCAGGTACCTTGACGGCCGCTGAAACCTGGAGCTACCGGCGCTGCGCAAATGGCACACCTTCTGCAGCTGCTGATTGGACGACGCGGGGATGATCCCTGCCCTGCGGTCTCTTGGCACAGACACCACAAAACACCACCAGGACTGCAGACGCAGGTGCGATGCGCCTCCCCGGCTCGCGCCTTCCCCAGCACGGCACAGCACTGCACACCACAGCGTCCCCTCTCCTGCCCTGCGGTCCCCTCTGCTCCTGCCCTGCGGTCCTCCTGCCCATCCTCGGGTCTCAAAGCGGGCTCCGTTCGTAGAAGCTGCGCAGGGAAGGTGCTGAGCATCCAGCAGGGGGGAGCCTCGCTCACCCACCCCAATCTGCGTGAGAGCTGGCCAGGTAGGTACTTGAGCGACTGCGCTGGCCGCGGCGGGTGGACATGTACTGCTGCAAACCCCAGGCGCGGCTGTACCTGTACAAGATGAGGGTAGTAGCACACGATGTGTGACCAGGGGCTGCATGTCGCAGAGCAGAACAGACCGGAGCAGCAGCAGCAGCAGCAGATTCTTTGCGTCCGTTTCTCAAGTCCTTCTCCTCCTCCGCCTCCCCGTTTTCGCCTCTCTTGTCTTTCTCTACCTGTGGCTTGGTGGCTGTTTTCCCTTTCCTCTTCCTTTTTGTGCTTGCGTTTGTTTTCGCCTCGACCTGCCTCGCAGACGCCGCAGCAGAAGCACCAACCGGCCGTCGATTCCCTTGTTTTGTTGGCTGGCGCCGCCTGCGTTCCTCTCTCCTTCTGTGCTTTCCTGCGCTTGTGTACAGTCGAATCCTGTCGCAGCTTTTTCTTCTTCTCTTCCAACCCTTTCGCCGCCGCTTCTGGGACCCTCGCCGTCGATACCGTCTGGAACGAAGACTGTTGACAAGACGCCCATTGCCCTTCTTCGCCGTTGATTTCCTCTTCGCAGTCCTTTGCCTGTTCTACGGCCTTGCTCATCTAGCAATTTCCCGTTGATCGGCTTGAACGAAAACCTGCACCTTTTCCGACGATTTTCTCTCCCAACTTGACAGACCCGCCGCGATTTGCGCCATTAGACCATTAGACTGAGACTGTCACCAACACTGTCACCATTCACTCATTCAAAACTACAACAACAACAACAACAACATAAACAAAGATCTCTTTGCCAAAACACGCCCGCACGCTTGCTTTTTCAGATACATTCGTTATTGTCTCGTCGTATCGTAATACGTCTCCGCCGCTACTATAGTACCGACAGCCGTTCATTTTCAATCACCTGCCCGTCGCCCGACATTCATTTCGATCCGCGGGCTTAAGCGTTCTACGCAACACTCTTCTGCAACGACTTGGCTGTGCCCTCGTTGCTTCACTAACTTGCATTTCCCGAGAATCAAGAAAACGCAGTAGTTTGGGACCGTTATCGCCATGCAACGATAGGAAGCGACATCTACATCGAAATAGAAAGGATCCCGATATCGCCTCGAAGCCATCCTTTGTCTTTCACCCCAAATTACTTGTCAAACTCGGCAATGTCGTTACCGAAACCCCCTTCGGCCTCGTCCTTGGACAGCTCATGCTCTGTCATTCATGACAACATACTGTACTCCTATTCACCAAATGGATTCCTCAAGCTGCCTTTGGAGGATAGCGCGAAATGGACACAGCTTGACATGGGAGTCAAGGTGACGGATGGAACCTGCGTTGGGACGACTCCTCCCAATGCTGCTGACGCTGCTCTCTTCATTGTTGGAGGGACTTCGGACGAGGCTGGTTATACTGGACTTCAAAAGTACACCTTTTCAACTGGCAACTGGACTACCATCACGCCCTCGGTTCCCGTTACGCAGAACCGCTTGCACCATGGATCCACGTACATCCCAGCTGACGATGTGATTCTGGTATACGCCGGCAGTCAGGATGGCAGCACCGGTCCTTCTTCGCAGACATTCACCATTCAGGCGTCCGAACCGTATGCGGCTCTCTCGTTCCAATCCTCCGCCGTACCGGCCGTTTCCCCTCTCGTCATGCAGTGGTCCGCTGCTGATGCCGCCATGATGAGCGGCGACGGCGTGGATGGCAAGATTTACTGGTTCAACCCCACTGCTGGATGGAGATATTCTGGTGCGGGCGTCTTGCCGCCAATTAATACCGCCTCTGGCTCGGTGAATGCAGCTCTGGTTTCGGGAGGCGATGGGTCCAAGAACCTCTTCACGTTCGACCTGTCCAAGTCACCCAACTCCGTCACCCGTACCATTGTGCAAGATGCCACGGGCAACCCTCTTGCCGATTCGGCCCCTATAGCTGCACGTAGCCTCGATGGCGATGCTGCTGAGAGCATTGAGAAGCGTGATGCCCCGACCTTGACCAACTGGCCCGCGTACAACTCAACGCTTGCCCCGAAGGACACTCGAACAAATTATGCCATGGCCCAGGCCCCTGACGGCACCGTGGTCTTTTCCGGTGGCAACGATCAAGTCCCCCTGGCCATCTTCAACCCCACTGACAATGGCTGGGTCGACGCGCAGAAAGTCTTGGGCGATGGTAAGCAATCGATCCAGGACCTCACGTCAACGTCGTCATCGACCAAGACCAAGACGAGCTCCAGCTCGCGAACCAAGTCGACCACGCACTCCACCTCTACTACCCATTCCGCCTCTACTACGCTCTCCGGCTCGACAACCTTTCCCTTCACCAGCGCTACTGCTACGCAGACGGCGGGCTTTGACCCTACAGACCTGTCTGTTCCCGCCATCCCGACTGGTACCGGCAGCGCAAGCGATGACTCTGGCCCCAGTACCAACGCCATTCTCGGTATTACACTTGGTGCCATTGGAGGATTCCTCGCGTTGCTCGGCCTCATTCTCTTGCTCCTTCGTTGCCGCAGACGACAGATGCTTCATCCAGAAGCCGGAAAACCCAAGACTCCCCCAACTGATGAGAAGAACACCGCAGCTTTCGCCGCACCGAGCGCGGTGGCGAAGAACACGCTTCCTCCCCACGTGCAGAAGCAGATTCGAGGCCACCAGCACACGGCGTCTTCGGAATCGACCTCGTCGATGGCTATTCTTATGGGCAGGGTGGGCCAGCACAAGCCCAAACAGCTCAGCAACGACTCCATCAAGAGCATGACTGCGCACAACCAGTTCAAGAGCACCATTGGCAAGCCGGTTCTCCAGCCGCAGCAAGCCCCGATTCTTCAGGTTCAGAATGAAAAGGGCGACACATTGGCCACTTCTGCTGAGCTCCGACCTCAAGAGGGTCTGGCTGGAGTGGACGATGAAACGCGACGCAGCTCGGGTTGGAACAAGTACTGGTCAGGAGGAAGCGCGCTGCAAATTCTAGGATATGGAGCTGCCCAGCCTTCTGCACAGACAACCGAGCAGCCATCCGGCCAGGCGGCCGCTGCGCAGAGAAGCACCATGGTATCAGACCGAAGCTCTCATTACTCCCAGGCGACAAACGTCCGCAACGTCAGGCAAACCCAAGACTCGGCTACCGTCCCGCCCCTCAACTTTGAGGCTCCCCCGGGGATGAGCAGAGTTAACACTGGAAGCCCAGTGGTGTCACACTACCACGACATCCCTTGGAAGGAAGGCATGTCTGGCAAGATCGAGCGACCTACGTCGACCGTCTCGGCATTATCAGCAACATCGTCAGGCTATTCCAGCGGCATTCCCGAGAGCGTCCAGGAGTCGTGGGATCCCACGCATGCCGGCAAGGCGTGGGGAGTCGATCGCGCCCCCAGCAGCGCATACGCCCCCAGCATAACCAGCGGACAGCCCTATCCGCTGGGCGTGAGCAAGCAGCCTCAGCTCGCCACGGCGTCGACATCGAATGACATGAGCTGGCTCAACCTTGGTGATAACTCACGGGTATGAGCTGAATGAACATGATCATGGAGCAATTTTTTTTTCTTTTTTGAGCGATTTTTTTTGATGAAATGGTCGGCTTATATCCTCGAATCTGTTTTGGGCACGGTATATTCAGCGGCATGCCGCCTTTAATTGTCTCTCACTCTCACTACCCACCCTCTCTTGCTGTTTATTCACATTTTACTTCTGGCCCTTGCGGTTCGGAGCAAGGCGGCCTCGCCCTCTCGTGACGGACATTGCAGGGGCAAAGGCGCCTGGTTCCTTTTGGCAAGAGAAAAAGCATTGCGCATCGCATCGCCATTTCGCCCTTTGTTACAGCGGACGTCAAGTCCAAGATCTGCGTCCGATGCCCGAGCCTAACCGCATGACTCGGCGTCGTTATCTCTACTGGACATATTGGACTCAGACTCTTGTGTTTTCTCCTCCTTTTCACCCCTATTTATTTTCTGTACATTCTAGAAGCTGGCCCGGGCTTGGCCATTTTCCTTATTTGTGTGTTGTGATTGATATTACCATCTGCCTGCAAAGTAATTCGCTGGATGCAAGTTGAGGGGGCGAACAGTAGAGGCGGATAGGATGGATGGATGGAGGATGCGGAGGGGTATTGATAGAGGTTTAGTGCTGTGCGGACGAAGGAGGTGAGACGAGAAGAATGAGAAGAAGAAATTATCATAGCTTGCGATGGCCTCCGAGTGATGTTCTAGTCGATCGAATAACCCCATGTGAGCTGACGGTTGATGGTTTCATTGCGCCAGATTCGGGTATAGCCATCCAAAGGATGAAGCCGATGCACCCTATTCAGCCTAAATGACAGCGTCCAATCGCCTTACAGCCCTCTCTCCCCTCTCCTCCCTCTTCTGTCTCCGTCAGGACCCCTAATACCTACTAGGCATATATTGACATTGACATTGGCTGGCCAATGGGAGCCAAAAGCTGGAAAAACAACTTGCAGCATCGGCCTGACGGTACGAAGCAAATGGACTCGTCAGGCGAATAAAGGTGGTGCTCGAGTTTTGTCCACCAGCTCATCGTTGTGGAATGGACGAGATGGTTGTGGTCGCACGACGGACGACAGATTGCCATCGTGGGCTGTTTGAGCATTACATCTTGGCTGGACTCGTGAAGGGGAAGAGACGCATTGTGCTTTTGTTTTCGTGAGAGGGAATGGAACTTATTATTGCCAGGGTCCTGCTAGACCCTCGTTACTCTGCTCTGCTGCAGATGGCTTCTTCCAGCCTCACCCCCCACTGTCGACGGACCCCACCTGGACGAGTAGGAATTGCTTTGAAGTCGCCTCGGTTAGCTTTACCGGGCCGTTGGTCCCATCTGGATGCAATCAAACGGCGAGCATGGCTGGAGTAGTATTTTGCGCTTAAGAAAAGCATTGGCAACCATGCGTGGCAGGCAGGCAGGCAGGCAGGCAGGCTGAGCGAGTGGGAGGGCGGATGGACGGCTGACGAGTTTTGGGTCTGGTGATGGGCGGTCGAGCCACCTAAGTATCAGCTTGAGTGCTGCATCTGGACCCCTATAGGGAAGTTGGTGGTGTAAGGTAGGTAGACGAGGTCGCATAGAGCTGAGTCGAAGTTCTTGCGAAAGCATGGAGACGAGCAGCCGCAAAGACCGACTGACTACCTTACTAGTAGTAGCGATGCAGTCAGATGTCACGAGTCAAGATGGACGGAAGTTGGTGCCCTACTAATACTCTCATACATACATACGAGGTCTACAGACGATGCCGAAAGCTGCTGGGACGTCACGTCAAGCAGTGGGCACAGGACATGGGAGGGCTCGCGAGGGACGACGACCGGCTCGGGTTTACATGTACCCTTCTCAAGCAGCCCAGCGACGCAGCTATTTCTACCTATTGGTCTATGAGCCGCTCTAAAGTAAGGAACAAGGCGGCAGAAAAGAGGGCGACGATTCAGATAGGCACATGAAAGGGAAAGACGCAGTAGGAGAGCGAAGTATGATAGACTGAGGTGTACCTAGAAAAAGGACATGTGATGTGGATACATGTAGGTACGAAGCAGGTGTATGGGGTTTGCTAGCAGCGGATGCAAAGACCCAGAAAAAAGAGATGTTTAGGAAAGAAGGCCTGAGAGAACCGACACACGTGCTCTCTCTTGCTCTCTTTGGGCGAGCCGACTTACCGCCTACGATCCACTAGGCGCCGCCTTGGTCCATCTTAGCACTGGCCTCTGAGCCGTCTGGAGTTCGCCGTCGACCCTTTTCTCTCGTGCCGGCTTCACGTTCAGTTACTACTACTAGGTAGTACCTCCATGTAGGTAAAGGTACCTACCTAGGAGGCCGGGGGTGTTTTTGGTAAGAGATTTGAGAAGAGAGCGACGCTCGTCAGAGGTCCTGTAATAGTTTTGGGCTTCTGGTAAGTCCTATCTGTCGAGGAAGTTACTACTGAAGCTCTTGCCAGCGCCTACCTCTTGCCAAATCTCTGATGAAAAACCCGGCCCGCCTGGTAGGTAGTTAGTATTAGCACCGTGCACCGCTGTGGCTCCTCGACGGACCTTTTAGCAGTTCCATCCATTGGTAGGTATCGTATCTTACGGTACTGGTCAAGCGTCTCCCACGCCAGATCCGCTGCTGCGATCCCCCACCCGACTACTTAGTACTAACCTGACCTCACTAACCATGTCACTAACCTCGAATATTCACGGGACGGAACCTCGACGCCTGGCAGCATGCACTGAGCGAGTGAGCGAGTGAGTGAGTGGGTGGGCACTCTTGCTGCCAGCCAGTGCGACCCTGGACCCTCCAGCGCTTCCAGCATTGCATTCTCACGCGGCGTCCACCTGAATTACTCCCAGCGAGGCGCCAATTTTTTTTCCCTCTCCGCCCGGGACGACTGACCCCATCTGGGTCTTTTCCTTCAGTCCCCATCGCTCTCCCTCTCGCCTTCTCTGCCTGCAAGAAATAATATTGGCATCGCCGCTGTCGTCGCCGGAAAACAATTGCTGGACGCAGCTTACACGGCGACCTTGAGTTGTGTTTCTATCAAATATTTGTATTCGGCGGCTGATGAGCCTCTCTCCCTTGCGTCACGATTCGCCAATCGCCAAGGCCTTTGCGAACGGAACGGCTTTGACCCGGAAACCGCCGCAGCTCCCCGACCGAGAACGCTGTGCCTTAACACCCCGACCACCGTTGACGACGGCATCGCCTGTCGTCGCATTTCCTTGATCGTCTCTGACCGTCTGCTTGCGCCCCCGAAGAGCCTCAAGAGGCGGCCTTAGGGAGCGCTGCCCATACTGTAGGCACACTTACTGCGCGGGGGAAAGGAACCGTTCTGGACATCACGGTGCTTATTATAGAGCGAGGCCGTGTCGGTTTTGGTTGGAGATATTCACACGGGGAAGAGTCTACGGAGGATTACACGTGAGACGCTTGGCGCATCTCCTACACACCGCCATGATGAGCTCTGCATCGTGGAATGCGCAGGATCAGGCCATGGCTGCCGCGGCTGAGGACGACTTCCAGCAGTTCCTCGACATTACCGCCATGGCCAACATGGGCGACGGCATGCAGTTCGACTTCCAGGGCTTTCCGGACGACGGCTCGCATTCCATCATGGGCCAGCATCGCCAGACCACCGACGCCATCATGGGCGACACGGACCCCTCGAGCATCATCGCCCGAAGCGACGGCCTTTTGCAAAACCACACGCCCGCCATGGCGCCTATGCCCTCTCACATGATGGCGCCGTCCGCCTCGCGTGAGGCCATCTCCAACATCGACGCCCAGATTCAGTACCTGCAGCAGCAAAAGTTTCAGCAGCAGCAGCGCCAGCTGCAGGAGCAGCAGGCGACCTTCTTCGTCAATCACAGCCACTCGGTGCCCCCGACGCCCCAAAGCCTGGAGATGACGCCCGGCAGCGCACAGTTTTACTCGCAGCCCGAGCAGATGCCGTCAAGAGGGGCTTATGACAGGAATTACCATCAGAGGATGGCCGAGCAAGATGTAAGTCTGCAATACCTCCAAGACTCAACCCTTCTCCACGATGGGCTTATTCTTGAATCGTCTCTAACCACCAGGTCAATTCCAGATGGCATTTACACCTCTCGTCTCACCTGCCGTCACTCCCCTGGATCCTCACTTCAACATGGAGAGCGCCTTTACGGTCCCCGGAGCCTACTTTAGCCCCCTGACTTCGCCGGCTCTCCATGCTCAGAACGATTCCTCCTCCAACTACGACCACACCACCCACTCCAACAACTCCCCAGTGGAGATGGACCTCGAGCAGCCGGCCGTCCCAGCCGTGACCCTGGACCTTTCCAACAAGAAGACAAGAAAGACACAGGCCGCCAAGGCGAGGAAGCCAAGCGTCAAGAGCTCGCCCATCTCCAAGCCGATCAGGCGCAAGACTGGCCCCAGCCCGGCCATGGTATCACAGGTGCTGAGCGAGGTGGAGGAGAGGAACCTGCAGGCCAGCGATCACGGGCTGCTGCCCTTACCCGCTGCCTCTACCGACGGATCGGACGAGAATGCCTCTGTGTCGCCTGAGAACCTCTCGGAAATGCCCCCTCCTCCCGTGCCGGCCAGGCGCTCGATGAGCAAGTCACCCTACATACGGCCCCAGACTAACATACAGTCCATTCATGCACCCGCCCTGCTTGATGAAATGCACCCTCCTCATCCTGCCACGCCCGCTTCCCTGATGAAACTGCCGGCGTCCAAGACAAAGAAACTGTCGACAAATCTTCAAGAGCCCACGCTGTCCGACAACATCGAGTCGCTTGAACTCCCTGAATCAATATCCAATCCCCCGCTCGCTGCCGATCTTGCCGACGCTCAACTCGGTACTCAGACCCCTCGGCTCGAGCCGAACATGTCTTCCAAGGGGGTGACGTTTCAGTCTATGCCGTCACCAGTCGTCCGCGCCACGGGAACATCGTCGGCAAATCAGAGCCCTCTCTTGCTGCCGGGGGCGTCCGGCTCGAGCCAGCGAAGAACGCCGCAGCTTTCGGCGAGAAATAGCCGCAAGAGGTCGACGGGGTCGATTCATGCCTCTCCGGCTCTGCTGCCCAGGATTTCACCCAATATCAAGCCCCTGCTTCCCGGTACTCCTGGCATGTCTGTAGAAGACCATGCATCGCGACTGTTGATGTCCAAGTCGAACTACCAAAATATTCTGGAGGGCAACCAAGTCCCTGGCGTGTCTTATCCAAGCGAATTGTCCACAAATCTCACGTCGAAGAGGACGTCACACAAGATTGCCGAGCAAGGCCGTCGAAACCGCATCAACTCGGCCCTGCAAGTCATGGCCAGTCTGCTCCCGGAGAGCAAGAACAAGGTCGTTTCGGGCGACGACAGCGATAAGAAGGACGGCAAGCAATCCAATGCGTCCAATAGCAAGGCCAGCGTCGTGGAAAACGCCATTGTTCACATGAAGAATCTGGAGAAGGAGAATGTAGACTTGAAGTCTGAGCTGCAGGCATTGAAGGAGCAGCTCGAGAAACTGAAGGGGCCCGACGGCGGTTCCGAAGGGAGCACTGCGACCCCGGTCGACGACAAGAAGCTGCCAAAAATAAACGAGGAACTGGGCGGCAGCCCCGATGCCCAGGGAGATACCAAGATGGACACGGCCGCGCCGACGGTGGGCGAGCCCGAGGAGGGCAGCTGATGACCATGAAGACGCCTGCAGAGCAAAATTTGCCATGCTATACCAAGTCGTTTGGTCAACAAGGGCCTGAAGGGCGGGCCTCACTGGCTACGACCAGTGCAACAAAAATGGATAGGTTGACGTTGTCGGTTTACGGTTCAGCACGGCATAGATGCTAATTTTTCCTTTCCCGTCTTGTTCAAATATGTTGTGGTTGGGCGGCTCGGCTTGATTCGCGGCATAGCTTGGGCGGTGTCCGGTTTCCCAGCTTGGAGCGCATATCTATTCAAGGTCTCAAGCCTGGATATCGCTGACCTCGCATCCAATCTGTACGGATCCTCAGTAGGTGATCGCGTTGTCTCTTGTTTTATATCACCCTGGATATTGGGTCGCATATACTGTTAATGATTTTCTTATTCATATACCTTGTTCGTACATGATAGTGTAATCTAGACCCTTGCGAGGGGACTATTGAATATATACCGCTACGTGGTTGAGCGTATTGAGATGGTAACCCTCCTTGGATCCGACATTTGCATTTGCTGTTCCCAATGTATCAAACATCTGGGCATTGTACCGGGAAGTGCGTGATATCAGTGTCTCATAGCTCGAATGGTCCGTACTACAGTCTGCGCATACGTAGGAAGACTACACAACATGCATCACGTCAGTCACATAGCAAGGGCAGCAAGTGGTGTGTGATACAGTTTCACGCAGACTGTATTAAACTCTTCTGCCCATCCGCGGCCAGGACGTCCACGTCCAGCTGCTCCATGACCTCTAGGACGAGCTTGAGGCCCTCCATGAAGGAGTTTACGGCGACGCGCAGCATGCGGTTCGTCGTGGCCCGGTACTCGACCCGCAGGACCTGTGCGTCTTCCCCCGTCTGCGTCTGTGTCTGTGTCTGTGGTGGCTCGGAGTCGCTGGCGCTTGATGTTGTAGTTGTCGTCGTCGTCGTCGATGACGGGGGAGGTGATACGACGGAGAGGGTTCGCTGGACGAGGGGCGAGAGTTCGGGGTCGACTTGGAGGGCCTTGAGGGCCGTGGAGGCGAGGCGTGGTGTGGGGAAGGGGATGTGCAGCTGGCTGTTGTTGATGGCAACACGATGATTGCCCGGTCAGTTTAAGCTTTGTTTTCCTTTGCATTCGCGAAAGACGAGAGGATGACAACAGAGATGCAGGAGTAAGAGAGAGAGGAGGGGTGGGAGGTTGATTGGCAGGGGAACGGGAGGAGTGTGAGGGGAAATGAACTTGCATGCTGCATGGAAAGCTGGAATCAGAAGCCATCATTGCGTGGAAGGTGGCCTGAGTCAGGGTTTTTTTCCCCTTCTTTCTTCTGGGTTGTCTTTGTTGTTGTCTCGTTTCTGGGTTCAATGTATTGGTTGACTCTCTTCTCTGGCCTGGACCGGGGGGGTTTATATCTGGAATGGAGGGGTTCTCGAATGTCTTTCTTGCGCTTCTTCTCTTTGAAGAACTTGACTCTGATGGGGGGGGGGGCGTGATAGTCGGCTGTCGGAGTTGCGCTGCAGCTGTGTCCAGAGACGAATGGCTGTGGCTCTTGGTACGTGGTTGGATGGAATAAATTCGCGACTGCTTCTAGATGCGAAAACTCCAGGTTATTGTTATCAGCGATATGATGCGGTTGGCGGTTTGCATGCCTTGGGGAATGCACGTCAGCCACAAAGAAACGTGGCGCGTGCAGAGTCGAGCCACACGGACTAATAGAAGAAGCCTGGAAGCGCGGAACCCAACGCCCCCTTGCCGTTGGGTACGAAGTGACTTGGGAACGTACCCGCCGGGCCGCAGCCTGACAGAGGGCGGGCTAACGCTTTGCAGCCGGCATTGTTATGACGTTGCCGTAGCGACGGGCTCGCGGCCCGCAGTAACAGCGTTGCGCTGGCTGTCTAGGCGCTGGAGCCGGGGGGAGAACAAGCACTGGACCAGGGGGGAACAGCGGCCAGGGCGCCAACGCAGCTGCGCAGTGGCCCGTTTATAGGGGGGTCTGGGGGGGGGTTCTTTCAGGGCACTGGAGGAATAACATCTGCAGCTGCCCAGGGCACATACTGCAGTAATAAGCAACCTAGACTGCACTGCACGGGCAAGGTGCCTCCTCTCCCTGGTTACAAAAACATCGTGACGGCCCGTACCATCATCGCCAGTCTACCTACTAAAACATCACGGCGTTTGTTCCCTGTTTTAATCCTCGCGGCTCCCCTCTCGCGTCGCGGTGTCCTCCTCCTTCCCCCTTCATCTTCCATCTCCTCTGTGAACGGAAGGGTCCGTCTGTCTTGGCTCCTCTTCTTCCATCCTTTCGTCGTCTCTGCTGGAGCTTCAGTTGCAGTGCTGCGGAGCGCTGATGAGCATTGACTAGAGCACAAAGACCCAGCGACAGGAACAAAGACAGCCACACACAGGTGCAGCATCGCCTTTCGTGCAGTTGGCCGCCCCGTCTCCCTCCGATCATCCGCTCTCTTCCCCCCCAAACAAAAACACATCTCTATTGTTTTTTTCTCTCTCTCCTTCACTGCGAACGACCCGGAAACAGGACGTCTGTGATTGTCGACGGCCATTTTCCCCCAGCTTCAATTGACGCTTCTCGCCGGCTGGGACTTCTCCTCATTCTTAGTCTAAATCCCTCCCAGCCCCCTTTATTCCTGGGCCGCTTGTTTCGTTGTTTACCTTACATCACCGACATCACACGACCCTGTTTTTTTCGGAGCTTCACCGCAGCTTATTAGCTTTTGGACCAACCTTCGGCATTGGAGGATTGTTGTTTTTGTTTGCGCCATTCCACGCTGCGCAAATTGAAATACAGATTTTGACAGCATTGATTTGCCTCTGCTTTCGACTATATTCCTACGGTCTCAGTCTTGGGGAGCAGGTTCTGTGGTGCGGATTGCAAGAGTAGCGAGCCTGGAATAATGGCTCCTTCTACAAGACACTCCCAGAATCTGGGTCACGTTGTCGAATACATTCCCGGTACGATGGCTTCGTTTGCTCTGGTTTCTTTTTCTTCCTCGACGACATCTGCTTCTCAATTGGTGCTGGAGCCTGCCTCCTCCGGACACCGCTGTTTCTGTTCTGACCTGAAAATCTCCTCTCCGACTTTGCGCTGACAATCTCCCCGACCTGCAGACCGGCTCTACCTGGGCGCCTACGTCCACCCTCCGACCCCCGACACGCCGCTGCCCGGCTCCGAGTCTCCCAGAAAGCGAGCGTCGCGATATGCCGACGGAGCGGCTCCGGCGCCGCTGGTGACGAACCGCAACCCGCCGTGCTACTTCACCGTCGACGACACCCTGCTGTACAATGCCTTCCACCACGACTTTGGCCCGCTGCACATCGGCCACCTCTACCGCTTCGCCATCAAGTTCCACGATATCCTGGGCGCCAAGGAGAACCGGGACCGGCCGATTGTCTTCTACAGCGCGGCCGACCCGCGGAGTGAGTCTTGACCGCATGTCTGCCAAGCTGAGGTTCTCGCGATGCTAACGAAGTCTGTTTGCGATGTAGGCCGCGCCAATGCCGCTTGCATGCTGGCCTGCTACATGGTCCTGATTCAGAACTGGCCGCCTCACCTGGCCCTCGCCCCGATTGCCCAGATTGATCCTCCCCTGATGCCCTTCCGAGATGCCGGCTATAGCCAAGCCGACTACGGCATCAGCGTTCAGGATGTCGTGTATGGTGTGTGGAAGGCCAAGGAGGAGAAGTGCTGCGATCTGGACAACTTTGACCTGGACCAGTACGAGATGTACGAGCGAGTCGAGCACGGCGATTTCAACTGGGTTACCCCCAACTTCCTCGCCTTTGCCTCTCCCCAGCACACACCCGTGGGCAAGATCACCGAGGACTCCGAGCTGTATCCGCTGCTCCCAAGGGACGTGGCCGCGGTCGAGGACCACCCCTTCCTGCCGCAGCCCTTCAAGAATGTGCTCTCCCACTTCAGCGAGCGCAACATTGGCCTGGTTGTCCGACTGAACTCGCACCTCTACTCGCCATCCTACTTTGAAGCTCTGGGCATCCAGCACGTCGACATGGTGTTTGATGACGGAACTTGCCCGCCTTTGTCGATGGTCCGCAAGTTCATCCGCATGGCTCACGAGACCATCACCGTCAAGAAGCGAGGCGTCGCTGTCCACTGCAAGGCTGGCCTGGGCCGAACCGGCTGCCTCATTGGCGCCTACTTGATTTATCGCCATGGCTTCACTGCCAACGAGGTCATTTCCTTCATGCGCTTCATGAGGCCCGGCATGGTTGTCGGCCCTCAGCAGCACTGGCTGCACCTCAACCAGGGAACCTTCCGGGAGTGGTGGATCGAGGAGCGCATCGAGCGAAAGCTCAGACGAGAGTTTGCCGCCGCCGCCGCCGGCCATGCGGCAGCACCCAGCACGCCCATGCGCGCCATGAAGGGCACGCGCAACCAGGTCACGACGCCCTCGAACCGCAGCTCGTCCAACCGCTCGCCGCTCAGCGAGGTCGACCACGATCGCAACAACGTCGGAGTGCATGAGGACTATCTACCCGCGCCAACTCCTGGCCAGCCGCGAAAAGCCGCGCGCGATCGGCGCCATGCATATCATAGAACGGATGCATTTCAGGCTGCGGAAGAGCAAGGCGTAGAGCAGAAGCAGCAGCAGCAGCAGCATCATCATCATCATCAGCAGCAGCAGCAGCAACAGCCGCCGCCGCACCAAGAGCCAGCGCCGCCGCCATCGCCACAGCGCCGCTCTCAAGCGCCGGACTCGGACGAAGAGCATCACCTGCGAATGCGAAAGCAGCGCAAGGCGGCCCAGTCCCCCACCCGGAGCGACAAGTCTCGACCAAGCAGCCAGAGCACGAGCCCCTACGCAATCGACAACGACGCTTCCTTTGACGCCGAGAACATTGGCTCGGTAAAACCCAAATCGGCGGATAGGGTTCCCAGCCAACCTGGCACGCTGGCCAAGGTCCGGGCGAACAGGCGACAGGCTGCCGACTCTCCCCTGCGGTCGAAAGAGTCTGCCGGGGTCCGCAAGACGAGCGGCCGTGTCGGCAGTGCCGGCGTGGGCGCATCGGTAACCACGACATCGTCGACTGCCCGCAGGGTCTCGGGCACGTCGTAGGTAAGCGTGACCAGACGCCGAGCCGGAACGGTCATCCACAAGGAGATGATTGAGCACCTTGTAAACTTTCAATCTTAACGATCATGACTTCACGTTTTATTCTATTACGAGCGATTCATGCGTATGCATATACACGGGCGTTTTAGTATTCCAAGGCGCGAGGAGAGAAGGTGGGATGGCCTTTTTTTTTTTTTCTTATACCACGATCCACCATCACCACCACAACCATGAGAACGAACACTACTCCCGACACGCTGCATGTTGGTTCTCGAGGCTTCATGTACCACTCTTACGATATCCGATGCGTCAAGGAAATGCCTACTTTGGACACGAAAGGTGGGAGAAGAGAAAGATGATGATGATGATGTGAGAGCGGAAAGAAGAGCCGACACGACCTGGTTGGAGGAGAAAGGGGGGAATGGGAGAAAGAGATGCAGGAGAGAGGCATCGTGCTGGCGATGGCGCAACGGATGGAAAGGGAAAGGGAGCTTGGGTATATCGGTTTGATTCTCTCTTCGATTTCATTGCTGCATTGAGCTGGTTCTTGTTTCACTGTATGGATTTGTTTCAAGCACTTTGTTTTTGGCCTTTGTCGCTTCTTCTCTTCTCGTCTCTCCTTTTTTTTTTTTTTTTTTTTTTGCGTTGATCCTTTCATTGCTATAATCAGCCTCTTGGGCGCGGGTCAGGCATTCAGGTAATGCCTGGTGGAATACTCGTTTTTTATTTGTAGGCTTTGGAAAGTGAGGGCGGTTGGGGGGATTGGAAGGGTGCGTTATACATCAATTTCATGCATGATCATTTCGATATGTCTTTTAATTACTTGCAAACCATCCTTGTCTCGTCTCTCCAGTATGGTATGATCTGTGACTGCTGTGAACAAAGTCGTCTGTCCTATTGTGTTATTGCTCGTTTATATGCCTTGTATATTCTGTTTGTTCTAGTAACATGCACTCATTTCTCATGACGTGTACTCATTCCGTATAGTCAATCATGCAGTCATCAGCAAATTTCGTATCAATCATCATCATCACACTCGTATGCTCTCCAGCTTATTCACAACCTCCTCCATCAACTCCCCGGCCTCGCTACTCGACATGTCCTCATCCACGCGCAAGCACATGTCGACCACCTCCCTGTAGCGCTTGCCGACCTTACTGCCCAAGCCCGGGACGAGGACGGCGAGGACGACCTTGTCGCGCCAGCGCTCGGCGGAGTAATGGCCCTTGTAATACGTCTGCAGGACCTTCCAGAGGCCAATCTCGAGGAGGACGAGGCCGAAGCTGTAAATGTCAAAGGGCTTGACGTGGGCGCGGCCGCGCAGGGAGGCCGGGTGGCGGTGCAGCTCCTCGATGGAAGGGTTGCGCGGGGCGACGGAGAGGGCGACGTCGAGCTCCGGGCGGGAGGCGGCGAAGCCGGCGAGGTAAGGGCTCGAGATGTCCGGGACGAGGGCGGCGGAGGCGGTCGGGGAGAGGCCCGAGGCGGAGAAGGCGGAGGGGAAGAAGAGGATGTTGGAGGAGCAGAGGGACTTGTGCAGCCAGTCGAGGGAGTGGAGGGACCAGAGGGCGACGGCGAGGCTCTGGGCGAGGCGGACGCGGGCGTCGAGGTCGGGCGTCTTGAGGTCCGGGCTGGCGATGAGGGCGTCGAGGGCGGAGTGCGACGACGAGGGCGCCTTGTAGACGAGGCCGTAGCGGGAGCGGCGCGTGTCGTCGGTGTAGCCGACGCAGTCGATGCTGTGGAGGTCCGGGTGGGACTCGGAAGCCGAGTGCATCATGCGGGCGAGGTCGTCGAGGCGGCGGACGTGGGCGACGCGCTCGTCGACTTCGTCGCGGTCGTAGTCGATCCACTCGATGAGGACGTTGCCGGCGGTGACGTGGTGCGCTTGGCACCGGCGCCGGGAGGAGGAGGAAGCGGAGGAGGAGGAGGAGGAGGCATTGTCCTCGTCGAGGGGGATCTCGAGCGAGGAGAGGCCGATGCGGAGGGCAAAGGTGGGCTTGAAGGAGGCCTGGGGCTTGCTGTCGAGGTTGATGCGCAGCTTCTTGAGCGTGGCCGAGTTGGTCAGCTGCGGGTAGATGCCCGACGAGGCGTTTTCCAGCAGCGAGAGCTCGGCGAGGTCGCGCTGGGCGCGGTCGAGGAGGTGGTGCGTCCATGCGCGCTGGAAGGAGGGGACTTGGGAGGGCGGGAAGAGGGCTTCAAGGCCGTCGTTGAAGTCTGCGTGAGCTGTGTAAGCATTGAGTCTTGTGTGGAGCTATAGGCTTGAGGTTGTACGATTATACCTTTGAGATCTCTGAGGAGGTTGGAGAACTTGTCCTTGTCTGTCTGTCCATGTCAGTATGAGTCTCTCATCTCATTCCCCCTCATTCCCCCCCCCTTTTGTCTCATGGATGTGATGGCTATGATATCTCTCACCTCCTATCACCCATTTGGTTCTCAGACCCAATTCCTTCCTCCAGCTCCTCTCACTCGTCGTTGAGCTCGTGCTCGTCATCTTCAAGCCATTCATCTTCCTCCCCTCATCCCGCGACCCCTTCCTCGACGGCGACACCTCATCCCTGCCATTCTTCCCCAGCGCCTCATCCACCAGCCCATAGCGGTCCTGCAGCTTCTTAAAGTCCGTGACGGTGCTGTGCAGCTGCTCGAGGATCTGCGTCGCCAGCAGCCGCAGCTGCGGGTTGCTGCGCTCGCTCAGGTGCTCGTCGAACTTGCCCTCGGCGACGCCCCATTCGCGGCCCCAGACGACGAGGCGCATCTCCTCGATGCGCACCTTGCACAGCATGCGCTGGCTGTCGGCGTCGAGGTTGGCGGCCGTGGTGAAGTAGCCGTAGGCCTTGACGCAGCCGTCAAAGAGCTGGCCGATGAAGCCGACGACTCCAATGGCGGTGCCGAGGACTTCGGCCATGGCGAGGGAGGAGGAGGAGGAAGAGGAGGAGGAGGATGGCCGAGGAGAGTGGCTTACACGCGATGCGGTGTTTATCACGGGGGGGATACCAGAAGAAGAGGAGACACAACGACAACGACAACAGTTGGGGATATAGACGTGAAAGAATGAAATCAGAACAACAGAGAAACAAAAGACAAAAGAAGAAAAAAAGAAGAGAGAGAAAAAAAAACGAGGCTCCGCTTGTAGTTGAAATAATTGTGTGTCTAATGCGACTCGACTCGACTCCGCCTCATTGATCTCCGTCTTCAGCAGCAGTTGCAGCTAACGTCCACTACCCGTGATACATAAGCAGTACCACCTTGACCGCTAATTGCGCGTTTATGCTTCTTGACTCCGAGATATCAAGTGGCGGCAAGGGCAGTGAGATGGCCAGAGATGGCCAGCCGTATGCCTGCTTTGTGATGAAGAGGATTGACGATTACTACTGTATCCTCAATGTCGTGAATTACAAGGGAATTTGTCCTGGTCGCTCATTGGAGGACATCTGCGGTGAAAGGAGGACGGGTGCATCACGTGAGTGCACCAGCTCAGGGACGGCAACTTCGTGCCTGACTGGATGAGGCGGACCTTCCGTTTTGGGGACATCAACAGACTTGCCTCAACTTACCTTACCTAAGATACTCAATATTATTGGACAATACCTAAATCACAATTTGACCTTCTTCCATCTAACAAACTCCCCTCACTGAATGCTTCGCCTTTGCTATCGAGACCGTCCCTTGTGCCTCTGTCCCTGTTCTTTGCCTCCCGTGTCGTGGCCTGGTCCTTCCAAAATGCTGACCTGTCTTGCAAGAGTATGAACTTACGGTTGCTTTTATATGCCCCCGGCGTGTGAAAAATTGGCCTATATGTCTCGTCAAGCGACGCGCGCATGCACAGAGACAAGCAGCTTCTGTCGTACAGACATTTTGCGACAGGCTGGTTGTGTCGTCGAAGATGCTGTACACGACTCTTCAACTTGTGTCGGCCTATGAATCCGAAGCCAAAGGCCAACTGGCGGCCACCTACATGAACAAATGATGGTGTTTTACTAGAAATGGTGGACTGGTCGAGACATCTTGGAGCTGAATATCCTTTCGTCCAAGCCGACAACACAGGGTCGAATGCGTTCAACGTCCAGAGTCCGTACCGGAACTATGTGCATAGGGAAGGCAAAGCGATCCTTTGCATTAAGTCCCAGGGGCAATCCCGAGGTGCCCCAGGACGACGGCTGCGATGTAGGGAGACCTGGCCTGAAGAGCGGAAGCTGACTGGGCTCGTGGAGCGCAGCCCCTACATCTCAGCAAGAGAGGCCAACCAGTAGACTATCAACGAGAGCGGTGATGGCTTTGACGGCAGTCTGCGGACGAGCAAGCCCCGGTGACTGCAGACAGCATGGTTTTGGCCACGGAGGGTCAGCATCATCACGGGGCTGTCAAATGACGCCATCATTCCGTATCCCATTCTGGTGGCCAACCTCAGTCCACATCATCGTCGACTCAAGCACAACATCCTCGTCCTCGAGTCATCGGACCGAGTCGCCCACCCGACGCCAAAGTCCAACAGGCCTCGACATCATGTCGACGCGAGACACCAACTGCATTCTTATATATTCTAAGGCGGACAAGGCAGATGGCGTCCACCCGTGGCAACAAGACCACTAAGGGTGATATGGACAGTCGCCTCCGAAGTAGTCCTTGTTTGGCATATGGCTGCTCTCTATCTGCCAGACACAGACAGGACACCGCCTGAATTGGTGCGACGGACGTCTAATAGGCCTATTTGAGCTGCCACTACTCCCTGAAGAACGTTGTGGCGGATATTGAGCTTCGATTTACGCGTCAACTCTCCAAAGGCTGCTCAGTTGGATTTAGTTCGTGATGCCGAGTATTCAAGGCTGTTGATGTTGAGAGATTTGATAGGCTATAAGCCACATACTTTCTATCCTGCGCACATATAAAGGACATCCCCTCGACTCAGATTCTCTAGTATCTTCCCAACCGACATCTTCCCTAGTCCAACAGCTGATACTCAACTGCATCTGATATAATTCCTCCTCTTACCTCCCAATCTTCGAAAGGGACAGTATTCCAGGATCCAAGGGGGCAGCCCTTGCCGTGGCGAGGAGTCACCGTTACGAAGCGCAACAGGTCTCAACTCGATTGCAGCGGGCATTTCGACGACTGTTATCCCGAGTTGTTCCATGCGCTGAGACGGAAGGGGGTTCCAAGTCGAGGCTCGCCTTGGCCCGGGTTAATGTCCAGCTCGCTTCGCTTCCGCGAGAAGTCGAAGCAGCCCGACTCAGGTGAACCGTCGCATCCAAGGAGAAGAAAAAGACGGCACAATGAGTTTCCAGGTCACGAAGAAACTGCCTCCAGGACCTTGACCGGCATTAGGCGTCTGCCGGGGCCGACCTACGGAAACATCAAAAGGCGAAGATGGGTGGCGAATACGCGACACGGGGGATGTACCACGTATGGTGTCATATAAGCATATAAACGGCACGTGCCAGTAGGGAATGATCACGATCAAGGCTGTCTCCAGCGTGCCATTCCCTGCCCAGATCGTCGACGGAGTGGACGTGCTTCTGTTTGGCAGACGAGCAGAATCGTTCTCCGAGGCCGGGATTCCCAATTTTGAGACCGCAAAATGCGCCCCTCATGTCGAGCCGCATCAAGTTGGAGCATGTGGTTTCACCACTTTCGCCTTTATCCTGGCCACTTATACTAGGTAGGGAGTGGCTATCAAGCACCCCAAGTTGGCTATCCGGCCTCCTAGCAAGTCACATATCCAATATTTCCATCGATACAGCTAGATGGAAAACTCTTCTCTATGATCGCTCAATATATCTAGCTTAGCCATTAGGCAAGCCATATAGCTACGTAGAGCTGGAGAGCTGTTTAGGAGTAAGGCATTGTCTGCAAACCAGGTACCATTTTCAGACAACAGACCTTGTAGCATTTGGTGGCAAAAAGCAACGGTACCTAGGCACACCCTATCTACCTCCATCTGCGCCACTGGTAGCAGGCAGAGATTTGATCTGAACTACCTAGTCACTATGTGTTTCGAGACTGCTCGAATCGCACTCCTTGACCCTTCAGAAGCCCAGCCAAACGACTCACCTCTACTCGTACGCCTTTCGGAATGGTATAGTTGCGCCGCGAACGACCACGTAATGCCAGAACTACCTTTCTTAGACATGGATATTCCTCCAGGGACTCCGCCAGGCTCACCAGATTCGTGACGGACTCGTTTGGTGCATAAGTAAGGTCGAAGTGGCGAACGCAGCTGGGCAGCATATTGGTCAAGATGTCGGTGCGGTAATCAGGCGAACCAGGCGCGGGAAACTGGATCGAGGTGCCATCGACACAGAAAGTTTCCAGCCGCGAGAAGTCTTTGAGTGACGGCACTTGTTCACCGTCGGGGCATATGAAGGGGGGGTAGAGATACTTCATATCTACATTAAGAGATCGGAGCGTCTTGTTGTGGCCGTGCTGTCTCAACATCTCAATGAGCTCCCTGGCGGTGACAGTAGGCGATGCGATACCGTGTGCCACTTCCAGGCTCTGGTAACGAAACTTGACGAGCGCATGACACCGAGAAACGACAAAGTCCAGCCCACGTTGGGTCCAGTTAAGGCCCTTGACGTCTAAGTGGGTGACGTTCCTGAAATGCATCAAATCATCGCAGAGCACGCTGGCAGGAGGTGGTTTGAAGCTTGTCCGCAGGGTGAGGTCAGTCAAGCCGGCCGCAAACTGAAGGATGCCGCCAAAGTATCGCAGAGAGACCTCCTCGCTGCTCTGGCCTAGATGCAGCTGACGTAAATGCGGCAGCGCGATGCGCAACGGCACAGGCGGAGATGCATTTTCGAGTATTCCGAAAGGGCTAGAATCATCACGATCATGCCCGTTGTTGGCAATATAGACGTCGAGGGTCGTCAAATTGGGTGTCTGGGTGATGAGCAGACAGGCCATGGCCTCGAATCCCTGCTGGCTGGGGCAGGGAATGTCCATGCCCAGTCTCGCTGCCGCTTTCCGGAACATGTCGTCTTGACTTTGATCGAAAACCTTGGAGCAAGAGCCTTCGATACGTAGCTCCCGCACGAATTCGCCAAGCTCGGGACGCAGGCTGATTGCCGTCAGGAACTTGATGCTCTGTTCCAAGCCGCGTTCTACAGGTGACCCGTCAAGACCTCCATTGTCAAAACAAGCATATAGTATGGGAGTGGCGATGGAATGAAAGGCCTTGGAGGTTCGGCAGAAGCAAGACAGAGTCCTGGGATGCCGGAGTTGCCGGCATATGTGCAGTATGACCTCTACTGGGAGCGACAGTAGATGGGGCATGATGGTAGTTATGATGACTTGTCGCCGGTGTGTTTGCCGTTATCAAGCACGGTGATGTCGAGTCGAGATGGTAGAGACTTGTGGAGAGTTGGTCGTCAGGCTGAGTGAGTGCGTGAGTGCGTGAGTGAGTGAGTGAGGCTGTTTCTCATCCATAGATTCATATACATGGATCTGAGAGACTGCTAGCATTATCTCCATCAATCTATTCAACTTCACTAGGTAGTTTCTACAAACTCTACATACGTCTAGTTTCGCTATATACTGCTACTACGGGATCTGTACAGGACAGTAACTTGTACCTACTACTACCATACCTACCTACCTTGGTCGGACAGGTATGTAAACATACCTACTAAGCCTAGGATACTATAGAAAGCCAGTGTCTTTCATCAGCTTAGGCCCTACCAATTAACAATCTTGAGCCACATCTAGGTACCTATCAAGGTACCACTTCTTCACCGCTGTCTTTACGGGAAGAAGCATGTCTTCATGTTGTTAAAGTCGGCAGCTTCGCTGTCTCTGCAGGCCCCCGAGGTCACCATAAAAAACCTCTCTCCTCCATCGACCCTCCAGAGCAACAGACGTGTTCCCATATCCACCAACCAGCACCATATCCAGTTTCGCCACGGGTACTGACCCCTCACGACTTGAGAATACTAATGCGCAGCCTCTATCCGAACTGACGCCCGATGCCGTCGACAACATCATCAAACTTCTCGATGACCGCGCGCCGGTCCACACCCATGTCGGCGACAAGAAAGCCCAATCAAACACTCCAGCCCAGCCGCAGCAACCCTTTGTGGATGGTATCATGGAGGAGGAGGGGGTTTTCCGCGCAGGAGGGGTCGAGACCGAGGGCTGCGACGGTGTCGTGGGGGCTCGCCATGGTAATCAGGTCCTTAACTGAGCACGTGTTGACGGAGGTGCCGCCGTTGACCTCGAAGGACAGTTCAGTGGCGGCCATGTCAGCGAAGGCATTCTTCACCTGTGTGGTCGTAGCCTGAACGACGGCGTCATCTGTCAAGTGGTTAACCCTCACCATGCGGGTGCGCTGTGGCAAACCCTGTTGTGCATCTTTGGTTGCGGTTTTCCACGCAGTTGGCTCCTCGTCTCCACAGCTCAGCTCGATCGGCAGCATCCGATCGGACCCAGCCAACTCGATGTCTAGTGACGGCTGGCAACCTCATATCCTCCTAATAAACGCAAGTATCCGGTAGCACGATGCCACGACCCGACCCTGGATGATTCATCACAGCCTCTACCTACGTTGAAGTGAATTGCGACACTCTAGTTGAGTAAATCAACCATCACGTGTGCCGCACGTGTCGTCTTTGCTTCGGTCGTCCCCCAACAAACGCAACTCCCCGTTTCCCCCCTTTCATCATTGGTTTCAGCATCTATCCAGCTTTTTTCCCATCTTCTACTAATCTCCTCCCATTTCTCATCCGTTTCTCCTTCAACTCTGTCTCCCAACTCGGCTTTGCTTTAGATCACAATGATTCCGCCTTTGGATGCCGCTTCGCCCTCCCCACAAGCACCAGACAATACTACCATGGAGACCATCGAAGCCCGCAATGCTCGCTTCGACGAGATTTCCTGGAAGCTGGCTCGCCGTCGCCTCCAGGTCGACGAGTACTGGAAAGCTCTGGACGAGGAGATCCCCGATCCACAAGAGCAGGAGGAATTCTACACGTATTCTCTCCATCTCAGCCTGCCGCATCTGGCCAATCCTTCCGGCAATTTGACACCAGCTCGATTCGTTGAGATTGCAGACTCAATCAACTTCCTCAACGAGGCGGAGCGCAAGGAGCTGCTGCCCGGGCTCGAATGGGCAGTGCGCCCCTGGATCCCCCTCGGTTACGACAAGACGACGCTCTACCGCCTGTTTCCGGCCATTCACAACTTGACGCCGCAGAGCGACAAGTATCCCCTGACGGACCATGAAGTCCTCGACACTGCGTTTCTCGGCGTCAACACGACGGTGCAGCCGCGTGAGCCCGTCTCTGCCGCTGAAATCGGCGCGCCCTCGACCTATCATCGGAGCAGTCTATCCCAGTCGGCAGAGCCAGACGACGCAGAGGCCCCGGGATTCGTCTTTCACGAGCTTGGCGTGCTGGAGTCTCTGGAATGCGAAACGGCTGATGAGATGCCGACGACGTTTGAGCAAAGCGCCGACTGGGAGGGAGACTGGGAGCCGACTGGCTTCTGCGTGGTGGCTCGGCTTGGCCATACAGGCCACATCGACGGGGTCTATGTCATCTACAACATGAACCCTCTGCAGGAAAACAGTCTCGAGCGGAAGCAAGTCACGCACAGGGCTTGGGGCATCCCGCCCAGTTCGCCTGAACAACAGTTCTCATGCGCGCGGATCGGCAACGCCCTGCGAGACTTTGGGTTCGAGTACAAGCTGGCATGGGACGAGCAGGTGCATCATCCAGTCGAGTTGGTCTGGGCAGTGAGATCGCCCATGGGAGGAGCAATGCGTGTGACGGCGGATAGCAACTACAGACAACACATGTAGGCTTGTTTGGCACAAGGGCGAGGCTATTCAAGTTCTTGGCTTGGGTATCCAGCATTCAATATTCTCTAGCTGGTCAATGTGTATCTTGATCACTGCTGTCATCTCGGGTCGAGGTAAGAGGCTCACAGCCTTCTGGAGCTATGGTTACGTCTTCTCCGCCTTGCTAGATGTTTTGTTTTCCAGTTTGTAGAATTTCTACAACAGAGACTCACAGCTGGTTTCTGCTTCGCAGCAGACCGGCTCTTCCGTTTCAAGGCTGGCGGATGGCGAAAGTTACACTGGCGCAGCTAGACTTTGGAGTGGCTTGCAGCCTTGAAGTCTCGCACAGCTTTCGTTACGGCGATTCGGCCATTGACTCATCACGGCTCGAGCTAAGACATTGAAGCTGTCCAAAAGACTCCCTGGGCATTGGCGTTATGTGCCCACAGGTCTCCCAAATACACCTCCTTGTCTTGCTAGGTATGGCGACCAAGTTACACACTTCAGATCCCCCCAGGCACACTCTTTGAATCTCAGCTCAGGCCATACCGCTTCTCGAGACAAATCCTGGAAGCATCGCAACAAGAGTCGAGTAACATAGTATTACATATCGACAATGGATCTTCTCGCGGCGTGCGAAGACTTAGCCGCCAACGTCGCGGCCTTTGACACCGCCGCCGATGACGATGACGACTCGAACGTCTCAAAGCCAGATCAGGAAATGTGGAGGACACTCTTTGGCTTTTCGTCAGACGAAGCAGCCAGGGCCATTCGCAACTGGAGAGCCGACTTTGCTCGTCCGACCATTTCGCAGGCGGCATGGCTGCTCGTCAAGGAGGCCAAGATGGCTGAGGGATTCAACAAAGAGGCCTACGAGTATGAACTGTCCAGGACACGAGCCGCTCAAAAATCGCAGTTGAAATCGAGAGAAGCAGTTCAATATGACGAAGCGAAATATCTTGTCAAGCTCGACGAGTGCGACTCTTTGCCATCCGCAGAGTCAGTTGACCTGATGCGCTTTCTTCCTGCAAAGCCAAATATTCTCCACGGCACAGACGACGACGGGAACATGACTCGCTTCTGCCTGGTATCCAGCAGCCAAAAGACAGACTTTATCAACGCTCTATCAGCTGCACATCCCTCCTTCCAGCCAACGTTGATTCGCACCTCTGTAGCGTCCAAGGATCTATCTACAACTTGTTACCCAACACTCGGCATCGACACTACGCTCCCGCAATTCCGCCCAGCAAACACCTCCTCGCTCTTAGCCGCTCGACCAGCACAAGACGAGTATCCCGTCTGGTACTTCTTCTATGGCACCCTTGCCGATGCCAACGTCCTCTGTCGTGTCATCGGCTCAGCCGTGAACACAGCCACCGACATCAGCTACAAGCGTGCCCGCATTCAAAGAGGACGACTTACTTTGCTGGGTGAAAAGTATCTGGCCTTGGTGGATGCGAATCAGGAGTCGGTAGTCGACGGCTGGGCGTACCAGGTGAAGAGTCAGGTAGAGGAGGACTCGCTTCGGGTATATGAGACGGGCAAGTACGAAGTCGTGAGGTGCACCATGGGGTTTATAGGAGCGGATGTGAGTTCCGTTCAAGGACTCACGTTTCGGCTGGCTCGAGGATAGGAGAGGGGCATTCGTCGAGCGGATGGCGTCTTTGGTTGAGGGAGACCATTCCGGTCTGGCGTAGCGGCGTCGATGTAACAAGAAGGGACACAGGCAAGAAGAGGCGCAGGCCATTGTAGACTGCTGTTAAATAGATATGATGCCTTGCATCAAGATACGACCCGATTGCGATCTTGTGGGATGAGATTCGTTCAGATGCACTGCAGGTAATTACCACCTCAACCTATGTGTGAACACAACACTGTGCATAGTGTGTACACTTGACGTCCTCATCAGATCACCAATAACGACAATCAGTATCGACCAATGTTAACAAATGCATTAACAAAATCATCACCAAAAGCTCCCTTACACGATAATGAGAGTGAGTCAAAACAACGCCCCAGCCAATGCGGGGGCGCCTATACAAATTGATGAGTAGCAGCAGCAACACAGCACATCCATCCGTCAAACCTCCATCGTACGACTTCAATATATCCCCATCATCCTCCAGCTTACATAAACCGTCTCAGCCTCGCATATCTCTTCCAGGGCACCTGCCTATCATCTTCATCATCACTCACTTTGAGAGGTTCAACAGCCAATAGCACAAACCCTCACCAGCAATTGTCCAATGGAGCGACATATCACTACTACTGCTAGCATGTTGGAGAAGGAGATAAAACGCCACAAATCGGCGAGCTAGCAGCAGATCTTGGCCCCCACATGGCAAAATTCTACATCGACTCACAAGCCGAGTCATCTTAGTCACTCATTTCAACCTCATCTCAACCTCCATTCACCCTCAATTCTCCCACAATTCACCCACGAATACTTCAAAATACGGCCCAATCGAATAGTTTAACCCAAGGACCAACAACAAATCTTCTCAACAACATACAGAGAGGACAACTACACCACCACCATCACCACCACTACCGTCACCATGTCCTCCTCCCAAGCAATCACCTCCCTCACCCTCACCTCCCTCCCCAAGCTCTCCACCGGCAAGGTCCGCGACCTCTTCGCCCTCGACGACAGCTCCCTGCTCTTCACCGCCACCGACCGCATCTCCGCCTACGACGTCGTCCTCGCCAACGGCGTCCCCGGCAAGGGCCTCATCCTCACCCAAATCTCCGCCCACTGGTTCGCCGTCCTCGAGCAAAAGGTGCCCGGCCTCAAGCACCACCTCATCTCCCTCACGCCCCCGGCCTCGGCCCCGCTGACGCCCGAGGAGCGCGCCCTACTGAGGGGCCGCACCATGGTCTGCCGCCGCCTCAAGGTCTTCCCTATCGTGAGTTGTTGCCCATATGAGGATGCTCCCTGAAGCGTCACATGTAAGATGACACTAACTGGATGCTGCAGGAAGCCATTGTGCGAGGCTACATCACCGGAAGCGCTTGGAGTGAATAGTACGTCTACCCTCATCTCAGCCTAGCCCCATCTCCTGTGCCTTGGCATTGTCCCGGTGCTGCTGATCTTGCACCCTGGAAATCAGGCCATCTCATCACCACCTTGCCTTCAGAGCTAACGTCGATCCAAGCACCGCCAAGGGAACCGTCCACGGCATCCCTCAGCCGCCCGGCCTCCAGCTCTGCAGCCCATTCCCCAACGGCCCCATCGTAAGTAACCATGGTCATCAATCCATGCCCTAATTTTGAGCCTCAATCTTCTCCTTCTCTGCTCTTCTCTTCTCTTCTCTTCTCCGCCCCCGTATCTTTACCCCTGGTCCCCTCCCTGTCAGAGTAACACAAAAAGTCATGCCCAATCAACTTCAGCACTACAATCACATCTCATCGAGTGACATATGAAAACTGACGAGGCAAAAGTACACCCCATCCACAAAAGCTCCGGCGGGTGAAAAGGATGAGAACATCTCCCCCGAGCAGGCCGTCTCCATCGTCGGTAAAAAGTACGCCGCCCGCATCCAAGAGCTGAGCTTGGCCGTGTACAGCGCCGCCGCCGCGTACGCCCTCGAGCGGGGCATCATCGTTGCGGACACCAAGTTGTAAGTCGTATCATCTAGTCGTCCGTATTTTCGCATTCCACACCCTGGCTTCGCTTTGTTGTTTGCTTTCCTGCTTCCTCCCTTTCAGCCTCATCCGATTGGATGCATACTCCCCCTTAGCCGATGGGCATGATTTCCCCCTCCCCCCCAAGGCAGCGAACCCTTCCGCTGCGGGCCCCAAATCAGCTGTTTTTCTCTTTGGGAGGGTGGCAAATGATAGAGAGAGAAGGAGGGATTTGGACTCCCCTAGCCAATGTCAGCCTTGAAATACCACGTCGTATCGGCAGATCCCAACCTGCACATTTCCCAACATACATCCCGGTCCCTGTCACTTCCTTGACGAACACCTCATTAATCATATTCGATGCAGCGAATTCGCCCTTGACGAGGCCACTGATGAAGTTGTTCTGGTGAGTCAACAGATCCTGATCCTTTCTCCATTTATCGCTATGCAGGGGGCTGCAGGCGAGCGTTCCTGATAATAAGAAGAGCGGCCCAATCAGTTGCTCCCCTTGCCTTCAGCCAAAGCTCCATATCAAGAGTCATACCTGAATACCCACAAACTAATGTTTCATCTCCTTCGAAATAGGTCGACGAGGTCCTAACCCCGTAAGTTGATCTGCCGCCAGCCAATGGTCCACCCCAAGCTTCACCGGGATCAGCGGGGAAAGTCCTAGCTGCATCCTGAGAGATTTGAAGTAGAATCTTACGGGTGCCACTCAAGCACCGGCACTCGCAACACGAGTTGCCACTTCCGAAGCACAAGAAGTCCAAGATGCTAACCTCGGGTGCCCAACAATAGCGACAGCTCGCGCTTCTGGAACGCCGCGGAGTGGAAGGCCGGCAGCGAGGCTCCCTCCTATGACAAGCAGTACGTCCGAGACTACCTGACCAGCTCAGGGCTCAAGGGCAAGCCCAACGTAAGTCACATCGCAGGCGATGCCTGTCAAAATCGCCCAAACTCCGCTTTTCCGATCTCAAGATCGTGGATGCGGATACGAGAAAACAGTCCGATGCAAACAGAATCGAGTGACCCCCCGGGGGTTCGGAACTTGGCTGCCCTGACTCGTATCCTGGGAACTTGGTGACTAACTGATCAACCCCAGGTCGAGCTACCCGCCTCGGTCGTCGACGAGACAGCGGCCAAATATAGAGACGTTTTCCAACGGTGCGTACCCTCGTTAGCAACTCGTCATAATTCATATATTTCACGCGCGGCCACCGCTGACCACCAATCAATAGCCTCACGGGTAAATCGCTGGAGCAGGCGTTGGCAGCCTTGGAAAACTGAAGCCACTGGCGCATGAGGCAAGATAGAGAGACGAGGAGGACAGGGACACTTGCGGGGATATGGGGCGCGTTTGAGTGACAGGAATGATCCACCACGCCCCTGCGGCGAGCCAAGAAAGTCCATTAAGCGCCGTCGGCTTCTGGTACAAAGGCAACGACGTGCGTGTGCGATCGGTTGAACAGAGATTCGCAAGGTCGATGATTTCCAGCACTATTCGGCATCGCACACCGGCCAAGGCTAATGGCCAGCTTTTCCGTCTCGGGTGAACCCTGTCGCGTGAAGAAATAACCAAAGTCTAGATCGCGCACGAGTGCAAGTGAGGCGCCCACGCGGTCTGGACGGACACATGACGTATGGCTGTGAGACAAATGCCCTGAATACGCCTCGACAGCGAACAAAGCAAGCTCGGGAGCCCAATCTCCGTAAGGAGGCTGATTCTTCTCGAATCTCCTTCCAGCGCCCTGTTCTGGCTGCATCAAGCGCGTTGGCAAACCTGGTGCGGGATCTGGGCAGCCTCGAGCTTACCATTGGCCAGCGCCTGTTCACGCAGCGAAGGCCATGGCCCCTGTCTTGCGCCTCCAGCTCGCTCCAGCCCTGCTTGTAGGCTCTTGAAGATTCCAGTACTGGTTGGTTCCCTCCCTGCCGATATCGATGAGCTCGATCCTGCTTCACGAGGAAAAGCCATCTCGGCAGTGGCCCTGTCCTTGCTCGTGCAGCCAAACGCCCTCCGCTAACGAGGGAGACGACTGCCGAGCCCGTTGGTTGCCTGTCATCGCCAGAAAATCCAGACCCCTCTCGCTCTCAGGGCCAGATCTTTCTAGACCCAAGAATCCAGAACAAGGTGAATCTGGGCGTCTTGGCCGGCAGCAAAGCTGCTGAGTGACAAGTCGTCGGTCAATCAAACGAATACAACGAGATTGCAGATTCGGAGCGGCTGAAAGCGGCAACCGGGTTTATGCATGCCAGGGAAGAGAGAATGTACCCTTAGGCAGAAAGAGAGACAAGGAAGAGAGGCAGCCGCATGGTGAGAAAATTGTCTCCGCCCAAGGTAAATCATATTTCATTTTTTCTCTGAGCCTCGTCCAAATCAACCTCCCAAGGCTGGTAGTACCTTAGTAATAGGTAGGTACCTACCTAGTAGCCGCAGGGGTTATTCAGAAGAACAAAGGGTACCTAGCACGCATACCGAGTGCATGTGCTTCGTAGGTATATGCGGAGTACATCCCTAGTGTTTCGTACACGCCGCCCAGGCGTGTAGGCATATTTCCTCCCACCTCAAAGCCTTGAGTTGACAAGTAGGTGAACCCTACTGGTACTGTAACTTCGTAGTTGACATAAAGACGCGTTGCGTAAAGCAACCTTGCGGGATGTTTTGTAAACCGCAGCAGCGGGGCGCTTCGGGCGCCATCTTGTAGAACGGCCTTTGTGTGAAGACGATTTCCCCTGCATCGTGGGCCAGCTTCCCAGTGGATGCCACACAGGAATTTTGTCCTGAGTACTTCGACGAGACTGTAGCCACCGACCTGGAGCCTGCACAGCTGATAGCATCCCATACGATACCACACCATCTTAGGCGGCCTCGCATGGCTGGCTTGTGATTGTCCGCGGACCACTGTACCTGCCACGTTAGTGACCTGAGTCCAAATTTCAGCCGGTCATTGAGTCCGAGTAGCCAGGACCTACATGAGGTGCCTAAACGAAGGAGTCCCTGGCTCACCCCCTCCCTAAGTAGGTACCTGCTGGCTACCTTTCTGCCTCCCATTACATGTACAGCCCATTGTACCGCCGCACAGATGCATGAAGGCAGATAGGGATGATCCGAGCTGAGTGGCAAAGAGATGATGTAGCATCGGGTGTTGCCCAATGACGCTTGAGGCATTGCTTCGAAACAACACAACACTTTCGTGGTCATGTGCGGCATTCCCGGCCCAGCATCCTGTCCACGACAGAATGGCAAAGCACAGCGTTGGTAAAAGCAGGTCCATGACGGCCCTGACAGCTCTGCAGCCAAACGAGGTAATATCGTGGAGTAGGAGGCGGCGAAGGGGGCTGCAGAGAATATACGCCGTACATTGCTCGTGCATCACGCGCCGTACCGATACAGCTAGACATCCCGGAGGCCAAACGAAACCAAGACTGACCCGATGGGTGGTAGGGGTTCTTTCCTCTCGACAAAGGAATAGCGTTCAGGTCTACCGGGCCATAGACTCCCCTGCCCCCGTCGCAAGAGTTCAGACCAGAATAGTAATCGCCGCAAAGGAAAGGAGAATCTGTGGCCGAGGTCAGTCTGGCCCAACAAAACATTCACCGAGAAACGAAGCAATCCCTCGTATTAGCTGATTCGGGGCGGCTCAGGCCAGGCACAGAATTTCCCTCGGCAGGGTAACGGGTATCGCTAAACCAAGTCCCATACAACCCTGCCCGCCTGACGTACCATTCCCAAGCAGTGACTGGCAAAATCTGGGCTGTGTTCTGGCCTATGCGTGGAGTTCCTAGCTCTGAACGCGGCCGCGCACGCGTCTCTCTCTTGCCTGCTTCGCCGCAGAGGGAGATCCAGGCCTTTGCTGCCTCCGCTTAGCAGCAGCGACACGCCTAGCCTACCAACTCGGTAACTTGCAAAGGCTCTCTGAGTCCAGCCCGTGGCTGGCGTTGTCGATTAGTGCTCGCGGTGGGGAGGGACCGGGAAGTATTCACACGCCCCTGACTGGCTAAGGCGGCCGCTGAGGCTTCCTTCGAGGCCGATGACAATAGCAATGCCGATTCGTTGACAACACGCCCATGCCTGCGCTCAGCATCACGCTACTCAGCGTTGATCATCGCGTTGGTTGTGCTTGTTGTTGCTGTTGACCCCGGGTCGACTTGACGCTTAACCAATCCGACAAGTATAAGAACGCCCCCATCCCCTCATATCTCTGTTCTTCAACAACTCACTCTCCTCGCTTCCAGGCATCGAACACTCCTATTGCAACGGACGAACTGCCCATCCCTTCTCTCCACGCGCCGACAGACGTTTGTCTTGCCCGACCTCAACTCTCGACTCCTTCTCCCTTGCCGCCATGGCTTCGCCGACTTCGTCGTACCCACTCACTATCCCCCTGGAGTCGGGCAAGAATCGATCCATCCGAGGGGTATACCGTAGCATCACCAACGCTCTCCATGATCCTCAGCTGGGCTCTCTTCCAGGAGATGCCGAGCGGCCGCCTGTCCCCAAGGAAGGCGGAGTGAGCACTGAGGCCTCCGGTGTGCCGAGTGGTCTGTCCAAGCAGAGTCTCCAGGATCTCGATGTCCTGAGTCCTGACATGGCCTCGCAAGGACAAGGCACCGCTCGTGCCACCAGAGACCCTGATAGCTCCGATGGCAAGAGTGACTCCAGCTCGCACTCCCCATGCTTGCCGATTGACGACAAGGCTTCGAAGGGGACCGACCAACATATCCCGGCCGAGCATGCCGTCTCCCATATGGCACCGTGGGCCATGGACAGTCTCAATGACCTGAACAAGAAATAAGAAAGTGTTGAGCTTTGAATCGGATTGAACACAAGCTTACCTTGAGACGGCACCTCGCCAACACTTGTCGTCAAAGAAGGTCGTTCAGTCCCGATCCAAGCCGCACGCACACCAGCCTGAGACTGTTTCAAGGAATTCGGAACATGGCAAGGCGTCGAGTCTCAGCCCATTTCTCGCAAGACGAAAAGCCGAGACATTGCCACGACACCACTGCAAAAGACACAGAGGGAGAAACAAAAGAATAAGGACCACAAAGCACAATGACCATCACCAGACTGAGATCATCATGACAGAAGGAAGAAGGATGAAAAGATGAAAAGACCAGAGAAACAGCCCAAGGAGGAGCCGGGCATTGAATCATCTGTTTCGAAAACGGAAACCTCGGCCGAATGCTCTTGCATACTGCAACTGCCCTTTCCTTCACCGTCTTTCGCTTTGGGTTACTATCAAGCTCCCCTCCCCTGAATCATCGTCGCTCTTGCAGCTTTCAATGCGCGCTAGTCACATCGTCCCCGGCTTTTTTTCCTTTTTTTTTTTTCTTTAGAGGTCCGACGGCGGCATTATAATTGATCAATTGACCAGATAGAATTCAGAAAAGAAAAGTAAAAGAGAAAAAAAAAAGCGATGATTTTTTTTCTTTCTTTCTTTTCTTTGTTGCTTCATGTATAGGGTCTATAGAGACAGAAGGCATGGCGGAAAGTGGTGGCAGATTGTTTAAACCCTCAGAGGGCTATACCGTCATTGCGAGTCATATAATGAATAATAAGACAGACTGATATAGCAGAAGTATGGCCTTGTATTTCCTTGATCTTGTCGTGACACGTTGCCTTTGCACTACCCATCTACCTATATATAAACTCTCACGACTCCCTCTAGGGTTGGGCTCCCAGCATATGACCAGCGCGAGTCACCCTCCCTACATCAGCAAGTCAGGCGCATAATATATAATCAAGCAAGCCATCGATTCGAGTCACAAACCTCACCGCAAAATATCGGGCGCCATCACCGTCGCATCCAAATCCATTCTTTGCGCCCCCTGCGAAACACGGGCAGCTTCGGGCGCAAGGGTGCCCGGTTCACACCAAGAATGAATCCTCTTTGCGCGCCTGAACGTGTGATGTCAATTCACAAGGTAATACGGTAGGGTAGGGTATGTAGGTCAGTCTAGAAGCTTGGAAGTCGGGATTTAATGCCCAATCGTCTGATGCAGTGTGGCCCTACAGCCGACGACAGCATGCATACAGATATTCCGCGTCAAGCCACGTAATGTGCTGGGCTGTGACGGGCGCACATACATGCGCAATTACACCATTGGGTGCTACAGCACCTGTCGTTGCGAATACCGGATGCAAGTCCCGAATGTAATACGGATAAGCACAATGATGTTGCTGTTGATGATCCCGAAGCCCCCTTGCAAGGGGGAGCGACAGCGGCGGAGAGCATCACCGAGCAAAACTCGAAACTTCATCGCCATGAAGAGTTCACCATTACGTAGCACTCAGTAATTACTTTCTGTGCACATCTTATCTCTACAAGACGTCGTAAAAACCCCATCTTTTTTTTTTCTCCGATCGGATCAAAATCGAACTTCGTATTTTGGGGAAAAAAGCAGATCGGTACAAGCCGGCTTCGTATCTCTGAAGAAGGCAGATCGGTTCAATCCGACCTCCCCTCGTATCCCCCCACCTCGGTAGATAGGAATCCAGATAATGATACTACCTACCTAACCTACCTACCTACTGTATCTACTTACCTTGCCTGTGTGTAGAAACACGAGCTCGAGCGCCAAGATGGTGTTCGAAGCCCATTCACTGCGTGTAGGTACACGAAGCCTGCTCATTTGACCGCCTTGCTACGATCTCAACACACGGAAAAGCGTCGGACAGGCTCCCCCCCCCCTTGCGTCAGCCGGTGACGGTTCCTGCATTCAGCCGCTGTCAAGCCGTGTGATACTGTCTCACCTGAACGGCAAGACGAGACGAGGCGTCAAATCAGGTCCAGCCCGCGAGCTGCGGCGTGCATGTAGACTGATCCTACCTTACCTACCTACTCAACAAGGTGCAGATTCCATCCAGCAAAATCACGGACCCAGTCGGACACAACACGTCTTCATATGGGGAATTGAAAACACTCGCAGGTCATGTAGAGTAAAACGGGGGATATAATGCATTAGTATACCACTAGAGTACATGCAGAGGCTGACATTATCGTCAAAGAAGCTTAGGTAGGTTTTCCATGCAATCGTCAATAAATAGAAAAGGGCTGACAGACGCCGGAGCACGTCCCCTTCTTCCGTCCATTTCCCAACAACCTTGCCGTGCTGTGTGAAGAAGAAAAAAAAAAGCAGCAACACAACCTTGCCTCAAGATATTAAATTTAACCGGTACCAGAGAAAAAGCCTTAAAGCGCAAACAAATCGGGATGGCACCCTTTCCCTCCCAGGCCCTGCATCTGCAGAATTAAGAGAAGAAGGCAATGGCAATGGCCACGCCGGCAACGAGGGCCAGGGGAGAAGAGAGGTGGCCGGCGGCGCTTCCGGGAGGAACGGTGGTGACGGCGGGGTTTGAGGAGGTGGAGGCAGCGGTGGTGTGGTGTCCTGTGGCCGGAAACATGCATCGGTTAGCGAAATCTGAAGCGAGTTTCTTTCTTGTGCGAGGCAAACATTGTCTCTCTGTGGGTGAAATACGTACCAGTGGTGGTGGAAGCCGAGCCTGTGGGAGCAACGGTGGTGGTGTTGTGCTTGTGGGTGGAGTGGGCGACGGTGGTGGTGGTGGTGAAGGTGCTCGAGGCCTCGGTGGTGGTGGAGTGAGCAGTCTTGGTCTTGACCACGGTGGTGGACTCCTCCGAGGTGGTGGAAGCGGCCTCGGTGGTGCTGGTGGCAGCCTCGGTGGTGGTGGGAGCAGCCGTGTTGGACTCGGCAGCGCTGGTGGCGGAGGTGGCAGCGCTGGACGAGGCGACACCGGTGCCCTGGAAGGGGAACTGCTGGCTGAAGTTGCTCTGGCCCTCCTTGTCGGTGATCTTGAAGTTGTAGGTGCCAGAGGGGAGGTCCTCCAGGGTGACGGTGGTGGAGCTGCCGGTGGCAGAGGCTGTTGCACATTTGTGTCAGCGAGCTTTGCCTTTGTTTGTCTTTGGCAACGATAGGAGATGGGACTCACTGGTCAGAACCTTGACGTCCTTGAGGTCGGTGCTCTTGCCGGTCTGCAGAGTGATGGTGCAGCCGTCAGAGCAGCCAGAGTACTCGAGGGTGAAGGGCTGGCCCTCCTGGACCTCGAACTTGGAGTTGAGGAACTCGGGCTTGGCGAGAGCAACGGCAACGAGGGCCGAGACAGCAGCGACGGAGTACTTCATCTTGACTTGGTTTGGAAAGGACGAAGAGAATGTATGTGAACGAGAGACGAGAAGAAGCGTCGGCTGGTGCGCAAGATATGGTCAGTTTATTTGTTGTTCCTTGAGGAAAAGTGGTGACGAAGTGACTGGTATGCTGGTGTTGGAGGAAACCAGGTCTCGGGCGATCCGAGGCGAGAGGAATGAGCAAGATGAAACAACAACAGGCGCCTGGAAAAAAGGTTGAGCCGTTGCAGCTGGCAGACACACGCGTCCCCGTCGTTCCCGACAGGCGACGGCCGTCGAGTTGCGTTCCGCCGTCTTTGGGCCCTTTCCTCTCCGCCAGCTGGCGAGCCATGACACCGCCTGGGGGTGGGCATCCAGCCAGGATCGCGCCTTTGGGGTATTATGGGGGAGTTTCTGCAGATTCGGACATGATATTCAAGAGAGGAGAGGAGGACAACGCGAGATGCAGGGGTAGATGCGTGAACTGGGCGCAGACGAGGCCGTGTTGTGGAAGCATCCACGTAGTGATCGTCCTCGAGATCTCGTCCTCTCCCAACATCGACGACACACCAAAACAGAGAGCTGGAAACTTACACTGGATCGAAACAAGGGCCTAGAAAGCGAGTGATCAAGGCGGATGGATGAGCAAAGCAAAAAAGGAGCAGGAAAGCAGAAGAATCGAGCCGGACGGCCGCGGGTATTAATTTAAGAACTCGGTCGAGGCAGACAAGAGCCAGAGGCGAGGAGTGGAGCGGTGCGCGCTGGAATTGCACGGATCACCCCCAATCAATGACAGCCGGAGGTTCGAGAGTCTCCATTCCCAGCCAGCAGGGGCGGGAATTGGAGGAGGGGGGGCCTCGATGGGCAGGCCGCCTGGTCTTAGCGATCCATACTGTCGCTAGCGGAAGCCCAGCAGCAGCAGCAGCAGCATCGGCATCAGATGGTGGTCGTTTTGGCTTTTGACCCGGGGGCGATGCATCCTGGCTGCTTTGTGTGTGCTGGGGTTGTTGCAAGAACTGAAGCCTTCAGGTTCGCGGTTCCGTCGTCGATAGTACTTGGGTACAGCTGCCATGTACCTTACCGACAGGGCTTGCCATTGGCCGCAGCACCCCGGTCCGCCGTCGCCCGCAGCCTATCAGCGCCGTCCGGGACCCCCTGGACAGGTATCCCAGCCCGCTAGCGCCACCCGCTAGCGCCACTAACGCCAGCACCTAGCTAGTCGCTGAAGCTCCAGCGGTCCAGGCACTCACTCACAGGCACCCGCAGGCCTGAGCTCGCAGCGCCTGGACGGCACCAGAAACGGCGCTGCAGCAGCCATTCGATTGACCTAAGCTTGCGCCTCATCCCCGGGAAATAACATGCAGAAACCTGGGTTAGCCTCGAGCTTGCGGCCCACATCTCTTCTGACTCTCTGACGCCGGCTGCTGTTTCTCTCTCTTGTGCCTGCCTTCCATTGCCTTGTTGTCGATTGCAACATGAACCTTGCCGGCGCGTGAGTTCCTCCGGGTCACGGCACGCCGAGAGGAGATGAATGACGATGATGGAGCGATGGATTGCAACAGTCGAGCCTTGACAAGGGGGGGAAGCTGTATGTAAGGTAAGGTAGGTATGTATGTACATGCAGTACATGCTCCGTCACGCAACATACCATGATTATTGTAGCTCACAGGCGAAAAGGTGACACAAGATGCATCGCGAAATTGGCAGAGCCGCAATCCTACGCCTCGCTTACAGCTTCTCCTCCTCCTGTTCCCAGCAACATCCGCCTGAATTGATGCACCAGAGGAAGCAAAGAAAACACACACACACACACACACACACACACACATGCTCCCACGCATACAGCCAAATCAAGCCCGTTCTCATGCAGCCACAGGGGGGGACGCTAATCATCGACAACGCCATCACCACCAATTCAGCCACTGCATCCATCCCGCTCCAATAGCCAGCGCCGCCATTCTGTCAAATACGGGATTTCATCCCAACGCCCATTGACTTTTCTTTCGTGGCCATTATAGCATTCGTCACCCGCACTATCTGCAGAACCCGAAAAGCTTCTTTTTTAGCTCTCTCTCTCTTCGACCTCGTACCGCTCACCCTCCATCTCTCCCCCCTGATCTCCTGATCTAAGCTGCTCACTTTTTTTTTTCTCGTCAACAGAACATCTGTGAGCTCTCTCTCTCTTTCTCTCTCTCTCACTCTCTACGTATCTTTCTCTCTCGCCCTAGCAGAATATCCACACTTGAGTCTTTCCACCAAGTTTCACAAACGGCACCTCCGGCTCTAAAAAAGGCCCGCAAGGGGAAGAAAAAGGATAGGTAGTCGGGCCAACAGCAGGAAATGCGCCATCCCGTCTAATGATTCCCTCCTTCCAACGCTTGAACCGCCCAATTTCCTAGCCGCTTTCTTGTCCTAGTAGCGCCCAATCAATGCCCCCCTGGTCCGGCTTCTACCCAAACGGGACACTCTCCTCATCGCCTCCGCATCGCGATCAGCAGCAGCTCGTCCAATGTGTCTCAGTCTCAGTGTTGTCTCTCTTTCTCGATCGAATTTCTTGCTGAAGTTTCCCAGTACTAGTATTACAGTAATAGTGTTGTCTTCTTTCATCAGCATGTTGGAATCGAATCGAGTCCACACATTCCCTCCACCCTGATTCCCACACATCACCTCACAAGTCAAAGCGGCCTCGTACGTAGAGTTTTCTAGGCAGCCCGCGCAGCATCATCACACAGCTCCACAACACCCAAAAAAAAAAAACCAATGACCTCTCCAACTTGTCATCGATAGTGTCCATCCTCCAATCCCCACGGCTACAAACAAAGAGAACACGAACAGGCATCATCCCACCCAAACAGAATTCCCACTGCACTGCACGCAAGAAGTTCCCCCTCCCCCTCCACCCCTCTATGGCTGAACTCTGAATTGCGCAAACACGAATCCCACCCATATGTAGGTATGCACGTCAACAGGCTAACACGTAACGACATCATTCAACCCTTCCAATACGATTCCTCGTCTTCACTCCTTTCTCTTCTCTTCTTGTCGTCTCCGTGGGCCCTTTTTTTTTGTTTCCCCATATGTATTATTCCTTCGGCAGAACAATGTAGAAAGTTTGACTCCGCCGTCTGCCTATTATCCTCTTCAGAGAGTTCTTTTCCCCCCCTCCTTCATCGAGCCGATGCTTCGAGGCTGTGCTTCGCCCATTTTCCCGGCAACACCACCGTACCAGAGCTCCTTGACTACCTCTGTCGACCATCGAAAGAAGTAAGACCCCCTCTTCACGGAAGTAGTCATCCAATAGAGCCTCACAACTCCAGCTCCTTCAGCTCCGCCCCAGACTACCCAAGGTACCTAATTGCCTCACTGTTCGACTCCTCTTCTTCGCTTCTCTTCCATTTCCATCTCCCAGTCTTTTGGCATCTTCATTCGCACTCTAGAAACCATTAGCTTTCTTCAAACGCCTCGTAATCATCTGTATAGACTAAACCACTACCTATCCCAAGCATATCGCCTACAAGTCTTCTATCCTCTATCCACCTCAATCAATATCCCACCCCCCCTGCACCTACAGTACATACTGCTGCAACCAGGCACACAAGCAATGAATTAAACAGAAAATGCCAAGCCCCCTTCCCCCGCAAAATCTCCAGCATGGCTAATGCAATGGAAAACCTACCAATCTAAATGAGAAAAGAATGGCCAGGCCAAGCAGAGCAAATTACCGCCTTTGGGAGTTCCTCACCGCGACAAGGAAACAGGAGGGAAAAAAAAAAAAAAAAAAAAAAAAAAAAAAAAACCTGCTTTTTGAGCTCCTTTTCTTTTGATTGTCTTGTCTTTGCCTTGTCTCATATCAAATGTGGACCGAAAGATTCCAGTAAGGTAGTAGTACATAGGTAGGTACATAGGGACACACTAATCGACAGGCAATCTCCCAAATCCAAGCAAAGATCTCTTTTCACAAGATGCGATGAACGCCTCGAATCTTTCTCTCGATCAGCAGTGATTATCCTCTCAACTTCCATAGTATTGGCTGTAATTCTTGAGCGAATCGAGAACCACCATCTTCTACAAGCTACCTCACCGAGTACCTATTCAGCCATCGGCTCGAATCGCGTTGCAGACTCGCATTTTCGGCATTGAGAGCAAATTACATCAAATCTAATCGGCCCCCCCTCTCCCCATGCCTATCCCAAACCGCGCCGTCTGCATCATCCCGCTAGTCATGCCTTGATTTGCCGGGGTTAGGAAGAGTGAAAAGAGAGCCGGTGCCTGAAGATCAAACTGAAGTTTACCTTGGCACATTGGACACTGAGCCATGCCGCATATTCGAGGCTTAAGCGAAAACTTGGGACAAGACTCCGTACCAACTCATGCATCAAATTACTACTGTATTTACACGATACCGACGCTGCCGGTACAATCATGAATGTCCTGGCGCGTCCATTCATGCCCGTCCGTTCGCTGCCTCGCCACACGCTTCTCTCTTTTGTTTTTTCCTCCATTCATCGGCCAGCACCACCTCGCTGACTCTTCCGACATTCATCAGCCAGTCCATAGCTCGCTCGTCATTCGCCAGCACGTTACAATGAAGATACTAATAGATACCAAGATGAATTCAAAGACTCAAAGCACTGGGTATTTTTGTGTGTTCTGTTGTGGGGGGTGGGGATAGAAAGGAAATGTCGAGGGCGCGCATTTAGTGCTCCAACAGACGCAAGCTGCCCTGGACGACGACGTTCTCGAGGATGGATCCCGGGGGAATGTCAATGGTGCTACCCTCGGTCGCCACGATGATAACGGTGCCCTTGAGCGTCACGCCACGGCCCAGGTTGACGGCACCGGTGATGGTCAGGTGGTCAAGCTCCAGCACCTTGGGGATGGAGGGGATGTGCTTCTGGAAGTCGGACACCTTCTTAAAGTCGCTGCCCAGCTTGATCAGGGGCGCGTCGCCGAAGCGAGCCGCGCTCATCTGGAGCTGGCCGTGCTTGAGCGTGTACAGGTCAGACTTGACCAGCATCAGGTCGGAGCACGTCTTGACGGGCAAGAATCGGCGACGGGGCACGTTGACGCCGTGGGCGTTGTTGAAGTGGCGGATGGCGGCACCGACGGCCGTCTCGAGCTGGAGGATGGAAATGTCCGACTCGCCCTTCTTGTCGCCGGGGATGGTCTTGCCGTTGGGGATAATCTCCATGGCCAGCTCGTTGTTCTCCACGACGCGCTTGATGGCGGCCAGGTTGAGCCAGATGTTGTTGGTGTTGAAGTACTTGAACTTCTTGATGGACTTGAACTCGTTGACGTGCTCCTTGGGCACCTGGGCGATTTCGAGCAGGCGGACAGAGCCCTCGTAGTCAATGATGGTACCACCCTTGACGTCGGCCTTGGTCTTGTTGGTCAATTCCATGATGTACTCGGCCTTGGTCTCGACCATGTGCTGGAGGATGCGCAGGTCGACAACGGCACCCAGGTTGTCGACGTTGGACAGGAAGACGATCTCGATGCCGCGCTCCAGCAGCTGGTCGAGGATGCCGGAGTTGTAGAGAGACTCGAAGACGTCACCGTGTCCGGGGGGGTACCACTCGTTGATGGGCGAGTCGTAGGACTTGGGGACGGGCAACAGCGAGTCCTTGTAGATTCGGGGGTATCTTGACTGGTTGAAGGTGAGGATGTCCACGTTGTGGCCCTCGTACTTCTTGATGATGGCGGCGGTGTCATCGTTGGTGTTGAACGAGTTCATCAGGATAAAGGGCACGTTGACGCCGTAGGTGCGGTTGAGGTACTCGATCTGGCGGACGGACAGGTCGAGGAAGGACATGCCGTCACGGACCTCGATGACGGACTTGGGTCCGACGCAGCCCATGGAGGTACCCAGACCACCGTTGAGCTTGAGGACGGCGAGCTTGTTCAGGAACTGGACAGACTCGCTGTTGGCGAGATCCTCGTAGTCGACGACCTGGCCCTGGGCGGGAGGGGCAATGCGATCCCAGTCGCTATAGTTTCTTGTCAGCAACCCTTGTCGCATCGCCTTTACGGTTTTAAAAAAAGGGGGAGGGGAGGATGGAACGTACACCGCATTTCCCTTGGCCTTGTCGTTGAGGTATCGTCGGAAGAGGGCAAAGAAGTTGTCCATTTCCGTCTCGAACAGCTAGAATCCAATCGCCGTTAGCGGAGCTGCAACGCATGGCGGTGTAGTATGATGCCGCTTCTTTTCGTCTGATTGTACCGACCTTCTTCTCCTTGGGGTCCTTGACGGTCTCGGCGAGGTTGGTCAGGGCATTTCGCATCTGAGCGGCAGCGACGTTGGTCGAGGTGTTCTCGAAGGCCTGGGTTTGCTCGGTTAGCTGGTGGTCATGAGGCTCGGAGGACATTTTGAATTTCGATTGCAGAAAGAGCAGTTGGATGGAATGGTGAGCGGTCAGGATGAAGGGAGAAGGGGAAGGGAATGCTCTTGATGTGGGAAGAAATGCTTCGCTCAACAGTGAATGTGGGCAATGTTGGTGTTTTCTTGCGCAAGCTCCAGCGACGAAGACGTCACCAGCTGGCGGCAAGTGCACAACAGACGACGCCGGGTCGCTGCCACGGCCATTCACGGCCATTGGGCCTTCACGACAGCTTCTGACTTTCCCCTCAGCCATGCTCTGCAGGCATTGCGTCCGCCAGCTGGCGTGAATGCGCGCATTAACACGAGCAGAGCTCGGCCAGGAGGGGTATGAAGGTGCGTTGCATAGGTAGCTCGAGGCCAAAGCGGCAGCCGGTAATTGAGAGTCGCCGGCAGCTCAAGTCGACCGCATCACGGACGGAGTCATAAAAGGGGGGAAACACAGAATGATTCAGAGAGCTGGAAAGGGGATCACTTGCCATGTGGCTGCGAGTCTTGCCATGGTGACGCTGCTCGAAGCCATTGTCCTCAGCGTTGGGCGAGAGGTGGGTCGGCAGAGCGCTCTTGACTCCCGACATTGTGTCTGATTGTGTGCTTGTGATTGAGCGAGAGGGTGAAGATTTTCCGGTGGTTTGCCTGCGAGAACGGCCTCGTGTCGCTGTCTGTCAGTGGCAGCGATTCGGGTTCAGGAGAGGTGGTGATGATTCGGACAGGTTCGAGGGTTCGATGGCGGCCGTCGAAGAAGGAGAAGGGGGGGGAGGTGGCAGGTATTAAGGCAAGGTGGGGTGTCTGGCGGGGTGCTTGTGATTGAGCCTTGCCCCAAGCAAATCTAGCACGACCCAGTTAATGCTCGTCCACTGTGCCGTTTCTGCTGCTTATAGAAATCCAGGTTTTTTGGGGGGGCAGAATGGTTGATTCAGTCGTGTTGACGTCAATGAATGACGCAGCTGGCGGCGGGAATGGGCATACCTTCGTAGTAGGTATTATTGAAGGCGTACCTTAGTAGTACAACAACACAACAGAACAGCGCGGGATCTGCAGCATCCAACGGTTAGGTGCTACAGCAGCAGAGGGCAACGATGCAAGTTGGAGAGAAGAACGGACAGGAGGACAGCAAGAAGCAATGATGAAGTCAATGCTGGCTTTAACAGGAACAGGCGACGGAGCGGGAGGGGGGCCAGCCCCTTTACGAGGCCAGCTGGCTGCGGTCCGGGTCAACCACCACCTACGAGGCCACTTTGACCGTAATTTCTGGATCCCATCCGTCCACCGTCTAGACGCATTCTCGTCGTGGTCGAATTCCCTTTTTTCCCCCTGAATAGAAACCTCCTCGCCGCTCCACCCAGCATTTTCGCATCGCCTTACTAGCAGAGGCCCCGGCCGGATGCCCCTCGCGGTCAGGAGCCCGAAAGGTCAGGGGGGTTTGCGATGATTGGGGCTGAGCTGGGCAGCCAGACCGGTCTTTTGATATCTTGCTCTGTTATTTTTGGATTCACCTCATCAATTTTCTGTCTGTGAGAGTTGAGAAAATCAGAGTTCTGATCGCCATCCACATGCACTTGGGAATGACCGTTGCCTGGCCGGACTAACACAACTGATACAGTACATACGGAGTGCTGCTCCGTAATACTTCGTACAATGGATGGAGGGGGATCCGCAGTTCAGCAACGAACCCCGCCACCTTTATTTCCTTGTTTGCCTGATTCACGGCCCAAGCTTATTATTTGATAATACCCAGGGTGGCCAATGGTGTGTGTGATGCGACTTCATGGTGGTGTTCATGTCCCTCTCTTTTGTGCGCATGTCATAGGCCCAAGCACTGGTCGAGATGTGCCAATCGGTTCCCAACAGAATCCCACGCTGGCTTGGCTGCATCTTATGGGCGAAGGTGGTGTGTAATGGAGGGGGGAGGCGGCGAAATAAGAGTCACGATCGAGAACGAAGAAGAAGAATCAAGAGGTGACTGAAGATGAGAATTTTTTAATCCCTCTGTAGTCGTGGTATCGCTTTAGGATGGGCAATCTCGGTGGTTGACATGTCGCAACACACCACTTCCTTTGCACTTTCGTGCATGCATGTCGATATGCATCGGCGCCCAGATGCGATTCTTGACAAGAGGCGCGTTGGCATCTGGATGCCCAAAGGACTTGTCGGTTGCATGCCTACCTGAGTACCTAAAGCAGGGTATCGCCATATGAAGGCAATTCCCTCACTCACTCACTCAACTCAACTCACCTCAGGGCGGGCAGAAAATCCCTCGATTCCCAACTGGTTTGAAGCCCTCTACCATTTTGACGAACAGACTCATCCATACCATGTGAATAGCTACATGTGCACTTCAAATCTCCAAGGTGCAAGAAAGGAGTCGTGTAATACCTAAGCTGAGGCGGCGAAGCCATCATTGATGTCCAGGAGTGACCTGTCTCTTCTCATAGACATGTATGATCTGCAAAGTACATCGTCCCGTCGTCTTGTTGCTCCTTACCTAAGGTATCGATTGAACCTTGCACTGCTAGTCGGCGCTAATCCTGCCGGCTTCTGCTCGGGACAAGTCACCCGGATGGCCTCCCGTCAGGCGGAGATGATGCATCAAATGTCAAAGCCCAGGCGTCAGCCTGCACTTGCAGCTGATATCCTTCATCGAATCTCATTTCTCACTCTCTCGTCTTTATGCTTCATTTTTCATTAAAACGAACGTTGTGTGCCTCAATCTCACTCATACTGCAGGCCGAGAGAGAGAAAAAACGCTCATGACTGGAAAAAATTGGATCCAGGTTCAGTTAGGCACCGACACATGTCCGATGTGACGCTCCGTTATCCGGACCTCCTATATCCACGGCCCGGTAACACATACATACTATTACTGTAGACTCAATCTCAGGCTCAGGCTCAATATGTTGGCCTCAAACACGTGGGGTTCAAAAAGCATCGGCATTGCTTCGGCGTCGCCTCTTGAAGACTTGGAAAAAAAGGAGATACTCCGTTTCTGCTTGAGCGTGGCAGTGTTTTAGTGATCCCATCGGTCACGACACCGGATGAACAAGGAGTCTAGAAGCAAAAAGCAAAAAAAAAAAAAAAAAAAAAAAAAAAAAAAAAAAAAAAAAAAAAAAAAAAAACAAGTACGGTAGTTGGTGAATCGTCAACGATACTGTCACCAGACCGTTTCGACCACGGCAGCTCTGGTCCACCGTAGAGAAATGACGATTAATTTCCCGCCGTACGGCTTCAGATTCAGACGACGGTTAACGCCAGTCTCAAAACGGGTTCTCTCCTGACCGGGGAAGTGCATTTATATCTACAGCCCTCTTCGGACTGTATCAACGAGTCCAACAGAGAGGAAAGACATGGTACTTAACCCACCAGGTGCCTCCCTTCAACAGCATGGCGTTGAGCCCTTAATCGCCGCCATTCCAAAGCACCATAGACTTCGTAATTCTCAAGGTCCCGTGCCCGGAGAAAATCCTAGATGAAACCTTCCAGGTCCACAGTCCACAGCCGTCAAGCTCTCTCCATATCACCAAGCAGAATGATAATACCTATGTTAGTAGCCGGATTGAGTTGACAGCAGCCAACGCCAGGGCAAGCTCCAGCGAATCCCCCCAGCGCTGCAACCGCTAAAAAGCCACACTCCCAAGCGCCCTATCACCTTGCCCGTGCCGCCACGCCGCCTCTTGAATGGCCCCCAAGAGATAGCACGCTGGGTGATTCAAGCCGGGCGACGTCTGAGTGGCGTCCCGTGTATTCCACCACACAACGTTGCATTTGCCCAGAGGCGACGATGCCATCCAGCACATGTCAGAGATAGCAAGTCAGAGGAGCAAAAGATTCCAGCATAGTCTGCTATTCTGAGTCAAGATAGCTTAAACTTCTAGGCCTAGACGCAGCGGCAGGGCGTCGGTGAGGCCCTCAATGACAACTTCCGGAGCTTCCATTCTGTAGTAGTAGTAGCAGCTCAGTGGAGTCTGTATTGTTGCAGTCTCTGTCTGAGGTGGTGGCTGATAAGACCCAAACTCTTGCTTTTGCTCTTATATCGCCATGTATTCCCATTTCCACTCTCCTTTATATCTCGAAAACCCTCGAACCACTTGAGACTTGATATACCCTTGGTAGGCACTGGTGCTTTTCCTCAGCCTCTTGTAACTCCCGTATCAAACTCTTAAACTCGGTGGCAACGCCCCTCCCTTATCCGGGTCCCGGAAATCCCCTCCCACGGCATCCGTCCCGGGCCCATCCCTCCCTCCAGCCTCAACTCAACCTCAAACCACCACCACCGCCATCAACACCAACAACAACAACAGCAGCAAAAGATGGGCTCCCTCAGCGTCACAATCACCCTCCCCCTCCCCTTCTGGCACGTCAACGTCCCCGAGCACGCCCGCACCCCGCAGTGCCCGCCCTTCCTCCTCGACCTCAGCCCAAAGGACCTCCGCACCGTCTCCACCCCGGACGCCGACTACCGCCCCCAGTCCTGGGACGACGTCTGCCGCCTCATCCGCGCAAACAGCCTCGAGCGCTTCCAGCGCGTGCCCTCCCACCTCCGCCGCTACAAGGCCTTCACCTACCGCCTCGCCCGCACCCACGGCAGCATCGCCAACTTTGTCCTGCGGGAGCGCCTGCGCTGGGACGTGCCCGTCGTGCCCAGGGGCAACGCGCCATTCCAGTGCGACGACGACGTCAAGATTCTCTTCAACGATTGGCCGTACGGGCTAGATAAGAGAATCGTGCATCTGGTCGTCTGGACAAAGTTCGAGCTCAAGGCGAGTTCCGCGACGGGGGATTTGACGGATGAGGCGAGGAAGGAGATTGATGACTTTGTGACGAAGAGGTTTCGGTCTCGCATGCCCGACAATCAGGTGAGTGAAGAACCCTCATCACATCACTCTTTTCTCTCATGACCTTGTGTGATCCGTCTGGAGGTGAGGCTGACTTAATCATCTTGTAGGTCGTGTGGTTCAAGAACTGGGCTGCTCTCAAGTCGATCCATGCCGTGGAGCACTTCCACGTTATGCTCTTCGACCCGGATCCCGACTTCATCAGAGAGGTCACCAATGGCGATGTGCCCCAGTGCGACAAGGCTGATATATGATGAGCTTGACTTGTAGTTTGCTGACTCATGTCCTTCTTTGTGTTTTCACTTGTTGATTTGATGCATTATGGAGCCACGGTAGATCGGAGTTTTCATGTTGTTTGTTCACCAGATAGAGAGTTGAAGCTTGAAATAGACGGTAGACGTAGATTTTGAACAGTATCCAAGGTTTATAGACTGCATAGATTTCGGCATGCGCAAATTGGCACATATAGTATCTTTCGGCTCCAATAACACATGTTTCTTGTCAGCTGGCATTCCGTGTCCGTGTCTGTGTCATCGTCTGTCAACAGATGCAATCAGGCATAACCCAAAATCCTCCAGGGTAGCCCAGGAGAAGCACAACTGACAAAGTGAAGCGCTAACTGTGTGCACAAGTCCCTCACAAGCAGCAGCACATTGACCAGAATAACAACAGGACGCAAAGGAGCAGGAAAAATTGAAGTCAAATTGCGCAATAGAGGTTAAAACAGCAGAATGGAGATCAAATAGATACAATACCTCTCAAAGCCCCCGATAAGGCATGTCTCATTCCAATGTCAATCTGTCCCGAGTTTGCATACTTTTTCCCTCCCTTGCATTGACTGCTCACTCTCACTCTCGCTCTCACTCACACTGCCTGGTGGCACAGCCTTTTTTTTTTCTCTCTCTCTCTTTTTGTTGAACAAACCCCGCCTTCGCGTTTCGCCGGCAGGCTCGTTTTCCCTCCTTTCTCTCACCGTCTCACAACAGAAAAAATCCGACAAACAGCCTTGGTTCCTTGAAAGAGCGAGGTAAAAGGAGGGCTGTTGCAGAAGCCAGGAACAAAGGAGTCGAACTAAAAGGGTTCCCCTTCATCCGTCCAACGGCACCCCAAACCAGCGAAAATCTTGGTCGAGTTGAGAAACGCTCCGATCCATCTACCGAGGCAAACGAAGCATCCCAAAACGTGGGGTGGAAAAAAGGAAATAATACGAGTACTTCGGGCGCCCGGCACAAAAAACCCTGATTTGCAGCCCTGCGCAGAGGCTGTTGCGGCCCAAAGACACCAAAAACGGAAGGGCCTTGTTTTTTTCCTTTTTCCTGTTTCCGATCCCAAATCGACGCCCGCTCATCAGCTGCTGCTGCTACCCCAGATCTGACTGAGCCCCGTGTCGATCCCCCGGGCACCGAGAGACAATGGCAGACCTGGAGCCCAACTGGCGAGTCCGCTTTCTGGCGGGCCAGCCTCCCGCCATCGTGCGGGTGCGCAATCTTCAGACGTCCATCGCTGGACCGTCTGATGCCTGGAACAGGAAAGGAAGGCCGCAGCCGCTGTGCGTGTCGGCGTCCGTCATGCTAAAGGAGGCCTTTGACACGTCATCCTCCGCCGACAAAGTCGAGTCCGACACCGTTCACTACGGCCTCCTCAGCAAAGCGATACTGGCTTCGTTGGAGTCACAGCAGCAGCAACAAGACGCAGAGAAATCCGGCAGCGCGGCTAGCACAAGTCAGTCATCAAGTCTGCGGGACGTTGTCAACACCATCTGGAATGATCTCACCGGCCAGGACCGCCACGGAAAGTCCAAGGCCACAGACGAGGAGCCCGAGGTCAACACCTCGTTCTTGAAGCCGTCGACAATCCGATGTCTCGAGCTCACAGTCCACCTCCCCAAGGCCTCGCTGCTCGGAGGCGGCGTCAGCCTCACCAGAATAGCACTCTTTGGGCGCGACGGCGAGTCAAGGCCTCAACCCAGGGGTATGAGCCTCAGGATCCACGACCTCCGAGTTCCCACTCTCATCGGCGTCAACGACAACGAGAGAAAGGCCAAGCAGGTCGTCGTTGCGACCATTGAGATCGACAAGTTCAACATCGATGAGGATGTCTTCACAATGATCGAAGCGGAGGCAGTCGAGGTAAGTTGACAAACACGCCGGCATGGGCTTCTCAAAGGCCGAAGTACGGCGAGCAGCGGCAGCAGCCCTGGATACTAACAGTCAGCAGGTCATGAGCAAATCGGCGTTCGAGACGCTTGAGGCGTTGGCCAACACTCTGGCCTTCCGGCTCGCCAGCTACCTGCACTCGTCTCAGGCTGGATCCATGAACAGGAAGGGCTGGCCGATCAAGATTGCGCTCGAGAAACCCATCGCGGTTGTCCTTGCCGATGCGGCCTGCGTGCAGCTGAGCGTAAATTCGTCCGAAGTGCTGGGCGGAATCCAGTGATATCGGGGCTTGATGGATAGAGAACGGAGAACGAGATGAGATGAGATGAAATCGAATGAGTAACAACACCAACACCACAACCACCACCATACCACCACAACCACCACCATTACCACCACAACCACCACCATTACCACCACCATTACCACTACCGCCCCAAAAGCAACATCAACGCCGACAACGACAACCACGACCACGACCACGACGACCGATAACACCTCTTCAACACATAACGCACAGTTGCATCATGATGGAGGCAAGCAATATGCTAGGATGAGCCCTGAGTCAAGGGAAAGAACTGGTGCTTGATAATCAATACAACAGCAGATGTCCATTTCCCCGTCCTCTCTTGTAATCGAGTGACTTCGTCACGTAAGGCTGCGTGTAACCATTGCTTGACTCGTGTAGAAAACAAGATTGGTGATGATGATGCCTCGACCCTCGTGGCAACGACCCAACAATCGCCGGCCCGGACAGCCGCATCGATTCGAGAAGCCGCTGCGGCCAAGCTGAGCACACGATGCAACGCTGGCATCAGGACCATGCCATTGCCCTCCTCACCCCCCTCCACCCCTTCTCATTCCCGTAATAGCACGCACACCGTAGCTGGATCTCGCACCCGCCAAGTCGAACGCTCCGGGCGTGGACTGTGATTAGACTCATTTCACGCACATTGCGCCTCTTCATGCTCGATGGCCTAGAAGCCTTCTAGAAAGGCGCCGCCGCCTCGGAGATTCCACGAATTGGGGGCGACATCACCATCGCCATCCGACTCCCGTTGTTCTAGCACACACGCACGCGTCCCGGACGAACGAACTCCTCGCGGAAGCTACCCCTGTCGACGCCACGCCGCACCAAGCTGCTGCTGCGGACTAGCATCCGGATAGGGCATCGCAATTTCGAAAAGCTGCAGCGCCAGAACCACTTTGCTTGGGGGAGAGCAACATGGCCTTCACGGCCTAGGAGCCTAAAAAAAGAGCCCTCCACTGGAGAGCCTTCTCTGGTAAACCGCCGTCCCGTAGCTCCACGATCGGCACTGAAGCCATTTCCACCCGAAGGAGCGCACACAGACAGAACTCCAGTGCAATCGGCGTTATGGGCCGCTCTCTCGCCCTCCGCCACGTTCCATCCCGAGCGGGCATCCTCCTTCTTTCCAGGCTTGCCAGGACCACCACTCCAACTCGACAACGCCACGCCGGCGAGCCTCTTTTTTTCTCCGCTGCAGCACCACGAGGGGACTAGGACCAAGTCGGCCATGTTGCCGAGGAACCAGCATCGGGCACCGGCGCCGTGCGGGCACAGAAACCCCTTCAAGACGTGTGTTGGTTGAGGATTCTGCGCGGCTCGTTTTCCTCGCAATATCCCTGGCTCAAGCCTTGTGTTGTGTCTCACATACATGCATACATGCATGTATTCTGCCGGGGGAATCGCCTCGAACGGTTTGTTGCTGTGGGCGAAGCCCCGTCAGAGTGTGCTTCCTGGGAACTTATGTGTGTGATGGTTTTGAGAGAGCAGCCAGTATACACCCGTAGTACGTGTATGTGAACAGTAGATGGCAGCTCCACTGAGCAACCGACACGGGCCAGGTCGCTTTCACTACCACCGTCGCAGATCTGTAGAGAATTCCGGCCGTTGTGTTGTTTAACTCCATGCGAACCTTTCGCACGAGTCAAGAGTGCACACAGATCGCTGTTGCGGACACGCTCGCCATGGTGAGCAGCGCCCTGAACCAGCTCCCCTCATCAACGCATCGCCGGCTGCTTCTTTTCACGCCGCGAGCTGAGCAACCCCATGACGAGTTCAATCTTAGCCCTCACTCCGCAGCGCCTGGCATCTTGCACGCAAGGGACCGAACCCATAGTGTGGTTCGGCCCCTAGACGCCGGCCATCTTACTCGCATCGCATCCCACGGCACTTCCACCTTCTCGTACATATCCTGCGTTCTGTACCTGCATTTGTGGAGCGCTCACTGCTCACCCATTGGCCTTTCTACCCCCCGTATTATTGACCAATCAAGCTGATCTTGCGCCCGTCTTTCACATGAGAGCCAGGCAGAGCGAGCTGCTGAGGAGGCAAAATGTCCTATTAAGCACATCAGCAAGGTGAAAGACCAGCTTTTGGAATCTCGTCTCTAAAGCTCTCTGGCCGTGGTGACATCGGTGCAAATCCCAGCCCAACGAGAAGCTATTACTTCGTCCGCCAGTGTCTAACGGCCTTCGAGAAACATAAGAAACCGGAAAGAGGAGAGAGACAAGCCGCTAACAAGGGCCGGACCAAGGAGCGTCTCCCGCAGGATTGAGCCCAAGTAGGAGATGAAGTGCGTTAGTACCGCGTTCTAGCTCATCCAACAGCCCGCAACAACCTACGGGTATATCCCGGATTCTGGAGCTCGTCAGGGGTCCTCATGTCGCCGTCGCTTGTGAGTCGTATTCCGAATTGCATCAAATGCGGGAACATCAGCCTTTGCCCCTTGACCACCTTTGCGCCGTATGTGGCAGTACGGAGTACCTCTCGATGCAGCATAGTAGTTGCACTGCTCAGCTTCTGCACGCTGATATGCCTGCATGACTCGTTGGCATTTGTCGTCTTCTTCATCGCTGTGCGGCGCTCCTATGTTTTTGCGTCAGCTGCGCAGGTCAAACGAGATATAATCACCGTTCTGTCCGGCTTCTTCTTCTGCCCAAAGGATCACATCCGATAAGTGAAAGACCCGCCAGGTGTGAGACCAAGCCTCAATGTCCATGTAAGCATGATCCCAGGCTGATAACATCGCATAGCAGGTAGTTCCAGCAGGGGATGATGATCGCATGCTCGTATATCCGGAAGACTTCGTGGCAGTAAGTATTGCGGAGCAGTACCTTACAGCCTGGCCTCGCAGTGGTCACCGGGTAAGGTATCAGACGATGCCATATGAAATCTGAAGTACCAGCCCCAGTATACCCGCACCACCACGCCCCATCTTGGCAGGATTCAGCTCCGTTGGTGCCCCCATATTCGCGGATGGTCGTCTCATGATCCGGTGAGTATTTGTGGTTCGTTGTTCTTCCTAAAGAAAATGTCTAGACCTGATGTGATATACATCCCAGTCGCCAATTGTCTGAAGGCTAGCAATTCAAGATGACTGTTAGCTGATATGCCATGTCTGGAAATCTCCATATAGGAATACATATCAAAGTCCAGCTGACATCTCATATGTTGACTTGATATGTATTCCATCCAAACCATTCAATTCAGAGTTCCCTTACCTGCTGTCGCCGACAGTAGTTCGCTGGTAGTTGCCGGACCTCCTCCCATCTGCCTTGGTCTTGGGCAAGTAGCACTATTTCCCGTGGCCTCCATATTCCACTTTGATCTCGAGGCTGTACTACGCGATGAACCTGGCCCCAGTTGCATACCCGACCAACCTTCAGCCTGGCATGCACAATTGTATAGGAGTATACTGTGTATTTGCACGAATAGGGAGTACTCACAGGTCTTGGCTTGACTCTGGTGATGTACCGAAATGACTTGCAAGCTTCATACACCTGGAAACAATATCTCGAGGTCGTGTCTGTCAAGTCTCGCCACTGGGCGAGGCAATCCTGTTCCGGCTCGCTGCTGGGTTGGTGTACCACTATCAAGGTGCAACTGCAGCTGTGGATGTCACGGTTGATTCGCCGGACTACCTGACCTACCGACGCTGAGGTTCAGAAGTGTATTCCGGCCGAGAGAAAGGCCGGAAACCTTCGCTGGTTTCAGAATCTCTCAGACGGCAGCATAGCCGAGCCTCTGCATCAGAAACGACATTGCCCGATTTGTCCAATTGGCCGGGGAACTTTGTGCTTGCTCAACTACGTGGTATGAGCGACACCCTGGCAATAGGCTCGATTCCAAGGTTAAGAGCCCACCTGCGTCGACAACGACGGTTGCTGCGATGCGTTGAGGTCAATATTGTCAATTCTCACCGTCCTCTGAATCTCACCTTAGGATCAAACAGCCTCGGCGCACGATAGTCGTGTTAGCGTACAGCTACGAAGTAGAGCCCAACCAGACGATTTGAGCGCGAACCGGCCCCTCCCTTGTGATTCACACCGCCAGTCACAGCCTGCAGTAATGTGAAAGTGTTGAAGCGACCTTGTAGGCGCCTTCGTGTGGTATTGCTGCAAAACACCTCCCGTCGGAGTGGTGTGCAGTATTCATGTACGTAGGACTGTAGGTGGATAGGGACGTGGCCGTCTGTATGCAACATATGTGGGTTGATATCGGTTCGGTCAAGACGGAGGAGACACGAGTGAATCAAATAGGAATGATCAATCTCCAGTTTGCCAAGGGCATGCGCGCGAATCACCAACTCCTCGAGCTGGTGTTGCATCAAGGGTGGGTTAGCGCTGATGAAAACGTGCGGCCATGTCGAGGCAAGGTTCTTTGTCTCTGATGAGTCAGGGCTCCCATGAAGGCCAATCTTCCATCGATCCGGATCAAAGGCAACTGCTGCCCTATACAAGCAAACCCGGGCCTGTGGGTTTCGATGTAGGCTCGATTTTAGATAGGCCCTTACTGGCAAGGCAGCCTGTTTAGGCCATCAGTATTCTAGACAGCCGGCGTTGTTGGGTGCTCGTTGATATCAGGGCCTTGCAGGAACTCATATGTTGCTGAGACGACTCCACTGACCTCGAAATTGCTTGAAGGGGGGCTCTCGGTGAACCGCAAGGGATGATCATCTTTGGGGGTCGTCTTTGGGGGGCAGGGTAGCTTGGGAGCCCAAGATGCGTCCGGTGGCGAGTGATGAGAGTCCAAAGCCCGGATGCTGCGATGACCTTCTATCCTTGTGCCCCTTCTCATGCCTTAGACAAACGAATCACTACACTTGCGTGTTTGGTCGCCGACATTCTGGAACCCGTAGCTTGGGGCTAGAAGTTTGGCGTTGAAACTGGACGAATCAGAAATCAGCCAGTATCCAGGCACCGCGTTGAGATCGACGGCCCGTTGGCCGCTTTCGAAATTGGAAGGCTAGCCAAGAG